TGATAAAAAGTATCAAAAAATAAATAAAAATCGAAATGAATCAAATCAAATCAAGACAACCAGATCATTTAATTTAGAGGAATTAATCAAAAGGAGCTAGAAGCAAGCGGCCTATACAATACATTATCATAGGTACACATATATTATATATATTACTCAAGTATATTATTTACCAAGTATCCTTTTGTATCCATATGAATCATCATTGTCATTGTCATTCTTCGTTTCTCATTCAAGCTTACTCGTAGACTAAGAAAGTATCTTTAATCTTTCTTTCTTTTTCTCTTTCCTTTCGTTCCATCCATTCATCCAATCATTCATCCATCCATCCTCTTGGGCCTACTCCCAATTTCGAATATTCATGCATGCTATGTCCAGCTTCAGCTCCCGCTCCAGCTTCCAATCAGCTAATAAAATAAAATAAAATAAAATAAATCCCAAATCCCTTCCTTCCCTCGCGCCTAACACCTTGACACTGTAGTAAAGACCCCTACGCATCATCCCATCCCATCCCATCCCATACCTTCCTCCCTCCCTCCCTACAAAATCTCCTTCAAAACCTTCTTCTGCTCCACCGATAAACTAGTCGGAAACTTCACATTATACTTGACGATAAAGTTTCCTCTCGCATCCGGTTTCTTGCTCAATGGCATGCCCAAATCCGGATAGGAATCCGAGGAACCGGGTTGAGTGGGTCCACCTTTATCGAGTGAGATATTTTTACCATCGATGGTTGTGACGGTGCGTTTCCATCCTGTGAGGGCTTCTTTAAGATCGAGATCAACGGTCATGATGAGATCATCTCCGTCTCGGGTTAGGTAGGGGTGTTTTTTCTGGAGGATGTTAATTTGAAGTTTATGTATAAGTGAGGGGGAGGAACATAAACATACCTCTTCAATAACAAAATGTAAATCCTGCTGCCCACCCTCCTCCTGATCACCCACCCCCTTGAACTTAATCTTACTCCCCTTCTTCAATCCGGGCTTAATATCCATTTCCAAAATGCGATCGGTAGTTTGTCGCTTGCCGGTTTCCGGATCAAATGTCTTCCTCTTAATCTTCATCTTCTTATGGCAACCATTAAACAACTCCTCCAAACTCAACGCCAACGGCTTCTCCACCGTCGTCACCTCGGGTGTTTCCGCCCTCTGTCTCGCCGGTTCCGCACCCTGAAATTGAGATCGAGCCGTCCTCGATCGACCATTTCCAGCTCCCCCAGGACTAGGTCGCGGCATACCTCCACCACCCGCCATATTACTGAAGAAATCTTCCATTCCCTCCGGATTACCACCCGATGCCTGTCCCCTGAAGAATTCACTAAATATCGTATCCGGATTGCTGAAATTGAAGCCTCCACCACCTGGTCCGCCTGCACTGCTGAAGTCGTAGTGGAAAGTCTTGCTCCTGGGCATGCCACCACCCGATGAATTGAATCCCTCAAATCCAGCTGGCATGCCTCCTGCTCCCGCATATGGGTTTCCGCCTCCACTGGCATTGGGTTCTGGTGGTGGGGGACCGCCTCGGAGCATAAATTCTAGACCGTATTGATCGTATGTTTTGCGTTTTTCGGGATCCGATAGTATCTCATAGGCTTGGGAGACTACTTTGAACATCTCTGCTGAGTCGGGTTTATCTTTGTTTTTATCGGGATGGTGTTTAAGTGCCATGGTACTATTCTCATATTAATTATTTGTATACAATTATGGGAGTAGTGGTGGACATGCGACAGTTATGAAGGAGGGGCAGCAGATAGGAAGGTTGCACATACCGGTATGCCTTTTTGATTTCTTGCTGGTTGGCAGAAGGCTGAATGCCTAAAGCATCGTAAAGTTTTGTTTCTGCGACCATATTTACTGTTCTTTGAACGTATGTTCCAGTTCGGAAGTGAAAATCGTAAAGTTGTTAGAAGAGGTATGTCCCCAAGTAAAGTAAGGATCAAAAAGTCGTTCAATGAGGTATGTATGTGTGTATACCCAAGTAAAATACCTTAGACCTCGCAAAGGAACAATTAATAACTCTTGAACTTATTACAAGAGGTACGTATCATGTATCGTTTATCGTTTATCGTCGTGAAAAGGTATCCTACTAGATACTAGATATATGTCATCAGTAACCAGGGTAATCGAGAATTTAGACAGAAAAGGTCGTATTATAGAAGGCCCTCGAAGAATCTGAAGGATGATGTATGTTGGATCTTGTAGTGGTTGAGTTGGTCTGGTTTAGTTGGCCTGGTTGTCTGGTTGGTCTTGTCTGTCTGAAATGATTTGGCTCTCAAGTGGTCGAGTGGTCGAGTGGTTGAGTGGTAGGATTGGACTTTGCCTGGTTTGATTTTGCGAATGATGGTTTGGATTGATTGTTTTGGTTGATGTGGTTAATGGAATAGAAGAAACGAGAGGGAGGAAGAATACAAGGAAATCTTCAAATATACATACCACCTATTATTTATTATGAGGATCTCGTGATTGTTGATATGTTGAAGTTGTGTTGTACGCACTACTTTCTATCTAGCTCACTCAATCGCTGGCTGGATGGCTGGATGGCTGACTAGCTGACTAGCTGTTGGATAAATGTGAATTGTGATTGCTGCTTGGTTGTCTATTCAGCCTACTAGTAGTAGGCTATGTATTTTTGGATGTAATAGAATTCTATTGTGTTCTTTGTTGTCAAAATCAGAATAAGTAGCTTGTTATGAGTCGGATTTGATATTCACTTATGTAAAGAATTACTGTATGATATTTATTTTTAACCTTCACCCACCAATCGAATCTAGAATCTTCCCACAATCATTTACTAGGTTTACTAGGTAATGAACCCATTTAAAGCAAGGATCTGATATAGAAGCTTCGAGAACCTTCTATTATAACCTTACAGACAATAAGCTGTTGTCTAGAATCTATTCGAGTATATTGACCTGTATCTCTAAGAGACTCAAAAAAACATTATGATTATTTATCTAAAAGCTATAACGAGTACTTCATATCAATGATGATTGATCCTCAGATTAGACGACTATCTAATTTTCTAATCCAAGGTTTTATACTCTTGTTTCTATCAAAGAGAGCTTCGAGTCTAGATTACTTATCGGCTATTCGACCAACTCCAACTTTCAAAAAAGTAGTTAATAACTGTAATTTTGGATTAAATTTTGATGCTACTCGAGTATATCGGAATTACTAGAAGATAGAGTTAGTACTGTCGATGATTAAAAAAGCTATTGTAATTCACTTGTATTGTAATTCGATTGAATATATAAACACAATATAACCTCAGAAGGAGGACTTATTCAAGCAGTATAAAATTTATAAAGTTGTATTATTCTACTCGGAGTACAAAAGATCTTCTAACTATTGCCTCTCACTTAGATATGCTGCCGGAGCATTGTGCTTCTCAATATGTACAACATGAGCATAGGTACTTTGAAATGCCATCCTTCTATGCCTGGGAAAAATAGTGTATCTCGAATCATCAATCATGCAAGAGCGCCGAACAACATGCCAAAATGTCTCAACTTACTCAACGAATCCAACCCGTTTGACTGTGTCACCACTGTCTTTTTGGTTGTTGAGAAACAATGTATTCCGTTCCTCACGCACAATATCATCGCTCTCATGATCCTCAATCTCCATGCTGTCGTTGGCCACACCTTTCTTGACAGGATTACCAGTAAAATTCTGTAGCATGCCGCTGCCACTACGTTCTTGCATTTCTTGCGTCTTGCCATCGGGAAACGGATCGACACCCATGATAACTTCATCGACTTGAGCAAGGCGATTCTGTAGTGCCGCCGACGCTGTCATGGTAGTTTCATTACCTGAGCTTTCCCCCTCAACCCCATTCCATTGGTCATTTTCAAAAGAACTTGTGGAAGATGAGTGCTGCTCACGCTTGCGCTTTCCTGGTGATCTTGGCGCAAATTGTGACCCATCAGGTGTGTCGACAGAAGGGCTGGGTAACTCCTCCCTAAAAGCCCTGTTATCATCGCTAATGAAAGCCTAATGGTTGTCAGCGAGATAATTGGAGCAAGAAGGACGAACAAACCTGGAGTGGAAGAGGTGTTACACCCGCAGCCGTCTCCATTGCCTCATCAGAAGCATAAACTAAAATTGCTGTCTCATTCTCGACTTTGACATCCTCAATAACTTTCTCAGAGGTGGTTTTCTATTGCCTTATTAACAACCTGTTGCCTGTTGCAGTTTAGGACCTAAGAGTACTCACTTCAACAGTAATTTTGGGAGGAGACGAGGTACTATAATTGATCCTCCACCACTGGCCATCGCTAGGAGGAATACGCTCGTATTCACTGAGACCCATATCAATGAGATCTGGCTGTATACGAGTGCAAATATATGTCGTTTCCTTGTTCAAGCTTACGCCGCGAAGAGTGTATCTGTGCAAGCGCCGAGAGGTCGTGGCGGGATCCGTATACAACTTCGAAAGCTCTCTCCAAGCTTGTTTAGCTTTTTCTTTTCGATCTTGTAAACCTAGCCATTGTTAGATGAATAATCAGTAACTAGTCTGAATGATCTTACTCTTCAACTTAGCGTTTACATCGTCCATTACTTTTTTGAGCTTTTTAGACAAATCTGCCAGTTTATCCTTATTCGTTGTGCTGGGCGGGACCTCGTTCTGATCATGATTGAGCGACATTTTGAAAACATCTTCAACTAGGAGAGACTTCCCGTTGTGAATGGTCCATGTCAACTGTCTCTCATTACAAGAAATATCCGCAATTTGTAGCTCCAAATTCTGCTTGCTCGTACGCATAATTAGAGAGTCTTTGATCGCGAATTCCATGTATCTATCCGGATACCATACCAATGGCACTTCAATTCCCTTATGGTCATTCTGCTTATCACCTTTTAGTCTGAAGACAATAGCATCACCAATATGAGTTAAGAAAGGACTTTTTGTAAGAACGAGAGGGATAGTGCCCCATAGAGCCTCATCTTGAACTTCATAGAGATTCTGGACAAGAGAATCTTTTCTCGGAAGCTCCATGTCAAAGATGACAAATTGTGTGCGTTCTTCACCTGGCTCTGGATCTAAACCGAGAACACCTGAAGAAAATAGGTATTTGCATGAATCATTACCCTGCATTAGCCTATGCCAGCACATGAAGAATTCGGCCTCAACATCAACCCTTGGCTGCTGTTGCATGAATGGGAGTGTGGTAATAACGTCCACGGAACCATAGCTTCGTTCTGTCTTGTCCAAGAAAGCCATGACTTTCTGGACCTCCTGTCCAAATCGTCGATCATGGGCTACAAGGTAGGGATCCTCCTGGAATGACGCAAGAGCTTTCTCTATTGGTCTACCATTCCACCAACCAGCCTCGTATGGATAGTACGTCTCAACATTATTTCTTCTAAGGAATATCTCACGAGCAAGAGGAATGTTGTAAAAGATGGTGAGAAGAGGACCCAGCCTGTGTCCCTCCCCACTGGGCTTGAGGAAGGCAGGTACTTGATTTACAGAGTCTCGGATGCGATCGGTCGGTTCTGGGTCGACATAGATCTCCTTGACAGTCGATATAGGAACCATAGCCCAGTCCTCTCCATACTCGACTCTTGTGGCAGGACCAAAGTAAGGCTTATCTGTTCCTACTACACCAGATTGTTGGGGAGGTAAACCAGCGTCTGCCATGGATGCTGCCAGTGCCTGTTGGAGTTCTGTGTCATTGTTGTCAACATAATGGGTGAAGGGCGTGCTCGAATCTGCCATCCGAAGTGTCAGTCTATGCAGACAAAGTAAAGATAGAGGCACTACCTTGATCGGTTGTGAGATCCACAACTTTGCTCAAAGGTGATTTATCGTTGCTACTTCTTGATGGCGGTCTAGACGGCGCACCGCTTTCAAAGTGAGAAAAGGATGGTTTTAATTCATCAGGACCTTGGACTTCGAAAGCTATGACATAAAAGATTGTCAGCAAAAGTCTTCAAACTTTTAAGGTATCGAAAGAAGAAAGGCACAGATACCATACTGATCTATATCTCCCTCACGATTCCTAGTGAATTGACTGTCTTCCCACGCGTACTGAGATCATCAGTAACAATGTATTCCATTTGTCCCTTTTATACTGACTCGGTTGTGATTTCTACCCGTCTCCAAATCATCATAGTATTCATTGATCGCTTGTTGAACATTGTTGTTGTTTCCCTGTCTATATTAGCTTCGTTCTTATAAGTTTTTTGTATCGCAAGGACCCCCACCTTCAATCTTTGAATAGCCTCTTGTCTGTTCATCTGTCCAGTCATATCCAGAAAGGCTTGCACATCTTGAGCTGTTGGTTGTGCCGCCATATATGCAATGGTACCAGGCTTCAAATTGAACATGGACCTTTGACCTGTGAAGCTATAGGTATCGGATTTCGGGGAGTGTCAAGTATATCTTGCAGTTCATATAAGCAAAGCAAATGAATAGACTGAATGTTATCAAAGTATCTATCAGATTGACAGCATGAAATTGCAATTAGGAAGTTGATAGATGGAATTTGGTTTGATAGTAAATTTCCTGGGGGAAGGACGCGGGTACTCCCTTGAAAAGAAGGTGGGGTTTCCTGCATATACCTAGTTCTGCCCTAAGTCGCACAGACCACCATCACCAGAATCTTAAAGCTAGGTACTCGAGTAAACGCTTCACAACAACACAACAAGGTCTCATAAAAACACGGCATCAAAACACTGCGATCGACAACCACCATCAACTTACACATGCTTATTGTCTTCAGCTGCGAGTGACCGAATGGAGGCGATATCAATGTTGCTAGATGTCCCTACTTGACCTTGCCGGGGGCGGGGGTATATTATGACTTGCTTGCAGGCCAAGCCAGACTAAAACCTGAACCATATCTTGATGTGAGGGTAGGCCCAGTGAGGTGAGGGGTAGTGAGAAGAAGTGGCAGAGGACAACGAAGATGTACTGGATGGCATAATGCAGTGCGATGATGAGATTATCGTTTTTTGGAGATATACTGGTTGCGGTATCATACCATTCTTTTCTGAATATTGGTAACCATACTACCTAGGTAGGTAGGTAGGTAGGTAGGTAGGTAGGTAGGTAGGTAATAGGAAAACGTCTTTTATGTTGTCCCAAAAACTTTCGCAATTGGCCTATATAATTATATAAATTAACAATTTCTCCCTTATTTATACTCTTTTTTTCCCCTTCAGCTTTAGAATCACAATCAATCTTTCATATTTCTCTACTCGAGTATCTATTTCGCCGGCATTCAGTATGACTGATTTGAACATCGAGGCGTCCATCGCATCACCAATCTACTTTCCAATCCTCACACAACATTGCCCTACTCTGGTTCTACAGATCCTTTGTCCTCGAAATGACTCTAATATCACCACAGATATTACACGTAAGCAGCGACCAAGAATTCTCCTTATGTTTCCAGGCAATTATACGCCCCCAACTGCGATATCCGGAGATCAGCCATGCAATGGGTTACTTCTTCAGCTAAATCCTTATGGCAATAGCGGACGAGCAAAGTGCACAGTTCGGGTCTCAAAAGCACGTACTTTAACATCCAGAGCCATTCAGTATACGATGCATATTCAGTTCTACGGCACAGTTTACGATCTGTTGACTGCTACAAGGGATGTGTTTGGTGAGGGTAATCCGACATTTAGATACCGTTTGTCTAACGGACGTTTGCATGGTGGAAGAGATTTCTGGTAAGCTATTCTATTCTACTCGTATTCAGTATATGTAACAGTACTGATATACAGCCAAGGCTTCAAGTCCTGATCAAGTGCTATTACCGACAATTGATTTTTCGAACAAACATCGAAGGAACTCGCTACTTTTGGTATCCATTTGAGTGTGAATGGGCTGATGGCCTTGTTGTTAGCCTCCGAAGTATCAAAAAGGGCCAGTATCCCGATGAGTCAAGCCGACAACTGTCAGTAGTGACCCCAGAAGGGCAATTTAATATGTATTATGAGGCCTGAGTGGAGTGAGCGAGCTGAGGGAAAGAATGGAAGAAACTTTTAGCTCACTTACTTGATGATATTGATGTTTTGATAGCTATCAATCAATTTCTCTAAACAAAATGGCGAAAAACATGTTTTTCTTTTTCAGATATCGATTCCATTTTATAATTCAAGTTTGCAAATATTCATGGATTTGAGGGTATTGAAATGGAAGTCTGAAATCAACAGTACATTTTCGATACAATTGAGGCTTTTTATCAAAAGAGTTTCAAGGAATAACAGCAATTGTTAGTAATAATATACAAAGATGAGAATGTGAAGCTACCTTCCAGAATTGAATTCCCCAGCTTTTTCGTGTTATTCGCACAACAACTTTCAACATACTTGTTTGTTATAGAATTTGTACCTGGCCAGACGCTGGATTGGTTAATGTGCCAAGAGTACTCGAGTACAATGCTACCAATGAGTTGTGTTGTTGGTATCCAGGTTCGTATTATTGGATGCATGATCGATGTTTTGGTTATGATCTTCTCGATTTTCGAAAATTATTTACGGGATTATGCCTGTGCAGCCGGTCTGCTATTGTCACTGCCAGTTCCCAATGCCAATGCCACTGCTCCAGGTCCAGTAGGCGGTGGTCATTCCAGTCACCCGATCTTTGAGAATTACAGCACTGAGGAGAATCGAGCACCAGTTACATATGTGTCAGTAGAGGAGCTCACCAAGTACTTTAACGAGGTCAGAGACTGATAGAAACTAGTTGCTTCTCCCGAACGAACCCTTATACTATGTTATGAGGGATCTTAACAATGGCAATGTTATGTTTCATGATGGACAAATCTATTTGATCAATCATCTTGATGCTAATATCATATCTTTATCTTTCATAACATTTGTTGTATACCTTAGACATAAACATCTTATCAAACATCTAAAGCTTCCACAAGCCAATAATCAAAGATTGATAAATGTTCAAGGTGCCTTTTGGCCTCCATCGAGTGATGATGATGAGGACGATGAATAAGGGGGTTAGAAACAAGAGAAGAAAAGGGAGGATGGAAAGTCCGTTTTGCTATCCTTTCAGTCAAAGTTATGATGATAGTTGTTGTTAGGTTGAGGTATTCATATGGAGAAAGGGGATGAAAGAATGTTATTTCAGATAAAAACTTAGAAGTGCTTCGATGAATAAGGGGGTAGAAACACGGGAAGAAAAGGGAGGATGGAAAGTCATTTTGCTATCTTATTATAACTTATTCTTTTTCGGTCAAAGTTATGATGATAGTTGTTAGGTTGAGGTATTCATATGGAGAAGGGGATGAAATACATATCTTATATTGCTTTTCCTCAATCGACACTTGGATTAAACACTTCTACGTTTCTATCTAAAATAACATTCTTCATGATATAGTGATCATTTCTTGAGGTTTGTAGAATACTATACCTGGATCGCCGTTAGTGTCTAGTATGGAAAGGTGACACACACACATATAATAAGGGCCACTCCCAAGTACCCCTTATTCAGAGCCAGCCAACTGTCAATACCAACTTTATGTTCGAGCACAGCTGCACTGCATTGCATTATCTCCATATGTGAGTAAAATTCCATAACGGAAATCAGGATTATAATCACTAATCACTAATTACATCTTGATGACCACTAGTAATGAGCAATAACAACCCAAGAACTTCTACAACATCGACATACATTCCACCCAAGTAAGTAGCTCTCCTCTCTTCTCTCTCCTCTCTCCCACTCCAACATCCCAAGCAACCCGAACATCCTGTGCATACAGATGTAGAACACTCTAATATACAACCCAAAGTCTTTCTTCTTCATAGCCAGCCCAACACCCAATATTCAATATGTACATATAATATACATATAATATACATATAACCTTACGTTGGTTACCCCCATATGGTGTGATGTGGTGTGATATTTTCATTTCCAAGCAGTTTCTCGCCGAAAGAGGTACAGTACAGTACCTAGGTAGGTATTATGTAATGTAATGTAATGTAATGTAATCTTTCGTCAGTGTACCGGTATTAAGTACTGTAACAAGAAATCAGCTTTTAAAATAATTATGATGATAATAATAAATAAATAGATAGGTAGGTAACTGGGTAACTACCTAGGTAATTGATTTTCTCAAGAGAGAGAGAGAGAGAGTGTGTGTGTGTGTGATATAGCTAGGTAGTCTAGGACTCTTGTCGGATTAGTCTGGTCTTGTATTGTCGTAGTGTAGTCTAGTTAGTCTAATTAGTTACAACTTTGTCCTCTAACAGCAGGGGATCCATTGAGTACCGGTACTATGACGTTCTAAACCAATAGCATTATGCACCGTAGTACTACAAAATCACATTGGAATATGCTCAAGCACAGCCTTTGATTATGTACCCTATTTTGCTGCCTACCTAGCTACCTACTGCAAAAGCCTTCCCCAAAATTACGCCCTTCAACACTATGTAACCCAAATTCATATTCCCCCGTAATCTAAAACGCCCAATATCAACCCAGTGTAAAAAGCATATTATAATACGCCTTGAATGCATACCTTCCTGCATCGATCCTCGCGCCCACCATGTAAACAGAGCGGTCGTCGCTATGCTATGCTTTGTAAAATAAAATAAGATGATCCTCCATCTACCGCAAGTGGTGACCATAATGTAGCTTAGCACTGGACTAGCCAGTATCGAGGGAAATGTGACGAGTGTAGGAACTTCGAAGAAAAGACCGTGGATCTCATAAATGAGTCAGACTTCATAGCTCCGTGCCATGCTATTTTTTCACATCTTCTTCTTCGACCTCTTCCTCGCTTCCCTCAGGCTCTTCACCATCCTCTTCTTCTTCCTCTTCATCTCCGTCCTCCATACCAAAGTCTTCTCCAGAACTGTCGCTAGCTCCGAAATCGTTCTCGTCATCACTCTCGGCCCAGAATGCATCATCGTTGACGAGTTTGGCGGGAGGGGCAGTCTCAAGTGTTGTGGGCATTTCAAAATCGGCCGGAATATCCTGCTTCGAGGCAGCAACGGCGGCCTTAGCTTCCTGGTTATATTTTTCTCTGTTATCACGGTACATCACTCCTGCATCGACATTTGCAGGAGAGTTGATCTCGGGATCATCAAGGAGAAGGAGGATGGAACGTAAGACCGATTCAACTCCTTGTAATGGTGACCAACGCTCACTGGCAGTTTCCCCAGATTGCTCGTCTTCTCCGGGAGCATGTAAGATTGAGATGCATAAATTGCCGTCGGGGTAGATATTTGGGTGTTGGATCGGTCGGAGGAACTTAAAGGTGGGAGGACTGAAAGGATAATTGTCGGTGAAAGTCATTTCGGCCTAGAACTAAGAATAAGCAACTGTAACACACAGTAGAACAAACAATCCTTACCTTGAAGTAAGCACCGTTGAAAATACTCTCATCATTAATGACCATTAAACCGATCTGCCATACAAAAAGGGCACCTTCGTCCAGCTGTGCAATGAAATGTTAGCTTCCAGAATAGTGGTTGTTATGCAGGAATCTCCTACCTCGATATTGACCCATAACTCCTTTGCAAGTCCCTTATACTCGGCCATCAAACGATTTTTCGCAGCAACAACAGACATGGTGATGATGTATTTGCCGTGCTCTCAACTGGTATTGGTAGATATTAGGTGTGGATCTTTGCGAAAGAGTTCAGAGTCGAGGCAGATTCTACAGCCTTGGTGATTGCAAATTGTGCCAGTGGATGGTTGAGACAAACAACTCGAAATAAAACCAAATGTGAATAACGCCTGACGATAAGAAGAGGTTATCAAGAGTGGAGGGCCAACAAAGTGTGTCGAGTGTAACAGAGTCGAGAATTATGGATCGATCTGGGAGTTATGTGGTCGTTGTTGTGAAGTAATCTCGAAGGAAGAGGAAGTTGTATGTGGGATGTTTGTGGTCGAGGAATTTGTGTGTTTTTTTGTGAGGTTTTATGTGGTTTTGTAAGAATCTAAAATACCTAGTGAAGTAAGTACTGGTAATAGAATGTAATTTGGCTGGCGATTTGCCTACGGTACTGTCGGGCACCAGCGAGCGACTCGCCTTCAAAGAAGAGGATCGTATGACAAGCATCAAGCATTACTCAGTGAATTCCCCCAATACGGTTTTAAGCTTTGCTAAATGGCGCTTTATCCAAAAATAGGTGTAAAACCCGAGTCTCATGATTTTGGAATTCAATGCCGTATGAGGGAAGGCTCATTGGATAATATGAAAGTGCTTATATAATACTGTACCGGTACTTATACTCGAGTACTATACTCGAGTAGTAGCAGATGATATAGATTCGTCTAATAGTAAACGATAAATTAGTTCAACTTTATGCCCTATAACTATCTATGTACTCGGACTTTGCTAGAGAGATCTTTCAGGATGTAACAAGTATTTCCAGCGTCATGAGCGGAGCCGCCACCAAAGGGAGGAACATACCCTCCTGGTCAGTAATAAATCTACGATAAGCGATTGATTAACCTTGTGAGTGGCGTTAAGTGGAACTTGATCGACTCTACAATTCATTACTAAAATCTAAACAAGTCTTCTGTTTCATTCAATGACTTGACTTCGAGAAGTTCAATTATATACGGTCTAGTGAGCGAGATAATGATCGTTTCCACTTAGACAACTAATACACACTGTAAGCGAAGATGCCCCTATTCTATCTTGTTCTCTTCCCATCTCCAACAACAAAATCATATCTCGCTCTTTTGAGTATTGCGCAGATGTTGGGCCACCACATAGCTGGGGCGAAAATTTACTGAATTTGAAGATGAGTTAACAAGCCTGGATGGTGACTTTTCACGTGAAGGTAAGATGTACGTCCGTTATCATGATCAAAATGAGATGGATTGATGGAAAACAGTGAAACTATATATGTCTTCGAGGTACCGCGGTACAAGTTCTACTCATACTCTATAACGCCGCGCTGTTGGTATTACCACCGAACACCAAGAATTATGCTGATAGCATGCACCCAAGTAAAATAGAGCAGCCCCCAACTCCAGAGATTGCACTTTAAGCAACGTTGAAATTAAAAAAGATTATCGAATGCCGTCTGCCCCTAATGCCTGGGCTCTCTTCTTATCGGCATGCTTTTGTGCCAACCTTGCTTTGGCAGCTGCAACCCTATCAGGAGGCAAGGCACACTTTGATGGACTGGACCTTCGGCTCGAAGCAATTGTGGTCGGACGGGGTACCGCACGTTCGCTATTTGATTTCAACGGATCAACAGCCCGAGATCGAGATACTGTAGCTTTAGGAGGACTGGAGGGAATGTTGAAAATCTTTGGTCTGGGACTGGCTAGGCACCTCTCGTGGCTATTTCGTGTGCGGTGGAGAGGCAGGGATGGGTCTTCAGCTTCTAACTCAACCTTTTGTGAACCGAGAGGGATGTCGGCAAAACGGTTGGCGAGAGGAGTATGATTAACTTTCTTTGATTTTTGAAAGGCGAAAAGTTCCGTCGTTGCAACGTTAGTAATCTCAGACAAGGCCGCATGTGATGATCGTTGCGTGTTCTGAAAAGGTGCCTCAAAATGTGTAGGCTTAGATGAGGCCACTGTTTTGGACGGGCGTGCAATAGAATGACTCAAGACCGGTATGCTACTTGTATAATCATGTGATTTCTCGGTCGGGTGGCTTCTGGTTCGTAACATATCGAAGCCCAACTCTGTTCCGTCCACATGGGCAGACCCCCGCAGTGATTCTCTCAATTTGACAATCTCCTTCTCGTATCTATCGACCATTGTATCATGTTCGATGGACTTATTGTCAAGAGCCTGACGTAAGTCCTGGACAGTTGAGTGCTCACTCTTCAAGGATGCAATCTCTTTCTTCAATTCCACTACCTGATCATGGCGCTTTCTCAGAAGGTGCTCTGCGTCACGCCTTGAATTCTTTGCCGTTTGCTTGATGTGGTCGTAGTCTTTTTGAAGAGCCTGAAGGCGTTCATCCTTTTTGTGACGTTGTTCGTCAACAAGCTTTAGTCGCTTCTCGAATCGCAAATTGGATTGAATTAAATCTTGTGAAAGCTTATTGTTTTCTCCTTGAAGCTTAGAAACAGTTCTGTCGGCGGTGGCTAATGCTTGTAGGGCTTGATCTAATTCATTCTGAAGGGAGGTTGTGCCTCTGCATTCGTTGTTCATGTTTTTCGATTCAGTCCTTGGAACGGCTGCTGCAGGACTTCCGTCTCCTTCCATGGCTTTGCGAAACTCTTCCACCTGAACTCGATGTTGCAAAGCCAAAGCAGTCTGACGTTCAGATTCTTTCTTAAGCTCAGGGGACGTACCGCCGCTTACTTTCCCTTCTGCTGTAATCTGCGACATCAGCTCGGTGATGTTGTTTTCCATCGCAGCGAATTTAACTTGCTCTTCTTTCAGTTTTTCTGCAAGGTCGAGAGCTTCTGCATCTTTTTTCTTGGCAAAGGACTTTGCGAGCTGTTTATACTCTACCAGCCTCTTCATTTGAGTCTGGGCCTCATCGTGGTACTTCTGGAATTCGGATTTCCAAAATTTCCCGGAGTGGGATCGGGGATCATTAATATCAACCGTAACGTCAGCATCATTATCAATCACGGACGTAACTTCTTTCGCCAACTCTACACCTTTCGATCGCGGCTGCCTCAATTCCCTTGTATTATTTGACCTCACTATATCCTTTTCCTTTTCCTTTTCTTTGGTCAAAGATGGGTTTGGCAATATCGAAGAGGCCGTGGCAAGTTGGTTGCGCCTTTTGACTGCGCTGTCTGATCCACGAGAATCTTCTAGTGTCTTCAAAAGCGAAGTCTTTCTGTTTGGCTGTGATAGTTCTTCTGTCTGAAAGGACCTTGGAGCAAGGGCTTTTCCCGGTGTTGCTGCCCTGCCAACAATCTTTTGGGGCCTGTCCTTTCCTTCATTGTCATCAACATCTGACCCAAAAGACACAGTTTTTCTTCGAGTCGTCGCAGTTCCAGGGGTCATCAAAATTCCTGGTGGCTTTGTTGGAGAATCCGAAAGATATTGTGGCAGTCGACTATCTTTTTCAGTTGGTGAATCGTCCTCTTGTCCCATTCCATAGAGAGTATCGTCTTGAGGGAGGCCAGGGGTACCAAAAAAGGCACTTTTGAGTGCGCGAGCAGCAAACACCGGGGCTGGAGTCTCTGGAGCTTCTGTATCGGGATCTGTGCCTAGAGGTAAGTGGTAAGCATTGTACACTTGCTATAAAATCTATGGTCAAAAAAGTCCATACCTGCAACACGCTCGGCACCATCTGGCCGTCCTAGCCACCAGTTGAGCATAATTAGGATAGCAAATTAGTAAAGAATTGATAAAGAAGCACTTGCAATTCCTAATCAAGAGTCTAGCAGTTCGAGATGTTGGTGGTCGTCAAAATCGTTAAAGTTGTTCGGAGACCATTTCTTGAAAGTAAAGAACAAATTAATGCTTGGAGCGTTTTTTGTTTACTTACTAGGGTCGGATGTCGGACGCGACTGTCCCAAGCAACCAACCACACTAGTCCCCACATTTAGCCTTGTAAGTTGTATGTACTTAGTACTTCTTACCAATTAACTGATCCCTCGAAATTCCTCAACGCCTAATTGGACAATTAATAGCCCTGCGAAATTCAAGGCAAATATTTGATAATATGCTCTTTAGGTAAATGAAATGCTAGATCGAATAGCCATAAAATCTTGAAGCTCGCAATGAAAAGAAAAGAACAAGATGGAAAGGCAAGGACGAATGGTCATGAAGATAATACTGTGAAACGAACTCGATCAAGTAATCGATTATCAGCTGAAATACATCACTCGCCCAAAGATCATGTCTTGCCAGACATTAAGAGCGCAAGCAAACGAAGTCGACCTACTGTAGTGGAAAAAGAGAATGCTGATGATTCGGAAGTTTCTGCAGAGGAAAACGAACCAGATTCGGTTCATGACAATGCTGCGCTTCCAGAATCTCGACCAGAGGCTGATGGATCACCGAGTCGTCCAACCTTGAGCCCGATCAGAGCTCAGAACCAATCTACTCCTAAGTCTATGCGGCATGGCAATGAAATTTTTGCGACACCAATCAAGGCCAGGGGCATAACAGGGACAGACGAGACTCCACGCCTTCGACGCAACATCGATCGATCAGCTCGAAGGAAGAGTACTAGAACACTCATTGAGCGTACAGTACTTGGCAATACTAGCGATAACGATGACGAAGAAGAAGACATTGCGAACCAAATATATGATTCAGAGGAGGACGACGAAGCGGGAATAGAGAACGACGATACAAATCAGGCTACAGGCGAACCTTCAACACCTTCCAAGCGTGGAGTAGGGCGACCAAAAAAGACAAAAACTCGACAGAGATCATTGACGCCACCTCAGGATCTTGCCCCTCACGAATTATACTTCTCTCAAAACCGACCCGGAAGGTCCAAAACTGCGAATTCTAATTTGTCTTCCTTAGCATTACTCGACCATGAAGAGTATTTTAGCCTTGCTCGGAGCTACAAAGACCAGCATGAGGACGATATGAACTTTTTACATGATGTGCATGCCAAATCTTTCAACCAATGGCAATTTGAGCTCAGTCAGAACTTCAATATTTGTGTCTACGGCTGGGGGTCAAAAAGATCTCTTCTTCTCAAATTTGCTGAGCATATCTATAACGCAATGGCTGATCATTCCCGCGAGAGAATAGTAGTGGTGAATGGTTATGTACAAAATCTCACAATCCGAGATCTTCTAAATACAGTAGCCAGTTCTATCTCCGGCAATGGCACGAAAATAGGTTCACAGCCCGCTGAAATGCTTGAAAACCTCACGAATCTGCTTGATGAAGACAAGACTCAACATGTGACTCTCATTATCCATTCTCTTGATGGATCTGCTCTTCGTCGTCCTGCACCCCAAATGATACTCTCGCGCTTGAGTTTTCACCCACAGGTACATTTGATTGTGTCTGTAGACCACCCCTCCTTCCATTTACTCTGGGACAGTTCGCTTCGTTCAACTTTCAACTTCTTATTTCATGATTGTACGACCTTCTTACCCTACACAGTAGAAGTCGACGTTGTAGATGAGGTACATGATCTTCTCGGAAGGAGCGGACGCAAAGTAGGGGGCAAAGGTGGTGTAAGCTTTGTGCTCAAGAGTTTGCCTGAAAATGCAAAGAATCTTTTCAGAGTCTTGGTAGGAGAACAACTTGCAGCTATGGACGAGAGCCCTGCAGGTGAACCTGACGATGGCGATGATGAGGAGGGACTACATGGAGCTGGTAGTAGGAAAAGTGAACCTGGCGTGGAATATAGAGTACTTTACCAGAAAGCTGTAGAGGAGTTCATTTGCAGTAACGAGATGAATTTTCGAACGTTACTGAAGGAGTGAGTTTTCCATTTCACGTTGACAGTCACTAGACAGCTAATATTTTTCTAGGTTCCATGATCATCAAATGATAGAGAGTAGGAAGGATACTTTAGGGACAGAAATGCTTTTTGTGCCCTTCAGAAAAGAAGAACTGGAAAACATTCTCGAGGATATTGCAGCATAAGATCTTTTCGATGCTTAGATATTTTTTTAATTTAGCAAGGCGTTGGGGGCTGCATATTAAGCATTCATAGGTTCTGCCTAAGAAGTTACCGGGTAACAAATCAAATTAATTCATATTCAATGATCTCATCATAGTCCTACACTTATCATCGTCTTATTGAATGGTGGCAAACAATACTTTGTAGCATATACCAGTTCCCGGGTCGGCTGCTTAGGTGGATGTGATCCCCGGTGAGCCTTTCTTTTCAAGAGTCGTCGATGGGCTTTCGAATTTATTCAACATTGCCCCCAAATTCCTAATCAAACAATAACTGTGATAGGTCTCAGATCAATACTTAAGTAAGTTTTTGAATGTTCGGAACTCATATTATTAGCATCGAGGATTATAATAGTTAAATATTTAGATGTAGCCGTGCTGGCGAGGCTGGCGAGGCTATTCCACTAATATTAAGTCCCAAAATAATTTTAGTTCCACACTCACCCTACTAAAGTCTTCCTGATGTTACGTCGAATATACCACGAATGTAGAAATTTATTTATGATGACTCGCGCAGTTCCAAAAGATCCTTTGATATTCGTTCTCGGCGCTACTGGAACCGGAAAATCACAGGTAATCTTGGAGTCTCTCTAGTGAGTTTGAAGGCTAATCATTTCAAAGCTCGCGATCGACCTCGCGACACGATTCAATGGCGAAATAATCAATGGCGATGCTATGCAAATGTACGAAGGTCTGCCTATCATCACGAACAAAATTACCGTCGAAGAACAAAATGGTATATCGCATCATCTGCTGGGTTTTATTCCCCTAGATGCCGAAACATGGACGGTGGGGACATTCAAAAAGCAGGCCAGCCAGATAATCCAAGGGATTCGATCAAGGGGACGACTACCTATTGTAGTAGGTGGGACTCACTACTATACTCAATCTCTTCTATTTGAAGATGAGCTCGTATCCACCGGAAAAGCTTCCGGGGAAGGACAGGATGATGAACAGCTTTCTATAGAAGAGTTATCCAAACGATTCCCGATACTCAATGCATCTACGGAACAAATATTGGATAGATTAAGAGAGGTCGATCCGTTGATGGCTGCGCGATGGCATCCTAATGACCGACGCAAGATTCAAACGTCACTTCAAATATTCTTGACAAGTGGAAAGAAAGCCTCCGATATTTACATGGAGCAGAAAGAGACCAAAGCCATAGCCCCGCCAAGTTTGGACGGCAATCCAAGCCTTCCAATCGTGTTCAAGATAGGCTCACCGTTACTTTTCTGGGTACATGCAAAATCAGATATCCTCAAATTCAGACTTGACAAACGAGTCGATAAGATGATTGATGTAGGCTTATTGGACGAAGTCAAGTCTATGGAAGCAATTCGTCAACAGCACATTCGTTCTGGTGCTGATCTTGATCTTTCTCGTGGCATATGGGCCTCTATTGGCTGGAAAGAATTTGAGCTATACTTATGTGCCCTTGAGACTGAAAGCGAGAGCTCAAAAAGGCGAGATGTTCTTCGTGATGATTCGTTGGAAAAAATGAAAGCAGCTACTCGGCAGTATGCTAAGCGACAAATTCGATGGATCGGCTTGAAATTAATACCAAAACTCGTTCAGGAGAAGGCTCTAGACAAATTGTATCTCTTAGATGGAACAGACGTTTCATCATGGTCGGAGAATGTATCCAATCCTGCTATTAATATTACACAAGAATTTATTCTTGGCAACGAGCTCCCCACGCCCAGCGAAATGTCAGATTTAGCTTTGGAATTTCTGAATCCCGAAAAGTCTTTGCAACACTCTCAAAGCAAAGCCCATTGGATACCAAAGAAATGCGAGATATGTCATACTGTCGTTATGGCTGAAGGCCAATGGCAAGTGCATCCTGCGACCCGTGCCCACCGAAGGATGGTAAAGAGGCTGCAGAGAAGTGGAGCAAACGGTAGGTCTCTTCACGAAGGGGAGGGCAGCACATGACCAATTACTACTTGAAAGGTATCAACGATATGCCCACAGTCTGAAAGATGCAGCTCACTCACCCCCACGCCACATCGTCGGACAGAATCTCAAAAATCTGAAAGCTGTAAGAGCTCGTGATACATCTACGATAACATGACCTCCACCAAAGGTTGGCCAAGATCCAGCCCTACAAAAGTCCACGAAAATGAAAGTAGGGGGTGGCACGACGTTTTACACGAAGGCTGGTGACTAGGTACTTTGTTCTACTTTCTGCTGTGCTTCGAGTCGGAACTTAGGAATTACTACCAACGTAAAATTTCACACGTTGGCCCTGACTACGGTAATACTTTGAGGAATTACTTGTTTTTGTACCCGCTTGTACGAACGCACGTCAAACAGCTGTAGCAACGTCATCTATTTTTGGCCAAATATTTACTTCTACTCAATCCCTCGAAAGTTTTAGAATCCACAAAGTTTAAGAAAACGGAATGTCGTGGATAAGGGTTACAATAAAGCAGCTTTTAGACGAAAACTTGGTTGCTCAAGATTGTCTCGCTTTGTTTCCAGACATTCATTGTTCCTCAGCTAGGCACTTTCTGATCGGATCGGGCATACATATATATATGTATTTCGACAATACGAAACTTCGAGTTCGATTACTTTGGTCAACTGAGATTCTCAACAATGTGAGGGAATTCACCAGATGATTAGATGTGGCCCCGGGAGATGTGGAGGGAGAATGAGGACTACCAATAACCTAGCACATGGGATATGTCAATTATGTTGCCTATTTTGCCTATATCCACATGGGTTTTCGCCGGCGACCGTGCCAACCCAGCAATATAATAACCCAGCTTACTAGGTATTATTTCGGTTAGCTTCCTTGGGACATAAGAGTTGTCTACGAGACTTATTGGGGTTCTGGGGCAGGGCTGATTGTAAAGTAAGAAAAGAGAAATGTACGTACTTTCCTAAGGCTGCAATATTCTGAATTTGAAGAAGCGAAGCAAGCGAAAGTGGAGCGATCTGCAAACGTCGTTTCAACGGCTTCTTGATATTCCATCTTCAAAAATAATTCGACTACTTAATCTTGACACAATCTTGATATAGTACAAAATCTTCGAATATGTCAAAACGAAATGAGCATGTCGTGATACATTACTATTTCAAATAGCATTATGTCAACAGCACCATGTTATACAACAAAGCCATTCAAATCTGCCACGGGAAGTCCCTTTACAAACAGTGTCAAACACTCAGACCATGAGGGATTTTTCTCCCAGATATCCTAGATTTAATTTTTGCGGCAAGGACCAGCCACGTATGTACGGACTAGGAATGAGTTCCCACGTTTCCACCTCCACCACCACAAAGACCTCGTCGGCCGATACTGAATTTAATTTTGTATGAGCGATTTGATGTAGCGCCTACATGCAGAGATTGAGTACTAGGTATGCTCATAATTTTATTACATTGAGGAAGTTGTCGTCGTCAGATTGATTTATCCCATCGCCTATCGGTGACAGATCTAGACCAGATCCAGCGACTGGAATGCAGGTGAATTTGAGTTTGTATTATGTGCAAGTCGTATGATGGGAACAGCTTGTGCTACTATACCACTTCCTCAGATGCGAAATTCACCCCACGGATAACCCAATCAGGTAATTATGATTTGCTCCCACGTTCGCGCCACTGTTTCTGGCAGGACATAATTACATTTGGTTAGAAAGATAGAAGACAAGGCCGGTTGATATTCACTGTTGACCATGGCTTGAAATAAAGTTTTGCATTGCCCCATTTGCCCGAAAGCGCGTAAGTCTGTTTGTTATCATTTCACTGGAAGCCGTGATACTTCTCTGGTTCCCTTAAATTCGTCAGGTCTCCTTCAATATTCAAGTCACTCGAAGTCATAGAGATCTTTGCCATCCTGCATAGCAATATAATTCCGTTCACTCTTTGTTTCCTGTCAACTTTTCTACCATTGAACAATAGGGTGGTACGGCTCCAAGCAGAGCTCTTGTGCCATACTGTTGAACTTCTGCACCTACTTGTCTGCCAATTACGGCACTGGCAAATCGTCCAACGGGAACATATTCTGCGAAATCTCTAGTCCTCTACCACAATTCCAAACTCTTCATACAACACTACAACAATCACAAATATGGCGGAGAAAGCCGTGTACGTCTCATCTGAGGATCGCGATGATGAAATTTTCCACGTTCAACCTAGACCCGAAGCTCGAATCAGATTCGGCGCTCAAGATGAGGAGGCAGGTAGACAGACAAACATACTTCCCAGAATGGCCCGGACAGCCACGAACAGCTCACAGCTATCAACGACAAGTTCAAGGCGCCGTAGAGTGTCCATCGATCCAGCGGCTGCTCTGCCAATTACTTATCGCACAGTCTCCTTTGCAATTGAAGAGAGTAAAGAGAAGCAAAGGCTGGAAGCAGATCGTGCAAAGAAGGATGCGGCAGCTGAGCTTGGTGATTTGGAGTGGCATACTTTGTCGACAGATAAGGTTATAAGCCGATTGGAGACATCACTTGCTCAGGGTCTCTCCAAAGAGCAGATCGAAGTCAAAACCAAAGAATTTGGAAAGAACATGCCTTCGAAGCCACCGTCGGACTTGATCTCGAGGGGTGAGTCTATTTCCATATCTATGTAGCGTTACAACAATTTTCATTGCCCGTTTAGATTTGGACTTATCGCTAATGCTTTCACTATTTAGTCTTTGGATATCTGTTCGGTGGATTTGGATCCGTATTATTAATTGGTGGTATTCTGGTCACCATCTCCTATAAACCACTCGGAGAGCCAAATCCGTCACAGGCCAATCTAGCTCTTGCGATTGTCCTCTACGCCGTCTTCGTGATCCAAGCTCTATTCAATGCATGGCAGGACTGGTCATCTTCTCGCACAATGGCGTCCATCTCAGGCATGCTTCCCGACGATTGCTTCGTCCTCCGCAATGGCAACCGCGTAGAGCTCGCCGCGATCGACCTGGTTCCCGGTGATGTTCTTTATATAAAATCTGGCAACAAGCTACCTGCAGATGTTCGATTTGTTGAAATCTCATCCGATGCTAAATTCGATCGCTCTATCTTGACAGGAGAATCGCAACCTATTCCTGGCTCAATTGAGAATACTGATCTCAATTATCTGGAAACACATAATATTGGTATGCAGGGAACACATTGCATCTCCGGAAGTGCTATAGGAGTTACCGTGAGCACGGGGGATAAGACAGTGTTTGGAAAGATTGCTACATTGACTAATACGCCTAAAACGGGTATGACTACGTTGCAGAAGGAGATCTTGAGGTTTATCATAATCATCTGTTCCATTATGGTGTTTTTCAACATAGTTGTTATCATCTGTTGGGCCGCATGGTTGCGACACAGTCATCCTGACTGGATCTCCACCGCCGTATTGATTGTCGGTATGTGATTATTCCTTATCCCGCTTGTCGGTTGCATTACTGGGAAGTGCAAAATACTAATATGTGGATAGACATTGTTACAGTAGCAGTGGCCTTCATCCCAGAGGGTTTACCCATCGCACTAACCGCTTCTTTGACCATTACTGCTAATATTATGAAGCGCAACCAAGTTCTTTGTAAATCGCTAAAGACTGTCGAGACCTTGGGAGCTGTATCAGTTATTTGCTCGGATAAGACTGGAACGTTGACAAAGGTAACATCAGTGCACACTCATCTTTGAATATGTTCGGGGCATTTTGGCTAAATTGCTTACTTAGAATAAAATGTTTGCAACCGAGTGTTCAGTTGCAGAAAAAACAATGAGCCCCGAACAAGCTGTCGAATTCCAAAAGTCCAATGGCATTACTACCAATTCTGTGGCTCAATTACGTTCCATCGCAGGATTGTGTAACGCCGGTGAATTTGATGCTGCTACGCTTAATCTACCTCTTTTAGAACGAAAGATTGCGGGAGATGCGACAGATCAGGCAATCCTTCGATTATCAGAAACATTTGGAGAGGTTCGAAAGTTGCACATGCTATGGAGAAAGACTTTCGAGCTAGCATTCAACAGCAAAAATAAATTCATGATCAGAACTCTAACGCTATCCGACCCGGAAGGCTTGGAACTTGCGGTATCACCTGAAGAGTTGGCGATATGGAGGAAGGAAGACCTCCTGTTGACTATCAAAGGAGCTCCAGATATCCTCGTGGAACGTTGCACCAAATATGTTGGCGAGGATGGTCATGTCTACCCATTGGATGCGGATATAAAGACCTCTATCGATGAGATCAAAAACAGGTGGTCGAGTCAGGGAAAGCGAGTGATCTTACTTGCAAGAAAGGTACTCCAAGGCCATCAAAGCCAGCACAGACCCGAAAATAATACCTTTGAAGCCGAAATTATGCGACAAGCCGGTAGCGAACTGATCTTAGTGGGACTTGTTGGTATTGTAGATCCTCCCAGAGATGAAATACCAGACGTGGTACAAGTTCTCAGGAGGGCCGGCATTCGAATCTTTATGGTCACTGGTGACTTTAAACTCACTGCTCAAGCGATCGCTATCGAATGCGGTATCATCAGCAGTCCGACTGACATGATCCACGATGTTTCTAGGCTCAACAGGAATGGAATGGACACCCCAAAGAGTATCTCAAGCGGTGTTATCAGTGAGAAAGATGCAGATCACAAGCATGGAGATGTGAGATCGATAACTCTTAGTGGCCCTGAGCTGATTACTCTGAATGATAACCAATGGGATCAGCTCTGTCAATATGAAGAAATTGTCTTCGCACGTACTACTCCAGAGCAAAAGCTACGTATTGTCAAAGGTATGCTCTTGAATCCCTCTCAGCTGTCAATATTTTTGTGACTAATCAGAGTACAGAATTCCAAAAACGTGATCATATAGTAGGTATGACCGGCGATGGAGTCAACGACGCTCCATCCCTAAAAGCCGCCGATATTGGTATCGCACTCGGAAGCGGTTCAGATATCGCCATCGAAGCCGCTGACATGGTTCTTCTCGATTCGTTCGGCGCCATCGTCGAGGCCGTTAAATATGGTCGCGTGGTCTTTGACAACCTGAAGAAAACCATCATTTACCTCCTCCCTGCAGGAACTTTCTGTGAATTCCTCCCCATCCTCACGAATGTCATTCTGGGTCTTCCTCAAATCCTCAGCTCTTTCCTCATGATCATGATCTGTTGTCTCACGGATTGTGCTGGTGCCACAGTTCTTGCGTATGAGAAACCGGAAGCTGATGTACTTTTGAGGAAACCCAGGGATGTTAAGAAAGATAGATTGGTTGATTGGAAATTGCTGTTTCATGCATATTTCTTTCTGGGTATGCAAGAAGCCATTGCGTCGTTTGCGATGGCCTATTGGTACTGTCAACGTAAGGGGGTTACATTTTCGATTTTATGGTTGGGGTATGGAAAATACCCGCCTCATTTGAGTAATGAGTATGTGCAACATGTGTTGGCGGTGGCTAGCAGTATTTATTTTGTCAATTTGGTTATCATGCAGTGGTTCAATTTGATGGTAAGCAATCCCACTACTGTCTCTCTCTTTCTCAAAGCTTCCAGCTCCTTATTTTAAGATTTTCTTGCTGACCAAAAACCAGGCAACCCGCACCCGCCGCCTCTCAATCTTCCAACAACCCCCCGCCTTCAACAAAGCAACACAAAATCTCTGGCTCTTCCCCGCCATAGCTTTCGCCCTCGTCGTAATATTCATCTTCCTCTACATACCAGGACTGGCATCTGCAATCAACAGTAGCCGAATTCCGGCAGAGTTCTTTTTCTTTCCGTTGTGTTTTGGAATGTGGATACTTTTCACGGATGAGGTGAGGAAGTTTTGTGTGAGGAAGTGGCCGGAGGGATGGTTGGCGAGAATAGCTTGGTGAGGGAGGGTATGTTATCAGGAGGGTGCACAGTAGATACTTTTTGGTTAGAGAAGAGGAGATCATGTTTGGTGGGAGCCGTGCTGCGAGATGGTTGGTGGTTTGCGTTGAGACTGTAGAAATGGGAGGTCTTTGCTTTAGATTTTGAATTTGATGGGTGGCTCGCTTTTATATAGTTGTCAGTTCGTGAGCATGATGATACTAGATTACGTTTAGACACATTCATGAATAACGAAAGCATTGCGTTGCGATACATTTCGTATATTGAACGATCAACACTTCCTTCAGTAACCATATTGATGCCTTTCTTTATTTCATTAGAATATCATACTATGCCTTTTCGAAAAGCCGAACCATAGCTGATTATGGGAAGTCTTCTAGAGTCTTAACTAATCAAGAAGAGTACTCCATTACTGTTGTGAGATGGGATCAAAATGGCTTAAATGAATGATATCAATTACTCGAGTAGATACGTTGCCGGTAAACCCTTTCCTGGATAGTTTGCTTAGAACAAAACTGGCAGAATGCTTTGTTTCATATTTCTTGAACAGATGATTATTACTATAAAAGTTATCGATGCGGTATACAGGAGTATATTAATCATCTCATGTTTTCATCTCATCTGCATAAAAGGGGTTTCGTTCGGTCAACCCGGTGAAGCTTGTACCTCTTGCTTACTAATCTTCTTATAGTCCAAAGGCCACATCTTTACAATCAGGCACTAATCCCAAAGTTTACTAGAGTAGTCAGAACACATCAATTAACCCCAAGCTTTGAGATCTGTTCGATTTATTCCTTTCCGAACACATATATCACCACGCGAGATATAAACTGCAATACTTTTTTTATTAAAGAGCACAGTATCGACGACGTGCCATTCTTTAACTCCTCTTCTTCCTCTTCTTTTTCCACTTTTGTGAGGTTTTTTTAGATACTAAATCGCCAAGATGAGTGGCCGTAAGTTACATATTTTATTCCTCTGACAGAGCTCATCGTCATAAGTGTTCATGAGCTTCTCAACATTCAAGTCCCCAAAATCAATTGCAGATTACTGACAATGTATCTTTTTAGTTCGATTCCTCGATCTCATCAAACCCTTCTCGCCGTTCCTCCCTGAGGTTCAGCAACCCGAGACAAAGGTCCCATTCAACCAAAAGATAATGTGGACGGGTTTGACACTATTGGTATTCTTGGTTATGAGCCAAATGCCATTGTATGGTATTGTGTCCTCGGATACCTCCGATCCTCTATACTGGTTAAGAATGATGTTGGCAAGTAACAGAGGTACTTTGATGGAATTGGGTATTTCGCCAATTATTTCCTCGGGAATGGTTTTCCAGCTTCTTGCTGGTACACACTTGATTGATGTCAACCTCGACTTAAAGGCTGATCGCGAGTTATATCAAACTGCGCAAAAGCTCTTCGCTATCATCTTGTCAATGGGTCAAGCTACTGTTTATGTGTTCACTGGATTATACGGTCAACCATCCGATCTTGGTGCCGGTGTCGTCTGCCTTCTCATCCTCCAACTGGTTGTTGCTGGTTTGATTGTCATTCTACTTGATGAGCTCCTCCAAAAGGGATATGGTCTCGGAAGTGGTATCTCTCTCTTCATCGCTACCAATATCTGCGAGTCTATCTTCTGGAAAGCATTCTCTCCCACCACCATTAACACTGGTCGTGGCCCGGAATTCGAGGGTGCCGTTATTGCGCTCGTCCACTTGCTCTTGACATGGCCAAACAAGCAACGTGCTCTCCATGAGGCTTTCTATAGGCAAAACCTTCCCAACATCATGAACCTTTTGGCTACTTTCGTCGTCTTCTCGGCCGTTATCTACCTCCAAGGATTCCGCGTTGAGATCCCAGTCAAATCTTCCCGCCAACGTGGTGCTCGTGGATCTTACCCAGTTCGTCTCTTCTACACCTCCAATATGCCAATTATGCTACAATCCGCTCTCTCTTCCAACGTCTTCCTCATCTCTCAGATGTTGTACTCCCGCTTCTCCGAGAACTTGCTTGTTCAGCTTTTCGGTGTTTGGGAGCCAAAGGAGGGCTCAGCACAACTTTTTGCTACCTCCGGTATCGCATACTACATGTCTCCACCTTTGAATTTCACCGATGCCCTCCTCGACCCAATCCACACCGCTGTCTACATTACTTATATGCTCGTTGCATGTGCCATCTTCTCCAAGACCTGGATTGAGGTTTCCGGCTCCAGCCCAAGAGACGTTGCTAAGCAACTCAAGGATCAAGGACTCGTCATGGCTGGTCACAGAGAACAGAGCATGTACAAGGAGTTGAAGCGCATTATTCCTACTGCTGCCGCTTTCGGTGGTGCCTGTATTGGTGCTCTTTCCGTCGGTAGTGACTTGTTGGGGGCTCTTGGGTCTGGTACCGGTATCTTGTTGGCTGTCACGTAAGCATTATTACTCCAATATTACCATATGTATTTCAATGACTAACATAATTATAGTATCATCTACGGATACTTTGAGATCGCCGCAAAGGAGGGCGATATGGCTGGCATGAAGGGCATGATCATGGGATAAGGAATTCCCTATCATATCTTTCAATTCTCTTCTTGTATGCTTGATTACATAAAAGAAAAGTCAATGATTCAGGATCGGTGGAAGTTGGGTTGGGGAATTGGGACGGGTTTCAAAGATCTAATGAAACGAGACAATATCATTTTATCGACATACACGCTATCATGTTTGTGTAATGTAACATTAGGTGGGATGGGGATGGGTGTACTCTGGAAACTGCATTGCATGAAATTTTGAAGGCACAAAAACATGAGCATGAGGTATCAAAAGCAAGCACTTGTTGTACAATGTGAAAAGAAATTATTTGTTAAATATCAAGTTTGTTTTATGTTAGTAGCTGCATATACGAATGTGTATGAACAAGTTATGTTATGTTATGTTATGTTATGTTATGTTATTTTATGTGCGGATGTATCATGTTGTGATTTGGATCTTGATAATGTTAGCTAGCTCATAATAGATGATAGTATGCATACAATATCAGCAAGGACGTACCGGCATTGTGTAGATTTATATATATACAATTATTCATTTGTACGAGTATATCTGATGAAGATACAAAGTCTTTTTTCTTCTAATTCCACGCACGGCAGCATTCTATATTATGGTATCCAGCAGCAGAACTTGGGAAAAGGGGAGAGAGAGGGAGAGGGAGAGGGAAGAAGGGAGGGAGAGGGAGGGAGAGGGAGGGAGAGGGAGGGAGAGGGAGGGAGAGGGAGAGAGAGGGAGGGAGAGAGGGGGAACTTGAAGTTGGGGCTGTGGAATTGGTGGTTGTGGGTAGAGATGTATAGTGGATGGGTGGTAGATAGGTGGTAGATGGGGGAAGTGTGGTGTCGCGGGGTTATTTATGGTTGTGGTTGTGGTTGTGGTTGATGGGTTTTGAGGGAGGAAGGTGGGAGGTGGTGGGAAGTGGGAAGTGTGAAGTGGAGAGGGAGTTGGGATTGGGATTGGGAATGGGATTGGAAATGAGGTTGGAGTTCGAGTTCGAGCTGGAGTTCGATTTGTTAATACATGTATGTATGTATGTATGTATGTATGTATGTATATATGTAAATATGTATTTTTGACTCTAGCTTTTGACGAGAGGGGTGTTTTATATAGGGGATGTCTGGATTTGTATTGAGATTTGGACTTTGGAGAGGAGATACGATGAGATGAGATGAATGTACTGTATTTTTGCCGAACCTACATGTAATTAGTAATAGTAATTATGTATTGTATTCCAAACAACCTTTCGCTTCTCGCTCCAATACACTAGGTACTCATACCGGTATAAAAGCCCTAAATCCACCCACCGCCCACCGCCCTCCGCCCACTGTCTTTCTTTTATACTATACTATCATTGCTATACTTATCAAGACCTCAATTACTTCCTCGATAAATCTTTATCTTTGATTCCATTTACCGGTTTTGTTTTTCCTACAGACTACAGTACTCGAGTACGTTATTAGATTCGATTCTTTCTTTCTTTCTTTCTTTCTTTCTTTCATCTCATAGGAATTCTATATTCTGAGTGTAGATTAGACTAGACTAGACTATGGCTACTAGTACTTTTGGGAAGTTTGGGGACTAATTATAGGTACTATACCTATACCTATGGGGAACTTGGTATTTGGTAGTGTTGAAAGGGATGGTTTGGTGGATGGTGGATGGTGAGTGTGGATGTAAATATAAGTGGTACGTACGAGTAGATATGTAAGGTACTCCTTGAGGAAAATAAATGCGAGACTGAGCTCGAGGGGGTGTTGCTGTGGGTAGGTAGATATTGGGTTTGGATTTGATAATCAATGATTTGATTAAGAGTCTGAGGGGAAGGAAGAAGGGAGGGAAGAGAAAAGAGAACTTCTTTGTGAGGATTGCAATGCGGAGGTTGAATGGGTATGCAGGTAGTCATCATGCATATATATGGTGGCGAGGGAAGTGCGAGCTGGTGTTGAAGTTGAAGTTGAAATTGAAATTGAATATGTCCCACCGCACTTTCGGTCAGGGACATTGAATATATTATCTTTGAAACGTAACTACCTAGGTATCGGAACAATGAGGGTTTTTATTAGACGGGACTCGGGAGGGGGCAATTGTTCAAGAAGATCTATATAGAATACCTAGTCTGAGATCGCTTGATGTTAGAAAAGTAAGACTGGGAAAATAGAGGCAGTTAAGAAATATGGGATGAAATGTATTACAGTACCGAAAAAGTATATTCAATGTCCGTATGAACTTGTATCGTTCCGAACTTCGGCTAGCTACTGTACTGCAGTATGGCCCGGTAAGAATGATATTTGTGCATTTCGGAGAGGTTGTTAGTAGTAATCTTGCTAACTTGCTAACTTGCTAGGCATCCGGGTTGACAGTCTCTGTCTCTCTACTCAATGACTCTTACATATCTTCGGCTCGAAGAACTTGAACCCTTAAAGATATATTTTCCAATTCAAACTGTCTATTTACCCCAATTAACCCGAAATGTTTAATAAGGAATCACCTCTCATTCGTGGCATTCTGCCATTCTGCCATTCTGCATAAGTCTACATGAGTCTACATGGTTTAGAAGGGATCACATCACAGGCGAGGGCGGGTGATACCCATTCTGATGTTTCCTCGTCTCGTAACGCTCGTTGTAAAAAGAGCGACGATTAGACACCATCAAAACCAACCACAGAGGCGTTTTCTGTCATACATCGAGTGCCACCAGCTAGTTTGACATCTGAGTCAGAGCCGTTATCGCACATGGCTTTCTGCTTTTTGCTTATGTAATGTACAGATAAGGACAAGGATAATTTTCCGACAAATCAACAACTTTGGGTTTAGTATTACTATACAGTACTCAGTACTGTTGTAACCTTTGTAGATGTTTGTATTATATATTATATGAAATTCTTTTTTCCTGATCGTGGTTGTCCACTTTACAATGTTATAAAGTCCCACTTTACGAACTGAGGAAGCGGCTACTATTTTAGATACCCGCCACCTTCCTTAATGGGTGTTCGGTACAGCAGTGGCTCATTATCATTGATAGGTCTTTTCGTTCCGATGAGTAATGGCGGTGTGCTGCTAGGTGTGGAGGAAGTGTGGAGATAGAGATAACCGGTATGATGCAGATATGAAGGGGTGCTGTAGTCAGGAACCGATCGATGTATATGAGGGTCTGAGAATGGGTCAGTCAAGTGTGAAATTGTGAATACAGTACCGGTAGAGTCTTCATGATGGATGCGGTATGTTTATTGTATTGTATTGTAACCTGAAAGTCAAAGATATAGAAAGTATAGAGGTAGGTAGGTATGTAGTCGTTGATGTATTGTGTAGTACTGGACTTGTAGGAAGAGCAATCAATACGGAGTAGGAATTTACTTACCTAGGTACGTACTGTGATCTGAACATAACAGATCATCTCTTCATAGACACCCGGTATATGTTTTGGCCAAAGTATGTGTATACCTTAATTCTTATTCAATATTCAAAGAGGTTCCCTGTTGTGTATATCTATACTTTCTACCTACTACCAACCACTCACTCATCTTGGTAACGGAGCACGGAATTTATTACTCTAGTAGAGCGGGACCAACGCCAAGTGGGGCAAATGTTGGGTCAGTCCTGGACTCATTCAGTCTATTACAGATAAATCATATGCAGTATCAGTTAGTCAGTTAGTAGTTTAGTTTTCCTATCTACTTATTTATTCCACCTTCTCTTCCATTACCCATCTCCCATCTCCCATTTCTCATTCTCATTTAGTATACGAGTTAAATTACATACTTTTTTCTTTCTTGTCGACCCCGTCTTGTAGTAGGACTTCTCAATAATCAAACGACATTTAGTTGTCACCCATCCGGGTGCTTCTCTTTTCTTCGTCATTATATTATATAATTAACTCTTTTTTTTTCACTTACCAAGGTCATCATTTATAAGTGGGAAATAATAATCCCTTAGTACTAGTACCATTGACCAGTTCAATGATCGATTAGGACCGCACACAATACCTACCTTCGAAACGTTTCAATCACCATTATACTGTCCAGTGCCCTACAAGAGCAATCATGTTAGGACAATGCAGTGGGCCTATATGGCGAGTCGATGATTTCACAAACTGCGTTCAGAGAGAGTGAGTTGGGCCAATCCGCGTGCCGCTGAGGGGGAGTAAAACTGACCGCTTGAAAAAGTTATCTCAAAGTACTTTTTCCATTAATAGTTATCGGCCTTTCGTTCCTCAATCTTTTAATATCTGTCATTCGCCGGAAAGTCAAATTAAAACAGAAACAAAAGTATTGGCAGCTTCGAAATGGATCAATTGACCATGCGACGACAAACCGCAATGGATTCACTCATCATAATGGGGAGGCAGTTGCGAATGGAAATGATCACACCGCTATCGAGGAGGAAGATGAGGTTTTGACGATGAATGGTGGTGGGCGATTAGTATTGACCAAAACGACTACTCAAGGGTCGGTTGCCGCCATTGATAATCCGAGAGGGCAAAATACCTTGACGGTCATTGAACTCCTCGCCATCACGGCAGAGATCGGTATTCATATCGCAGTTGTTTCACTCGGAGCATATGGTTCAAAAGGGTTTATGGCTGCAACTGCTGGAATCGTTACATGGACCTATATTTTCATACTTGCAAGTTTGAGATTTGCTCTCTCCAATACGCGGTGGAGGGTCCCAAGAATATGGAACCACACAGCTGCTTTGTACACTGCCCAATGGCTCTTCTCGCTCGTCATTTTCCGCTCCGCGTTCATTCATCCGCGCTCTAAGGTCAGCCAGGCACTCATCGTCACGGACTTCGTGCTCTCTTCGCTTCTTTTCGGACTCGCAATAACTACACGCAAGGGTAATAAAGCTGTGGTATTGGAGTGGGAGGGAGATATTGAACCTTCAAGGGAGCCATTGGCCAGCTTGTTCTCCATTGCCACCTTCGCATGGGTAGATGCCATTGTTTGGCATGGCTATATCAATACTTTTGAGATTGCAGATGTCTGGAACCTTATGCCAAAGGACAAGGCAACCACCGTCTTGGCAGACTATAGACAGCTCAAAAAGACAACAGCTTTGACGTGGCATTTAATGGGCTACTTTAAAGGTCTACTTACTGTACAGTGTGCATATGCCGTCTTTTCTGGACTTTTCAATTTCGCGCCTACATTGTTGTTGAAAGCTATTCTTGAATATATAGAAGATCCGGATTCGGCGCCTCGCAATGTAATCTGGCTATACGTCATTCTTCTTGCATTCACGGATATTCTCCGTTCGCTAGCTGATCAACAAGCCCTTTGGATTGGCCGCAAGATCTGTATAAGACTAAGAGCAATCATCATTGGGGAGATCTACGCCAAAGCATTAAGAAGAAAGGCTGCATCAGGGAGTGATTCTGTCCTCGGAGCAAAGAAAGGCCCGAAGAATCTAGAGAAGCCTAGCTGGTGGCGACGAATGCTTGGAAAGAAGAAGGATGAGCAAGCTTCCCATGATGCGCAGACTCCGCCAGACGCTACAGCTGAGATCGAAAAGAAGACAGATGAGCAAGCTAATGTTGGTACCATTATAAATCTCATGTCTGTTGACTCCTTCAAAGTCAGCGAAGTCACTGCGTATCTTCACTTTCTCTTTGCCGCTGCTCCAACCCAATTGATTGTAGCTGTCTACCTTCTCTATCGTATCCTTGGAAAGAGTAGTATCCCAGGTCTCATTGTTATGACTATTCTTCTCCCTGTGAATATCGGATTCGCCCGTGGTTTTGGAGCTGCCCAGAAGAAAATCATGGCGGCCACTGATAAAAGAATCCACACAACTAACGAGGTGTTGGAAAACATACGTATTATCAAATATTTTGCTTGGGAAAAGCGCTTCACTGATATTGTCAATGATAAGAGAGCTGATGAGCTAAAAGCGTTACGCATGAAGTACATCATATGGGCTTTCGCTGTTGCTGTTTGGAACACTGTTCCAGTGGTTATTACTTTCTTTTCATTTCTCTATTATACAGTTGGAGAAAAGAAACCACTTTATCCCTCCATCGCATTCACAGCTATCTCACTTTTCAACATCCTTCGTGTTCCTCTAGATCAATTGGGCGACATGATAGCTCATGTTCAAGAAAGTCAAGTATCGATCGATCGAGTGGAGGAATTCTTGAATGAAGACGAGACCGAAAAGTACGATCAGCTCTCACACGATAACTTGGATGAGGATGGCAATCAAATGATCGGATTTAGAGATGCTACTCTGTCATGGGGTGGCAAGGAGGCGTCCGCTGATGATGATACATCAACCGCATTCCGGATGATGGATTTGAATGTTAAATTCGCAATTGGTCACTTGAACATCATTGCCGGACCCACTGGATCTGGAAAGACTTCTCTCTTAATGGCTCTTCTTGGTGAGATGGCACTGATTAAAGGAAAGGTGTTCCTTCCTGGTTTTTTCAGTCGTGAAGATGTCCGACCTGATCCCGAAACTGGCCTCACCGAAACCGTTGCCTATTGCGCGCAACAACCTTGGCTCGTAAATGCCGATATCAAGGAAAACATCTTGTTTGCTGCCCCAATGAATGAGCAGAGATATAAAGATGTAATTGTTGCTTGCGCTTTGGAACGTGATCTAGAGATTCTGGATGATGGCGACGAGACACTCGTGGGTGAAAAGGGTATCAGTCTTTCCGGTGGCCAAAAGCAGCGTATCTCTCTCGCAAGGGCCCTATATTCAAACTCTAAACATGTACTCCTCGACGATTGTTTGAGCGCTGTGGATTCCCACACTGCCAAGTGGATATTCGATAATTGTATTCGAGGGCCATTGATGCTGGATCGTACATGCATCCTCGTCACACACAATTTATCACTTTGTGTTCCCCATTCTCGATATGTTGTTTGTCTTGAGAATGGTAAGATCACGGAACAAGGATCCGCAGACAAGGTCATGGCTTCAGGAAAGTTAGGAGAGGAAATTATCAAATCACGTCCTGCTTCCGCTCCTCATTCACGCATGCCATCTCGAGTTCCTTCCAGCGTTGGTGATGAGAGTAGTGAAACTCTCATTGAAGATCAGCCCGCAAACGGTAAGCTGGATGGTGCAAATGGAAAGCCCAAGGCAAAGAAATCCAAGCAAAAGAAAGATGCCATGGCCGAAACGAAGGCAGAAGGTGGCGTCAAATGGAAAGTTCTCGTATTGTATTTGAGAGCCATGGGCCCTTGGTGGTTCTGGGTACTCGCTGTAATGGTCTTTGGTGTTCAACAAGTTGGAGCTCTTGGAGCCAATGTATGGATTAGGGAATGGGCAAATCAGTGAGTTTCCTACATCCTTTTTAAATTATCGTCTGATGCTAATGGGTTAAAACTAGATATGATGCGGAAAGTGTGCGTGCCAAATATCACTTATCAGCAAACAATTACATTGGCAATACCATCTCAACGGTTCAAGTCGCAAGCTCAAAGTTATCACAAATTCAACCATTCTTCGACCCAAACCAGACTTCAATTGTCGCAAAATTTGCGCCAGATGTTGATGTTGGATTCTATCTCGGAGTATATGCATTAATTGGTATCGCATGCATGTTAATTGCCCTTTTCAGAGATTTCTGGCTCTTTTTCGGCTCCCTTACTGCAAGTTGGAGAATCCACAAGGATCTGATGAAAGCCGTCACCCGAGCAAAATTCAAGTTCTTTGATTCGACTCCGTTAGGCCAACTCATGAATCGATTCAGTAAGGATTTGGAAGCTGTGGATCAAGAAGTCGCACCTATTGCCATCGGAGTCATGTCATGCGCTTTGGCAATCATCGTGACAGTCGCTTTGATCACTGCCATCACTCCTGGTTTCTTAATTGCGGGTGTGTTCATTAGCGCCATGTATTTCTTCGTTGGTAAATTCTACCTCCGATCATCAAGAGATTTGAAGAGAATCGAATCAATTCAAAGAAGTCCGCTTTTCCAACAATTTGGAGAAACACTCAATGGTATCACCACTATCCGAGCTTATGGTGATGAGAAACGCTTTGTTCGAGACAATATGCTGCGAATCAATACCCATAGTCGACCATTTATCTATCTATGGGCAGCAAATCGATGGTTGGCATTCAGAATTGACTTGGTCGGTGACTTTGTTGCATTCTTCGCAGGAGCATTCATCGTTAATAGTATCGGAACAATTGATGCTGGCTCTGCTGGTCTTTCTCTGAGTTATGCTATCAGTTTCACGGAGAATGTTCTTTGGATGGTGCGACTGTATTCCATGAATGAACAGAACATGAACTCTGTAGAGCGAATCAAGGAGTATTTGGATGTTGAGCAAGAAGCAGCGCCGTATATAGAAGAGACAGAGCCGGCTAAGAATTGGCCGAGCCAGGGATCTGTGGAGTTTATCAATTACACTACAAGATACAGGGAAGATTTGGATCCTGTATTACGAAATGTCAGTTTTAAGATTCGACCTCTGGAGAAGGTTGGTATCGTTGGCCGAACGGGTGCAGGAAAGAGTTCTCTCGCTCTTGCGCTATTCCGTGGTCTTGAAGCTGAGGAAGGAAAGATTTTGATTGATGAAGTAGACGTTGGTCTCATTGGCCTTCGTGATCTTCGCGAGAGAATAACCATCGTGCCACAAGATCCAACTCTGTTTACCGGCACCATTCGAAGCAATTTGGATCCTTTCGACCTTTTCACAGATGAAGATATTTTCACAGCATTAAGAAGAGTCCATTTAATCGGTTCAGCAGGCACATCGACAAACCCTTCTACACCTGGTGTCTCACGAGCACCCTCGCTTGAAGCACTACCAGGCTCTTCAACCACTAATAAAAATATCTTTCTTAACCTCAATTCCGCTGTTACCGAATCCGGAAACAACCTCTCGCAAGGTCAAAGACAACTTCTCTGTCTCGCCCGCGCTATGCTCAAACAACCAAAGGTTCTCATGATGGACGAAGCTACCGCATCCATTGACTATACTACGGACTCAAAGATTCAGGAAACAATTCGAGAACTTAAGAGTACCATCATCACGATCGCGCATCGTTTACAGACGATTGTGGATTATGATAAGGTTTTAGTATTAGATAAGGGAGAGGTGGTAGAATATGCCCATCCTTACGAGTTATTGAAGAAGGAGGGTAAAGATGCGATCTTTAGGGGTATGTGTGAAACGAGTGGAGACATGGATGGATTAATGGAGGCTGCTAAAAAAGCTTGGGAAGGGGCGAGACTGGTAGACGATGAGTAGAGATTCATGGAGCAGCATAGTAATCATATGGACTATACTTTGTTCACTCTCGTCAAGCATGAGGGTTTCCTTTGTGTAGATGGGTTTTGGGATTGGTTATATGAATATGGGTGAGTGGCAGGTTTCTTGTGCCAGCAAGTAGATATTAAGCTGTGATTCACAGCTTTGGGAGTACATAAGAAATAAACAAATCACTCAAAATGTTGAAGAAAGGAATTGATGGTGTTTTACTGAGTGAGGAATGTGATATTAGTGTGTGTGTCTGAGAGTGAGTGATCGCTTTTCACCATCACATCCATTATGCTCATTAGAGTAAGAACCTCGCTATCCATATTTCGTTTGTTCGTTCGTTTGTTCGTTCACTCTAATACTAACTATTTCATCTTGTTGGGTCTGGGTGTCCTTGACTGTAAATTATATCTACTTCATGTTCGGATATGATATAATTATACGAAATGAGCTGAGTGAATATAAACTGTCGTGATGTTTTCCCGAAGATCGAGTATTGTTGTTCATGAAGTAAGTATTAGGGTTTTTTTTATACATATCTTTATAATGATGATAATAATAAGTCGAATATCACAGGTAGTTGTTCCTAACTTCTGAAGCGAAGACACTCAGACACCCCGAAATCGAGTCCGAAACTGACAGGGACATTATCACGGGAATGTATATATACCTAGTCAATACAAAGGATTTCATCTAGCAGACATTACCAATCGAACTTACCGGACAGGCTTTTGCTTGCTAGAAATTTCAAACTTATAATGCTTTATCCTATCTATCGCCCCAGGTCATTAATATTGCTCTCGAGCTTCTTTCGCCCCTTACCTTACTCCCATATCTATACTAGGTATCTTAATCAATCATAGTGTATACTCCGTATATGCCATAGCAACGAAATCTTGCAGCACATACACTCATCTCATTTAGCGACTAATTAAATGGTTCCGGCCAGGTACTATCACAACCACACTGTCTGTATCAATTCCGTTCAACTACTCACTTCAAACGTTATAAATATCTCCTGGATAAAACCCAACCAATCTCTCAGACGCATTACTAGGCCTAAACTTCGCTTCCTTTCCTGCCAATTCGGCTCCCTTCGCCTTATTCTGCACCTCTACAAACTCGAAGCCCTCTGGACCCGTCTTTGATTCCTCTGGAAGCAAATCATAGATTGCTTTGGCGTATTGAGGATCGATATTCCAAAGCTGGGCAAGATATCCCACCTTAATCACCTTCGCGTCGACAAAGCGTAACAAACTTGCTGTATTATGATGCAAGTGATCCCTTTGTGTATCCGACATGACCCGCGTGTATAATTCTCTCGCTTGATCGTAATCCGAGAGCTTCCCTTCGTGGTAAAAATGACTTTTGCGAGATACCACATTATCGGCCACGGTGTAAGGGGCCTCGGCCACATCGGGTCGGAATTTGTGCTTGAATGAGTTGGGCACATAGGGGGGGTTTCCGGCATGGTTTGCATCGACGCGCATTTGGCCGTCGAAATTGAGCGAGCTGAATGAGCTGGCCATAAATGGACAGTTCACGGGTATTTGGTGCAAGTTCACTCCGATGCGATGGTATTGCGCATCGCGATAGAAAAACATGCGGAATTGTAAGAGGGGATCTGGACTGTCTCCAATACCGGGTACCATGCTTCCAGGCGAGAATGCGGCTTGTTCGACATCACGATGGAAGTTTTCGGGGTTCTTGTTGAGCACCAGCTTGCCAAATTCGTGCATCTGTGTGTTCTGAGTTAGCAAGTTGGGATGGAGTAAGCTGGCTTGGAATTACTTACGGGGAATTTATCTCTGGGCCAGACTTTGGTGACGTCGAATGGATCGAAGCCTAGCGTATTTGCATCAGCCTCATGCGGTTGCATGATCTGTACATGAGCCGACCATTCCACTAGCTCTTTCTTTTCTATGGCGTCCCACAGATCCCGCTTGGAGTAGTCAGGATCTACACCACTAACCCTGATGGCTTCCTCTGCCGTGAATTGCTTCTTGCCATGCTTGGCCACGAAATGATACTTGATGTAAACGAATTTTCCAGCTTCGTTCACCCACTTGAAAGTATGACAGCCAAAACCATCGACAAAGCGCCAGCCTTTGGGCGTGGCATGATCGCTAAAGAACATCATACCTGCATGATTAGCCTCGGGGGTGAGAGCGAGGAGATCAAAGAGAGAATTGTAATCCAGCAGGAAGTTTTTGGGGTTGCGATATTGTGAGCGAATGACATCTGGACCTTGAATGGGATCTCGACAGAAAAAGACGGGCTGTCGGAACGTTAGAATGGATAGATTCTTTTCAACGACTTGCATTGCTGGGATTACGTACAAAGTTTAGTCCAACAATATCGTAGTTGCCTTCTCCGGTGTAGAATTTGATGGCGAAACCGCGTGGGTTGCGTGCTAGGTCCGGAAACTCACGTCCAAGTGTGACGGTGGAGAAGCGCATGAAGACGGGGGTTTTCACGCCCTTATCTCTTAGGAAATTGGCCTTTGCGAATATGAGTATGGTGATAATATCTGAGGATGGCAAAGATCTAAAAAATTTACCTTAGTCAGACCCGATACATCTGCCGTCGTCTCAAAATAGCCAAACGCTCCACTACCGCAAGGGTGCACCATTCCTAATTTTGTCAATCAATACATTCTCCTCAATCATTGTCTATATTGCAACTCACTCTCAAGATTCTTGTTCCGGTTAAAATGCTGCTGCTTCTGGAACAAGAATACATCACTAGCCAACGGCAAACCTCCTACATTCTTACTATGCGCAGGGTCTGGAAATGGAATCCCTTCATTGCTGGTGAAGTAGGGACCATTGTCTTCACGCATACCTCCACTCTGCACGCCTGATACTTTGGCTATGATGGCTGCAGGACCATCATTGGCATTGTTGAAGAGGGAAGCTTTTTGAAGAGCACGAGGATCACCGCCTGCACTGCCTATTGCAGACTGGATTGCTTGGAGGGGATGGATGTTTTGAGCCATTGCGTCCATGGATTGAGATGTTCTGGTGTGATTGTTGTTTTGGGGGTTCTTGCAAGTGTTCAGTACTGGTCTTGGAATGAGTAAGAAGTGATTAGATTGGATTGTCGGAGTTTTAAAGTAAAATCGCTCCTCATGTATTCAAGATGACGTACCTTATTTATACATAACCAAAAACGGAATGCATCCCGATCTGACCAATTACAGTTACGAGGGCCATTTATCTGCAAGCCACAAATTCATTGTGGTTGTATGCAACCGGTCTTACTGGGTATTGCTCTTTGACCGGAGTATCTACTCCGTTCTAAGTCCGCAATTGGAACATAATTGTGTCTCGGCATTCGCAGAATTTGTTTGTGATTTGGGGAAGAGTTCGGTGGGATGAGTTTGTGGGATATGAAACTTCAATGTGGAATATTTTATTATTAGAGATGTGAGGCTTCAATGAGTGATGCATTACTATCAATTTAGTAACTACTTAGTACCTCGACGATATCCTTAAATGGTGAAATCCATGTCCCAGCAATCATAAATCATAAGGAAACCCCCCAAAGAATATTATCAACTTGTAATTGGCATATTCTGCTGCAGTAAAAAAAGAAAACATTCCCCGCTGCAACCCCTGAAGCACCCCTCACCCTCACCCTCACCCCTCACTTCGTACTAGGATTAGGACTACCCACACTATCCGGAAACTTCCTAAACAAATCCCCCAAATGATCGATAGGCGCCGTCATCAAACCCACCACCGTTTCAAAGGGCGGTTTATTCGGCGCACCCGGATGACTCCGACTCGGGACAAAAGCTTTGGTGCGACCAAAAGATTTAGCCATGGCCTCAGACTCATGAGTCTGGAGCGCAGCTTCGAGCGCGGGAAGATCCTCGTTTTCCTCGCCTTGGATGTGCGTATTGAGGTTCTTCATGAGGGCGTCCAGGGTGGGAATCAGGGTTGCGTCTGAGGAGGCGAGGTTCTGGAATTTGTAGAGCGCTTCTTTGACCTAGGGGTGGGGGGTTTTGTGTTATTTTGGGTTTGTAATGGCTGGGGGTGGGGGGTAGCGATGGTGATTTGCTTTGGCTTGGATAGAGAGAAAGGGATACATACTGTTTGATGTTCGGCGCGATCCGAATCGGCCATTTGTTGACCTTGCATACCAAGGTGTTTTGCAAATGCGGGATAAACGACTAATTCCTCTCCAATGGAATGACGGGCCAACTCCCACGTAAATTGGTTTTGCCAGCGGGCTCGAGTGTCATCATCGGTGGCCTGACGTATCTTGTTGGCGTATTCGTTGATTTCTCGATGGTCTTTGAGGATTGCGTCGGTGATGGTAGACATGGCTGCACGTGTTGTGATATTTGTTCGTTTGATTGATGAGAGGATTGAATGTGAACGTATTGAAGAGCTGATTGCTCGTGTGAGGATGGTCATTTGGTGTAGGTACTAGGTAGGCGGATGGATTTTTGGGAAGAGGAGGAAGAGGTTGGGAGAGGTTGATTCGTTTAAGTATTGGGGTTGTCGTTAAGGAGTTTTACTAATCCCGCGCTTCTCATTGGTAAATGTTGTACTTAACAGATGACGTAGGACTAGAAGTGAATGTAATACAATATAAAAGAATATGTAGCATCATAATGGAAGTTTGAAGTGGTGTCAAATTGACGTATGGATTCTCAATTGATCTTTTTAATTGGCCAGGAGCTTTCTCTCCCCTTATTCATGTAGGGCTGTAAGAATGCGGGGTAGAGGGGGGAAACCGGTTAGTAGCTTGAATTTGAAACCAAGCCTCTTTGAGCCGACACCGATTTAGGTCTCAATGACTAAGTCCTTACATGCCTGCCAGCTTTTGTTTTTCCCGGCAATTTTTGTTTGTTCTCAATCATTTAACAGCTTGCCAGTATTAGAAAGGAATTTCTACATTATTGTATGAGTATGATGAAGTAAAATGCCGTTATTAGAGGAGAATATACACTAGTATACACGATATAACTAATGTGCAAGATTCATAGGAGGAAGATATCTTGTTTGCTTTCAAGTAAAATATTAGAAATATAAATTCAAAAGATTATATAAACATGATCCACCACACACGGAAATATATGAGGGATGTAAAATGACAAACCACAGCTCTAGCTATTTAGATACACAGGGTAAAAGTCCCTAATATAAAGCCGCGCAGTAACTGTTTGTGACCCTGGTCTGTGAGCTAGCAACCGCCTTGGGTTGTCCTTGCAGTCCCATCTTGAGAACTGAACGAATCATAATATAAAAAGCATGCTTGATAAACGAAAGGAATGATCAACTGCAGGAGTTCACTAGAAAAAACTCAATGGCACAGTAGCTATGGAACTAGTTCGAGTGGGGATAGTCATATCATGTATGATTACTCCAAAGTGAAGTTATTAATCTGGCAGCTCTCCAAATCAATCAAAAGAAAATATAAGAGCATTTATCCTGAGTTCTTGTGCAACAACCAGATTTTCAATCGCAATGGATTTCACCTGCTGTCGATTGCGTAATCATCAATAACGCAACAATCAATCCATACAAACCTATATTAGCAATTTTTCCCTCTACCTCTCAACTACACACCTATCCATTTTCCTCCCATACCTCCTCCCCAACCCTCTTCCTCACAAAAGAAAATGAAACTAGAAATAAAACTCACCCAATACCTCTGCAAAAATCAGCACCAACACCATACCCACAAACATCTTGGGCTGCATCGCAGCCCCTCGAACCCTCGCATCTCTAATTATCCCAACAATGAACCTGGACGCTAAACGGCTTGAATGTACCGCGAGGCCTACCGCGAGGTGCAGTAGGTTGTTGGGACGGAGAGCGGACTTCCTCGGAGACTGTGATTTTGGAGAGTTTATATAAAAGGAAGTGGTTGGTTGTTGAGGGGGAGAGGAGAACGGAGCTTTGAATGAAAGAATAGAACTGAGAGGGATTGCGGGTTGAGGCGATGGGGATGCTGATTGTTTGGTCAAAGATGGAGAGGATGGAGGAGAGGACTATGGGGAGAAGATCTGTTGGTAGGGAGTGTCAATGGGTGAGTGAAGAAGGGGAGAGGGGAAAGGAAGGAGGGAGGATAAGAGGATAAACTGCGAATCATATCATGTGGTTGCATTACACTAACAGCCGAGATACCAATGCTACCTTAGTCAAGCCGTATGCAGCACCAATTTTGGATAGTAGCAGCAGCCCATTGCTTCAAAGAAGGGCTGTAAGGTGAGGGTGACTGTTGAAATTTGGGAAAGGAGAGTGAAATGGGGGAAGTGGGGTGGTGACTAACGGCGTAGACGGGACTTTTGGTAGATCGAGTGAAATGTAAGTATGGTGATGTGATGAGATTCGAAAGAGAGGTGGGGGGAGCGGTTGGATTCGTACCATCTATCACTGGTAGATGGATCCATTTTGATGTTTCTGGTCCTCACTTGATTATAGGGTAATGGGACCCCAGCTATTATACAAGGCTATTGCAGGGTGAAATTCAAAGGGTACCGCAGAACTTTGTCAATAAGAGAGATGCATGCAAAAATACAGAAGCTTGAATTCAGTGTTAGCCAAGGAATGAAATGCGATGTAATAACTCCATCCTAAAAACCTGCGAGGAATCAAAACATGATGCAATCCCCATGTTCATCCGGCTTACGTCGCCCATATGCTAAGCCTCTTGGATGTGCATTTAGGCACCAGCTGTATCAAATAAATGTCGGCTTTGATTTGATGAGTCTGCAGCGGGATAATAGCATATTATATTCGGTGGGGTACGTGGACGCAGATGATCAAAATGTAAGATTTGTGACAATTTGTGATGGTGGACTTAGGTAGATATCTGTACCTTGCCATCCTAGTACTCCTGCCATCAGCCACTCAGCTGACAGTTAAATGTACGCAATCAATGCGAGATGCGATCAGGCCTACCGGTGATGACTCGACGTTTGCATCGATGTCATTTCATACGCGGTCTGAGAACTCCCGAATGTGCCTAATATACTTCTTCGCAGAATCTGGTGCCAGGCAGAGTGTGTATACACCAGAGAACTGATTATGATTTTTGAAGAGATTGGCAGTATCTTCAATGCAGTAATAGCTCTGAGAAGGAGCAAATACTGGTCTACCATCGTTTTATGGCATTGCCCATCAATGGTTGAAGATGAACGAACTGCCGTGTGAAGTAAGTGATATAATAACATCCAGGTGCTTTCAATCTTGATTGCGACAAAGTATTTTAGAACCCATGGTTTTCAAACAGAATATCCTATCGTCAACATTTTCCGTATGTCTTTTTGGCTCCCTAGTTTCTCAATATTCCACTTTGCTTCTGCACACTCCACTCCGTAAGGATGAGACGGGAGTGAATGTGTGTGCAAATCTCCAAATCCAATGCTCCACTTTTATACAAATACCTAAGTCTCGAAACAAGACGATAGCACATGCGTATGCGTCGCTAAAACAGATAGAAGGTTTCTCACACTCGTAGAAATCTTTTGTAGTGTTGGTGCCACCAAAGAATGTCGACATGAACTGAACAATATGTGCTGTAGTCCCACTCGAGGATACATCAGAACTCAGTAGCAATACATTGGGCCATGACCACTTTGCTGCAACACCGCCGCGAGTGAAGCAACATATCAATGATACGATAGCGTTGAGGATGTTGATGTACAAGTAGGCGCAGTAACAAAGGTTATATGTCAATCCTATTTTTAGAGAACACCGATATGCCAAGCTATTTCTTCTCCATCTTATTGGTAAACCGTGTTCGTGTCTCGATATCAGTCGTGATAATGTCTCGGGATACCCAGGTAGAAAGTTTGAAACCGATTGGCAAGATTTAAAAGGTTACAGCTTGTAGGCTGCTGGGTACCGCTTAGACGTTGCCGTTCGGCTTCCGAATGGATCAAACGTTTGGAGTATGGAGAAAGAAATTGGAGTTGATGTGGTAATTTTGATAACAGTACCCAATGGTTGGCAAGTAGCCAAGATGTTTTTCATGTTAGTTGTCAAGTTAGAAGTGTGGCTGAAAATTCTATTCCAAAAACATATATATAGATGAATTATATAGAGATAGAAAATAGAAAACACAGATACTATATGTAGAGATAAGAGATGGACGGAATGGCTTTTTAAAGTTAGCGCTATTTTCTAATTATAATCTAAAAACATCTGAAATTTTAATTACAATATCGCTTGTCGCCACTATTTGCTCAATACTTACGAATGTAGTAGTAATAATGACGAGTACCAGTATATACAGTAACTAAATACTACGAATTATGTCCACTACAATTAGTGGCCGGATCTATCATTTAATGGTCAATCTTCGTCTAATAAAGACTCTAAGCCTCTCAGGTTTCCATATTAAAGTTTTGGTTCATGACTCTCCGAGTCTCGGCTACAAAAATACAAGGCTACATATTCTCTACCGGTATTCCCCTTTTCGCTTTCGGAATTTCCCTTCTTCATCTGATCAAGCCTCAAGTGAACGAGAAGCATGCAAGATGCATAAAAAGGGCCCGGCACAAGAAACTATTCACCTATCTTCTAGATCAAGTCCAAACAATTTCTCTTTATGCTTTGTATCAAAACTGTGTGGTGGTGTTTCAAGAAGACACGCTTTGCCCTAGTCGCAAATATCCCATCTCTCATGCTTCATGCTATGTTTCCAGGTCCGAGAGTTGAGAGCGAACTCAGCGCAATAATTTGAAAATAGCTCTTTTCCTTTTCCCTCTCGAGAGATCCTTGGAACTACTCTGGAACACTACAACAGATGAGAATCCATAGTACACACAGGTTCGCCAAACTTCAAAGTCAAGCAGATCAACCTAGTTGTTTCGCTGATTTTACAGTGCCTCGCCTCTTCCTCTTGGGGGGGAACCTGAGTTCTATTTGGGAAGAAGTCTGGGGCGCAGGATTTCAAGTGAAGGAATTCCTCTCTATCTCATTGGCTATTATTGAGTGATTTCTTACGTCTTTCTTACATTACAGCTCAACCTCTCCCCCTGTTATTAAAATACTTTCATACCCTTATATTTTATTTCTATTTATCTTACACCTTATATTATTTTCATATTTCCACTACCCGCCTGGCTTCGTAGCATAGGCCGCGTCATTTTACGGACCCCTGACCCTGAATAATACCAGCATCTACTCACCAACAAATTGCCAAGACATAGAAAAGGTCGAAATCCCCAATTTGATATGAATGGATTCTATATTCTTAGATAGTGTACATATGGTTTCCCGAGTTAGGAACAACTAGTTATTCAAAGCAAAGCTCTCTTCACTCTTCACAATCTTCACATATCTCTATATTTTGCATACGATTCTACTCTTAGCATTCTATTCTCATCCTTCATCCTTGAAATTAATCATCTTGTACATATCCCTACCCCTCTTATACCTCTTGGATTCTCTCAGCCTTTCTCGGCATTGCAACCGCTGCGCTTCCTACAGTTAAAGCGCCACCATTTTGATACAGGACAAGACGGACTTCACGGCTCGCAGCCTTACAAGTGGAAAGGTGCTTGAAGATCTTAGAAATACTAAGAGAAAGTACTCCACAAATTTGTACAACCGATTCTTCAGCCACAATTCAGAGGTTTCGTCATCTGTCGTAGACTCTTTTGGTGCTCGAGAACTATACAAAACATCACACTCGTCCCGGATTTTTGTTTCCGAAAGTACGACATCCAAATTCATCTCGCCACCAGCAAACCATTTTTTGTATCGTAGAAAGATCTCAAAACACATTTGTTATTTGATAGGACTTTCTTGACCTCTTCTCGGATTCTAGGATTAGCCAAAATATTGGTCCTTGTGTGTCGAAGCTAAACCTAATCAGCATCTACTGTCCGCGTCACCTTGGTCGACCGGAGCGATATATACCAATTTCATATCCCCTATAGGATTCCATAGGAGGAGATCTTTTTACAACATTATATATCGACTTTCAATCATGAGGACGACAACATTCGTTGCCGCTGCGGTAGGATTATTATCAACATGTACGGATGCAATTCAATTACAACGACGAACCGATGGACCAGCAAGAGTGGTTGGGCTAGATGTGGTACGGAAACAAGTCGACAATCCTATAGCAAGGGATAAGTTAAGGAAATTAAGGAGGAGGTCGAAGACAGTAACAGCTACTTTAGACAACGAGGTTGGTGGAATCCCTCATGGTCCTAAGTGAAGCTTTGTACTAATCAAGCATATAGGAAACTTTATATTTCGCCAATGGAACACTAGGTACACCAGCACAGCAATTGCGGTTACATATCGATACAGGAAGCAGTGATTTATGGGTTAATAGTGCTAGCTCAACTTTATGTACTGGGAATGGAAGTCCATGTAAGGCTGCTGGAACATATACTGCAAACTCATCATCAACATACGCATTTGTTTCGAGCGATTTTAATATTTCTTACGTCGATGGATCTGGAGCCGCTGGAGATTATGTTACCGATACATTCACACTTGGAGGAACGAGATTAGACAAGTTACAATTTGGTATTGGATATACCAGTTCTTCGAGCCAAGGTATTCTAGGGATTGGATATAAAATTAATGAGGTTCAGGTTGGAAGGGCAGGAAAGTCGGCTTACAATAACTTACCGGCTCAAATGGTTGCTGATGGTTTGATCAACTCGAACGCTTTCTCGCTTTGGCTTAACGATTTGGATGCTAGCACGGGAAGCATCTTATTCGGCGGTGTCGATACCGCTCAATATCATGGTCAATTAGAAACACTTCCAATCCAAAAGGAATCTGGATATTATGCCGAATTCCTCATTACCTTGACAGAAATTACGTTCGGAGACACCGTCATTGCCAAAGACCAAGCTCTCGCAGTCCTTCTCGATTCCGGAAGTTCCCTCACCTACCTCCCAGACGCCATGACCGAAGCCATCTACGAAATGGTCGACGCACAATATGATTCCAGCGACGGCGCTGCCTATGTCTCCTGTTCCCTCGCCTCCAACACTAGCGCCCTCAACTTCACCTTCACCTCCCCCACCATCCAAGTCACCATGGACGAACTCGTGATCCCCGTCACCAGCACCGACGGCCGCCAATTGACTTTCACCGACGGCACCCCCGCCTGTCTCTTTGGCATTGCTCCCGCTGGAGACAGCACGTCTGTTCTCGGAGATACTTTCATCCGATCTGCATACATCGTGTACGATCTCGCCAACAATGAAATATCCCTCGCCCAAACAAATTTCAACGCAACATCCACGAGCGTCGTTGAGATCACCACGGGCACAACATCAGTTCCCGGCGCGATCTTAGTTGCCAACGCAGCAACGGCAAGCTCGGGTTCTTCAGGTGGTGATATTAGCGGAACCGTCTCTTTGGCCTCAGGATCAAAGTCGAAGAATGCGGCAACGCAAACTCCCCCGCCCATGGCGTTTGGTATGGCTGTTCTTGGTGCCGGGATTTATTATGCCATGTAGAATGATTTTCTGGCACGTGAGACGGCGGTTTTTTTGGATTCTTTTCTTTTCGGCGAATTATTGCATGGCATTGGCATTCGCATTAGCATTGGCATTTTAGAGAGCATAGATATTGTACACACAGACATGCATCGAAAAAGGCGTTTTTCTCTTCAATTTTCTCTTCAATTTTTCTTTCATGTATGCATGCATGTGGGATTTCTTTTAATAGAATGGAATATGACTGGGAAAGAAAGAAAGAGCTGGATACAAGGTGCAAGGTGCATCATTCTTTGAGATTGCATAGCATAGCATGGAGTTGGTGGTGGGGGTGTTTTTTTTTCTTTTTCTTCATCAAACGAATCGGATGGGATATGGATATGGTGGAAAGGGAATGAATAAATGGAAAAGGAGCTCGGAAGTTTAGTATATATATTAGAAAAGAGATGAGATGTGCAATATAAGTACATAAGTACTCGAGTACTCAACTTGAAGTACTCGTCCTATACAAGTAGTAAAAAAATATACATAAAAGTTTAACAATATATCCTCGAGTAATGAAGCAAGTGGTGATTACTTTAATTGATATACTTACTCGTATACGTCATGACAAGAGAAGTGTATATATATAATTAAGCTCTTGTTAAACTTTCACGATACGAGCTTGTTTTTATATACTCTCTTGTCATTGTCATGGAACCTTATTTATGATGGATGGATGGATGGATGGATGGATGGATGGGTGTGAATGTGAATGAGTATGAGAATGAAAATGAGATAAATGGTACTTTAGATGTAGTGGGCAGTAATGAGTGAGTAGACGAGTATAGTGTGAAGGGGTGTGGAGTGCAAACCTTCAAAATAGTCTCATGTAAGATCTGTAACAATCTGATTGATCTATAGGCAGATATGCAAAGTTTATTTTCTCTCATCGATCACTGTCACTGTCACTTCTTCATTTCCTCTCCCAGAAGTTTCGATTAATATGTTCGCATCTATACCGGGGTATCTATGTAATAATCCCCAACGCCCCCTCCCCCTCCCCCTCTCCCCTTTGTCTCATTAACTAAGCGCCCAAATCATAATAAATACACATTCCCGTTCTAAAATTATAAACAAATGCATTTCTCGTAATGTCTTTATTTTGAAGTGCCAGACCACTCATCATATCATGGATGTCACCTATGTAGCGACGTTCGGGCGTGGGGACCGAATGTGTCAATTTGCGCCATGATTCAGGATCCGAGAGTTTGGTCTCGTGAATTAATTCCATTACCTAGGAATAGAAGAGATTAGTAGGTGGGCAGGGAACGAGGTAATGGGAGAGGAGTAGATGGAGATGTAGTAGAGGTATTGGGATGAGAGATGAATATGTATGGTATGACTTACGTGGTCTGTTGTTTCGATGGCGGCAATAGGGCCGTCTAAGAATGATTGAACGACTAGATGGAAACTTCAGTATGAACATTTTATGGGCTGGACGTTACCGAATATGTTAGAAGTGTCACTCACGAGTTGCCGCTCTGCCTTGAGCTTGCTCTACAATATTTCTTCTATTCGATTTCTTGCTCTTCGTACCAGCGACCAAAACCCGTACCTCCTGTTCATGATCACTCGGTCCAGTGTCTGGTTGACTATGTTGACGAGATATTCTAAGAAATGTTGTCAACATTGGTATCCTAGAATTCTAAGGAAATTCGAGCACACTTACTTCGCTCGATTATAGGTTCCTTCTCTCTGATCTCTTTCGCGCATTTCACCCCGAAGCCACGAAACTAGCTGTGTAGAAGGGATATCGGCATCGGAAATGTCTTTCCGACCGGTAGTTTTACATCTTACCACGGAATCTTGCTTTATGATAATGATCCAAGAATAACTATCATCTCGGTATTTGGAGAGAAGATCTTCAGGAGATCGTGAGTCTCGTGCTAGCTCGGCACTTATATCATGCGACCACAAGTTTGATACAAGTTCAACTCCAGTTGATCTTAGTATCGCTGCATCATGACTTGCGACGAGTACATCGCACTGATGAACTAATCAGCTGTTGTTCATATGATATCTGAAAATTATTCAACTTAGGAATAATGAAAGTGACGATACTTACTCGCTTTGTGCTCCAAATACCATGTACCTCCTCGTCAGATTTCCTTAATAAGCTCTTCGAATTTGACTTTGGAAGCCGAGCCATTTTCTCCCATGCTAGATTGAAGCCCACAGCATGACGTTCCTCGCCAATGTTCTTGTGGTGTCGATTGTCTCTAATCAAAGAATCATATCGACCCCCCGCTGCGAACACATCTCTGATCTTTCTATCGTATAGACAAGAGAAAAGTACCCCACCCTTATAAAACCTTTCTTTCAAACTTCCTAGAGGATTAACATATATCTTTCTCTGAACCTCAAAACGTTTTGTATATCTACACCCGCACATTAGTAATGCTTAGCTTGGAGACACCAGAAGGCGTAAATGACATACTCAATCACATCACGTAGATGCGCAATAGAAGAAGAAGCCTTCTCGAACATTTCAGTACCTTCGAAAATTACTTTCAGCTTTTGAAAAGCCTTGGCAGGAGTGTCTCTAAAATCGAAATGCTGGAGGTCCTCAACACTAGTGGCGGATACCTAATTTATGAGTTAGCAAGTGATGACACAGGCAAGCCCAATCATAATGGCTTCGTAAGGGTGGGGGCATAATGAGAAAGATGAAGAATAATTCGATTAGAAAACTCTGCAGTCCAAGTAAATACGTACCCCAACTAATGGTGATCGAAGTTCTGCTCGTATCTTCTGCCACGTCCATTGCTGTACATTGAGCTTACTGAGTGTATCTGCAGCAGCTTGGCGTATACTGGGTTCAATACGACAGAAATCGAATATTAAATCAAGTAAATCTGCATGATTTATATGAAAACACATTTGTGACGAAGGTAAGGACGGAAAGTTTGCAACGATCTCATCTAGAACTTTTATAACCTCAGCCTCCTTTAATGCTAGATCTAAGCTATCTGAAGTGGCAATGTCAAAATCCACTTCGCCGAATGTTTGTGGGGCCGCGCCATCTTGTTTGTCGCGAAACACGGTACCAAAAGCGAATGATCTCTCAACCGGCGGTTGGTGCTTCGCAATGGCGCGAGCATTTGGGACTGTAAGGTCATAAGGAAGCTGAAGGAGGGTGCCACTTCTATCCAATAATTGAACAGCATTTGCACCATAGTGATCTGAAGATGGGAACAAGATACATCGAGGAGTTTCCACAGCCCCATGGTTGCGGAAAATTGAGATTAACTTTTGCTTCACGAGTCCTTGTAGCAATAAATCGTTACCACTTGGAAACGGAACCCCCATATCCCACGCATAATCCTTTGCTTGTTTCGTGGTTCGAGAGAAGAGCGCACTCATCATCTTTTGATGATATGGTGATTTCGAATCCGACAAGCCAGCTAAAGTTTGTCGGATCGTTTCGCTTTCCATTTGGACTGGCAGTTTTCGGCTTTGAAGCAGTTCAGAGCTGGAAGGTCGTTCTTTTGGATTGTGGTTAAGGAGAGACAAGATGATGTCCCCCTGAACAGCTTTTCCGACCTTGTCGAAACTGGTTGGAAGCACGGGTTCCTTCTTCCTTAAGCCATCAATGACTTGTGCCTAAACAGTGGTGAGTATCAAGTTAACAAAACGATGAGAAATTAGTTGCTTGTGTCTGACTTGGACCCAAAAACGAGATGTAGTGAAACATGATATGGATGTAATAAGCAAAGGAAATAAACGAATGATGTACATACTCTCTCCATACCGACAAGTGAGGTATAGCACATCTCAAAAAATATCACACCAAGAGAGTACATATCGACCTTGCCGGTGTATGGTCCCCCAGAGACTGCTGATCGAATCTCGGGTGCGATATACGAGAAAGTACCAACACTTCTTGTTAGGTCCCCACTGTTGTGCATCGCAGAGGATGGCACTTTGTCGAGTGCAGAATATTGACCCCTTGTAGCCAAACCGAGGTCACCTATTTTGACGTTCGAGGTACCATCAATGAAAATGTTTTCTGGCTTCAGATCGCGATGTACAAAATTTAAGCTGTGAATATGGGCAAGACCTTCAAGAATTTGACGGAAGAGACGCCATATTTCCTCGTTATCTTTATAGAGTCCTCGTTGAATAAGATCGCGAAGTGTTCGCTTCTCACAGTATTCCATGGATATGTATAATATTGTTTTGAATGGGCGCGGAGGTCGCGGACTAGATCTACTTCCCCTATCTGCCAGAGCAAGACGCCCATGACCTCGGTTCCGAACATGGGCGTTAGGCTCTGCGGATTCTTCGTAGTCATCATCATCTTCATCATCGTCATCGTCATCGTCATCGTCATCGTCATCGTCATCAACCTCTTCATCTTCATCGTCGCTTTCGGTTGCTCCGTCATAACCAAATTCAATTTGGTATCCGCTAGTAGACATGAAATCAAGACCTCCTGTACTCGTCCCAAATTCAATATGAGGTCCCGATCCTTTAGGGGAAAGGCTGCTGATGGATTCTTCAGTGGCGGTATCTGTTGTCGTATTATCGTCATCCGTCTCAGAAAAATCAGGAATCTCTTCTGTCCATGTACTAAAATAGCCTAAGAAAGGGTGAGCATGTTTGAAATAAGACTTAGTGTCATCTGCAACCGTTGAACGCTCCTTCTCCCAATTCAATCCCCGATAATTTGGAAGATCGAGATGTTGATGATAGTTGTCCAGCTTTGGCTCAAACTTTAAGCCTTGTAATGAGAAATACGGAAAATAAGTACTTACGAACGACAGAAGGATGATTGAGTTGAGAAAGTAGACGGGCCTCCTTTAATACATCATCTAACTGAGCAGATGACTTTTGCGTAATCTTCTTGATGGCATATATCTGTCCATCTAATTTTTGCCTTGCTTTCACGACCTCTCCAAAGCCTCCTTTCCCTAAGCGGCCTTCTTCAACAAAATCATGAGCGTATCTTGAAAAGGGTCCACTAAGACTCATAGAATCATGCCTAGGTCTACGTGGTGTGATAGGCACTAACGATGAGGTGGATCCAAGCCTCGATATTACAGCAGACGAATCTTCTTCCATAATAGTGGCATCAGTAACAAGAAATTTGCAAGAGCCTATCCAGGTTGAGTCAGTACTGAGAATATGAGAGGTTCCTATGAAGTGCCCGAAATGAACAGGGATACTTACTGAGCGCGAAAGCTCGAGGACGTTTCTTCGGGTCTGGGTTGAATAGCTTGAGCATAAAATCTTGTAAGGCATCGGACAAGTCCAACGAGTCTAGCATAGCTTTTGGAGATGAGTACTTTCGAGTGACATTCAATCCAAAAGCCATCTGAAGGAAAACAATACCGAACTCCCAGATGTCGGTCTTTGCAGTTCGTAGGCCATCATCCGAGTTTGCAATTTCTGGTGGCAACCAGTACGCGGATTTTGCCATGGCAAAACTATCCGTCTTCCTTTTTGCGATTTTGCCGCTGAGGATGTGCAGCGTTCGCTGATGTCCAGCATCAGCAAGTTTTGGCCTAACGACTCCATCTGATTCCCGGAAAAGGAGAATATTTCCACTATGTATATCCTAGGACGGAGAGTGTCAGTATTCTGATCAAAGGTGCGGAGAGACAAACTATTCCCCTACCTCGTGAATTATGCCGTTTTCTTCGTGGAGAAATCTTAAAGCATCCAGTAACTCTATTGTCCATGAGCGAACTTTGTTAACGCTCATATTCTCGACGATATCTAATAATTCCTCCAAGGAACCTTTCTCGGCATATTCGCACAGTGTGCTGACAGTCCAGGTAGAATCGTTTCTGCGGCACCACAAAATCAACTTTCGCTCGACACACACCTCATGAAACTTGAGATATTTGATAGTAGGAATTACTCACTCTTCTTTTTCTACCTTAAAATCTAGGAGATTAAGGATGTTGCCGTGTCTAATGCTCCTGAGCTTTTCTAATTCATTCTCCATTGCTTGTAATTGTCCCTTGATACTACGGTCATTCAAGTTTGTATCAAGCACAGTCTGCTTCAAAACCAATAAAGGGGCTTGGGAGTTAACTACCGGTCTTACGGTATAGCAACGAGATACAGGTCCCTGACGAATGAACGATTTACCGGTCACCGCCTGAAAGTACATAGGGTTCCCATCAGCATCAAGGACCGAAATTTGGCGATCTAGCACCTCATGATCGTGTGCCATCTTTTCAATTCCTGAATTAGAGACAGTGATTGAGGGAGGAGGTTGATTCTTCCGCTTCGTCTCCTTCGCCTTAGCTCGCTGCCTCTTTAGCTCGTCTTGCACCAGAGAACCAAGCATTCTTTCTTCTTCCTGGGACTCCAGCCTAACATCCATTTAGAATCTCCCAACTTTTTTGGACTCTCAACGGCCGAGGGCGACCAATACAAAAAAGGGAAAAAGGGAACGGAGGTGTACTAACTTTTTTTTTCTCTCTTCCTCTAAACGCTGATCTTCTATTACTTGTGCAGCAGCCGCTTCGTGGGCTGCTCGCTCTTCTTGCAAGGTGGGTAGTTCTCTTCCTGCAGCTTTTGCTTCGGCAGCTTGCTCTAATACTTCTTGACAAGAAGTGACAATTTCCATGATCATGGCTTGTTCTTCCTTGACCAGTTCCTTGGGTAGTGTCTCAATGATTTTCTGAAGCTTGAATTTGGTAGAATCCCGAAGACCATCGGTATTCTTCAAGGTCAACAATGGCGCCGATTTGGGGTATGTGAGGGTCAGGGTGACCCCCAACGTTACTGAGAGATCCTCATCGAAAGTTTTGATAGATATTTCAAAGGATGGCTCCGATTTCTGTACAAAATTAGATTAAATTCATGTATCCCATCCCTTCAAGACAAGAATGGACCTGCCTTCCACGCGGATTGATGTGTCTCAATACGACGAAAGTCTTCACCGTATATTGAGGCGAGAGCAATAAGCTCGTCGTCTTGAGTCTCCTGGTAGGGAGATTTGGGCGAATCATTTGCAGTATCGTTGATTTTCAATGCGGGAAAGGTAGTCAGAGGCTTTTTCTGCTGTGCTTTCTTTCCCCATGGGCTATCTGCTGGAGGCATGATGGAGACTGGGTTAATGTCACTTGTTTGCTGATACAATACTGATTTATGTGTTTCAACAATTGAATTTATCGTAAAGATTCAGAAAGCAGTGATTCGCGTGCGGCCGAGGCCATAATTTAGCTTAGAGAGACATTATGAAAATTTCCAAGTTTAAATTATTTTATAGGGATTTTATTAAGTTGTCCGAGTCACACTTTCTCGCCATTAAATACGGTATTCGACCTTTGAATCATTGAACACAAGGCTGAACGTTCAGCCAATCATATATCCTTGTCGGTCCCCAGTGGCGCTAGTCTCTTTGTAGTACAAACGTCCGTCGTCCGATCTTTGTATCGCATATCGCACAAGACATCCAAGAATTTGGTGAGTCAATTCCTTATCTGTTGAGAGCTTTCAGAATATAAAGTACTAGGTAGGCCAATTGATCTCATTTTGAATTAATGACAGGTTATACATTTTATTTATTCCACACAATGGCTCTCAACGCATGTACGAAGTTTCAAGTAGCTCGATTGATCAGACCAACAGCTTCCTATCACCCCGCAATTAGTAGCATCCGATATTATTCTGCACCCCCCCAGAGCACGATACCGGCCGCAAAGCTAAAATACATCCCTACGAGTGGCACATACCCCAAAGGATTTCTAGTTTCTGGAACTCATGTAGGAGTTAAACCAACCAACAAGTCTACACCAGATCTTGCTTTCCTTGCTTCCGAGACGCCATGTGCCGCTGCGGCAGTGTTCACGAAGAACAAGTTCCAAGCAGCTCCGGTTACTGTTAGCAGAAAGATGCTACAGAGAAGGAATAATGCTGGAATTCGCTCAATTATTATTAATTCGGGATGTGCAAATGCTGTGACTGGAAAGGGTGGAATGGAGGATGCTGAGAAGATGGGAGCTGAAGCTGACAGATGTTTTGATACTCCGAGTGATGGCAAAGGTGGGAGCTCAATAGTTATGAGCACTGGCGTTATTGGTCAAAGGTTTGATGACCTCTTTCACATCGTTCCAAAGATTGACGCTGACTGAACCGCTCTGTTTAGATTGCCTATTCAGAAAATATTGCTCAAAATTCCTTCTGCTTTTGACGGATTGGGCAGCTCTCACGAGCATTGGTTGGCGACCGCAACCGCCATCTGTACCACCGACACCTTCCCAAAACTCTTATCTCGAACATTCTCCTTACCCTCATCCCCAGAAGTTGTATACAGGATGGCTGGTATGACAAAGGGTGCGGGAATGATCCATCCGAATATGGCGACTTTATTAGGAATGATTGCAACAGATGCACCCATCGCACCGGCATTACTGCCTTCACTACTCACAAATGCCGTTAATAAGTCATTCAATAGTATCTCTATTGATGGCGATACTTCTACAAACGATACTGTTGCTATTTTGGCAAACGGAGCAGCAGGGGGGAAAGAGATCACCTCCGAATCGTCCGAAGATCATGCTGCATTCCAAAAGGTTTTGACCGAGTTTGCTACTGATCTTGCCAAGCTTGTCGTTCGAGATGGTGAAGGTGCAACTAAATTCGTTACTATTCGCGTAACAGAGGCCCCTTCAGAGATCGGAGCGCGCAAAATCGCTAGTACGATCGCAAGATCTCCGCTGGTGAAGACCGCACTGTATGGTAAAGATGCAAACTGGGGCCGAATTCTGTGTGCTACTGGCTATTCCCAGATCTCAGAGCCGGGAGAGCCGATAAATGAAGTTTCCGAAATCGTCCCTGAGAAGACTAGTGTCTCATTTATCCCCTCAGACGGCTCACCAGAACTCAAGCTTTTAGTGAACGGAGAGCCAGAATCAGTGGACGAAAATCGTGCCGCAGAGATTCTCCAACATGAGGACTTAGAAATCTTAGTAAGGCTTGGTGGTGGAAAGGAAGAAGCAGTGTACTGGACTTGCGATTTCAGGTATGATATCAACACCTAAACCCACATATAAAAGCTAACCTTGCATAGTCATGAATACGTTACAATTAATGGAGACTACAGGACTTAAGTAATGAAGATAGCAAAATCAACAAAAAGGGATCTGGAACCTCTTAACGATCTCAGGAAAGATGTTTCCGTTGTACATACGAAAAGAGTAAAGGGGGGTGCATATTATTAAAAGCTCGGTCTGAAAAAGCGATAATAGAAATACCCAAGCGTGTAGTATGACAAAGACCACTGTAAAGGAATTCAATCTGAACGTTACCTTCACATACTCGAAACTTATACATGACTTCTTGTGCCGTTTCAACTGAGGCCGGAGATGATCATCGATCCTGAGTTCAGATCGGCTTGGATTGCTGCTGAACCAATTCTCATAGAAGTCTCTGCAAGCAGTCAGAGGAAGGGACATATGCAATGCTGATTTCATTCTCTTTCGTCCACATATGTACAAAACAGACTATCCTCCCACCTCACGCCCTTTCAACAGCCTCGGGAGTCCAAGCAGTAATCTTTGGTTTGACACTAGAAAGAGAACATCAGCTCACACTCACGCATTTCGACAACAATACCCAGAATATAAGCACTTACGTAGAATAAGTCTTGAAAGCAGCTCGTGTCATGGTGAAAGTTGGTCTGTGATCCGGCAATTCCCAAGGGCGTACTTTGGTCTGCAAGAGAGGATCTTGGGTCGGTGGCTTATCTACCATGTATGACATCCAGGCGTGCCAGCCGGGCTCGATTTGACATCTGTGGGGATCAATGAATGTTAGGACAAGATAACTCTGTGTGGGGCGCTGGGTGTTCCCTACGGGCTGTATTCGTCGTCTTTGTAGTCTACCCATCTTGTGCGTACTGTGTAAATGGTGTGAGCAATATTCGAACTCATATGAGGCATATCTGTAGGGGGTCCGTACGTGGTAATTCGTCCTCCACGTTCTCGAAATATTTGTTGCCATATCGATCCTTTGCGATGAAGGTTCCGGCTTTGGTATCACCTGTTGTCCATGAGCTTCAACTTCTCCGCTGTCTTTCCAGACTTTGAATACCTATGTACTGTATTTCGATATCCATCCATCAGCTCCCATGTTCCCGTTGTGGCGGGCTTGTTATAAGATGTACTTACATGCATTTGGTGAAGAGCATCCTAGATTTGAGTCAGCCATCTGCCAGGCACAGTTCGAAGAGCATACGTACCTTGATACCCACTCTGCGCATGCTGCGCAACGTCCGCATAATTGTAGACATTTTGCTGGCGTTGCAATGGCTTTGCTGAATCTCTAACAATCAATAAAAGTAGATTCATGAAGTCGTCGCGCATTCGGCACGCCGCTTTTGCGCTAGCGATATCAAAGGCCATAACCATCCTATCGGCTTCACTAAATTTCAAATCTTCAAAATCCAAATTAAGAAAATTTGTAGAAGAATTCGGAATCAGACAAGAAAATATGATTATTCGGAGTATTACACGATGCTCTCGCATTAAAAAGGTTCCCTCCTTTCAAGCGTCTTTACGACGAATGAAACAGCGCACCTTGTCAACATCTACAGGCACTACGGCTATCGCGCCCACTGCACCTTCATCAGCGTCGATACTAGGTGCTTTTACAAATGAATGTGATAAAATAGCCCCGAAATTCGAGGTCCACGGCTCGCAGATACAGATTTTACGAACGCCGTCGGAATTTTACGAGACGTTGAAGGTTGGCATCTACAGAAATTGGAAATTGGCGGATGGGACGAATGCTGATGGATGGACATAGAGCAAAATACTGGCAGCAGAGACGAGGATTTTCTTGTCGACTTTGTATATAGGAAAGACAGAGCATGAATTAGTACATGCAAACATTCTCCCAATACAATAGAACATATGAATGATAATAATGTGTAGATATCCACACTTCAGCAAGCTTTGCGTGCCAACCCAAAGTTGAAGCTTAGTATCCTGACCGATGCACTTCGAGGTACGAGAGAGTCTCCGAGTGCATCATGTGCTTCGCTGCTTGCACCGTTAGTGTCGGAGTTTGGTGTAGATAGAGTTGAGATTCGAATGTACCATACCCCGAATCTGAATGGGCTGAGAAAAAAGTATATCCCTAAAAGGATCAATGAGGGCTGGGGTTTGCAACATATGAAGTTGTATGGAGTGGATGATGAGATTATAATATCTGGGTATGTCTTCGTCAACTCCATGCTCGAGTGAGATCGAAGACTAATGGGATATGAACAGGGCAAATCTTTCTAGTAACTATTTCACAGATCGACAAGATAGATATCATGTGTTTTCTTCGAAGGAAGTCACTCAATATTTCTCCAGGATTCATAACGCCATCTCGAGCTTGAGCTTCTTGGTATCTCCGGATACTCAATTGCATGCTGGATATACACTGGAATGGCCTTCTTCAAACTCCTGTCCTTCTCCCCTAACAGATTCACAAGGATACATCTCTCACGCATCATCTATCCTCACACCCTTGATCCGAGCTTCAACACCACCAAAATCGATACCCAGCGATCCTCAAGCTAACACAACCATCTATCCCATCTCCCAGTTTACACCCCTCTTCCCCTCCACCTCTGACGCATCCACCGAACTCCCCCTGCTTACCCGCCTCCTCACCCTCCTTAATTCCCCTACTACCTCTTCATCCTGGACCTTCACAGCCGGCTACTTCAATCCATCCCCTACTCTAACCTCTCTTCTCCTCCATACAACCTCCAAGAACAATACCGTTCTCACCGCCTCTCCCCATGCAAACGGTTTCTACAACTCTCCTGGCATTTCCGGCATGCTTCCCTCAGCCTACACCCTCCTCCTCCGCAAGTTCCTCGCCGCAGCTCAAAAGATCCAAGGACCCTCCCCAAATATCAGTCTCAGAGAATGGAAAAGAGGAACCGTCAATGAACCTGGTGGTTGGACATATCATGCCAAGGGACTTTGGGTTTCATTCCCTTCTCCATCATCATCCTCATCCTCATCCCCATCTGAAACCCCAAAGCCAGCAATCACGGTACTGGGCAGTAGCAACTATACCAAACGATCCTACACGCTCGATCTCGAAACTGGCGTGGTGATCGTAACCCGAGATCCGGATTTGCAGGAGAGATTGAGACAGGAGAGAGATGGGTTGGGGGAGTGGGCGAGCGAGGTTGGGATGAAGGAGTTTCAGAGTAGTGAGAGGAGGGTGGGATTGCATGTTAGGATTGCAATGTGGATTGTGGGGGTGGTGGGCGGTGCTTTGTAGAGGACATCGTGTAATATGTATTTCTATGCCAACGTGATGAAAGGGGGGATGTTGAAAAGGGGATGGAACTGGATTATGGGTGTTGTGATGATACTCAGCTGATGGGAACTTGTCGCCATGTCCACAATGTAAATATCCACGGAAACTTGATATCGCAGGGCTTCAACTAAAGCGATTTGTACAGAACGCTTTGAACGGTATGTAACTTCAGATAGCTTCAAGGTCATGACCACTGTAATATTTCTTGATAGCCTTATCCTAATTACAAACCAAAACCTCTACTACAATTCATCTCTCTTCCTCACAGTTTTCAAAGGTCTCATTCTAAACATTTTTACTCCATGCGCCTCCACATCCGCAATCACCGTCCCACTCGGCTTAACAGTCCCCGTCAAATTTCCCAACAGCTCACTTCTCCCCGCCGCCAATCCATCCTTATAACTCATTTCCGTAGCATTATATCTGCCGTCCCCAACAGTGGTAGCATTATATCCCGTAGTCGCATTACCCGTCGCCGTGCTGGCACCCACGATCGCTTGAGCTGTAGTATTGTCCATACGATTTTCCCACAGATCACGCAATTCCCATTCCATGGAGACCTGCGGCGCGGTGCCTGCGGTGCCGTAATCGATGAATATGTCGGCTAATGTGGCGTTCATGGTGAGGGTTTCGCTACCGCCGTTTATAAGCAGAAGTACCATGTCGCTTGTGGTACTGTTGGTGGTGGATTGGAGTGAGCCGGACCACATTTGGATTGTCGCGACGCTATTGGCGTTGGTGGCGTCGGCGGTGTACATCCAGCGGCGAGCGGCACTGGTTCCTTGTGGATCCTGGTTTACGGCTATGACGGCTGGGTTGGAGATAATTGCCAAGTCGGCGGGTTGGATTTTGCGAAGGTCGTTACCGAGAATGAGGGGGCTTTTTGCGATTGACCCTTTTAGTAGTCAGGGTATTGATTCTTTCTTATTTCAAGGTTCGGAAATAGAGGCGAGGACTTACACATGCTGAAGTGAGCTACATATTCTGCATCGGTCATTCCTCCGTTGCCAACCTCTAGCATGTCAAGATCGTTCCATGCGCCGGGTTGAGCCTTTGACACAATGAAAGAAGCTTTATTCATAATGTTGACAATTGAGCACTATAGGTTGCAACAATTAGTTCTATGAAGTTTCAAGCTAAAGATAATAGCTTACATGGAAGCCGGGGAGAACGCAATTAAATGCATCAGGACCATCACTAAAAATCATTAGATATATTGTCAAGATCTTGGATTGTTGTCTCTTACCAGGGACATCTTGAATCCGCCCTGTCCCAAGAATCATACACATCGCCGGATATTCTCCAGCTATTCGCCGTGGTTGAACCCCAATTCCATGGAGAGTCTTCTCCCCAATTACAGAGTGAGTATAGGATAGGTCTTCCAGTAGCATTGAGTGCATTTGCCATCACTTGGTATCTAAAATGTACAATTAGCCCGATTTTAACAGACATAAACAAAAGTGCCCAAATTCCATAGTCAATTGAGACAGTCACAATGCCCCCCTATTTGTGACTTACTATATAGCTTACCTTTGCGAGCTTAAGTACTGAGTTCCTGCCTGTCCTGTATTGTAGCAATTATCATATTTCAGATAATCAATCCCCACCGAAGCAAAATAGTTCGCGTCAACAGTCTCATACCCTAGACTTCCAGCGTATCCACCGCTATGAGTAGAATTAAGAAGTGCTAAATCAGATTGTTTATTTAAAAACTATCATACAAAACTTACCAGGTATATGCACCTGCATCTGAGTACATTCCAAATCCCAAACCAAGGTCATGAAGTGCATCTGCTACAGCTTTCATTCCTTGAGGAAATTTCGTTGCGTCCGCGACAAGAGTATTGTTGTCACTAGCGTTTCGCCCATTGCTCCAACAGTCATCGAGAATAACATATTGGTATCCCAGGTCTTTAAGGCCATAATCAACAATCAAATCGGCCGTTTGAAGAAGGAGTTCCTCGGAAACATCACAGCCTAAAGCATTCCAATTGTCCCACCCCATTTGAGGCGTCCTTGCTAGGCCATTATTGACAGCATCTGTTCCGAAAGCCAACAAGGCAGTGACAGCACCGAAGGTACTTCTTACCGACATCTTTGATTGCAGGAAAGTAAAAAAAATGTGTTGTAAAAGTTTCCTTGAGGGAACAAGCAGTCTTTATACACGCAAACCCAGTCGGAGTTCTTACTCCTTATAACATAATAGATTTGACTTGTCTACAAATGACTTCATCGGCCAAGTAAAAGCAAGATCCCCAGTGGGGTAATGCCGCACCTGTAGCTTAATATACTCGTACACGACACAGACAAGAAAATACGAAGAGCACCCACCCGAGTTCCGACACGCATGTTTGTGTACAGCACAGCAGCACAGGTACTATTGAAGATGACATCCCACTCCTTATACGGAACGATTAGTCCATCTAATAAAGTTTGAAGCGTATTTTAAATCAGTTCCGAAGCTTCTCCAGGACGATCCAAAGTTTCTTGCTTTTAATACTCGAGATGCATACTAAGTATGTTTGGCTCGAATCGTCAACTTAAACCCCGCATCTCCACCAAACCCCGCACGCAACTTGTTGAAATGCTCGGAGTACAAAATAGATGTAGAATCTTGCATGACTAGACGAACACATACAATGATAGCTCCAATAACTAGATAATGGAGTTCCTAAATTGTGCTGCCGGTCAATCTACGGTAAACTTACCGCGTATTATCACTGTCAGGCGTTCAACCTGTGGCCAGCGGTGTAGAAGGCTACACTACGCACAAAACCCTGCAGCTCAAGCATACTCCCTAGAACTACAGTATCTGCTGGGTGACCATTCGAATTTTTCAATACCAAGTCGCTTGAATGGCGGTAGAATTTTCATACGCCACTCTGACTGAATAACATAACAGGGTACAGTATCAGAGCCGGCGCGTAAATTCATAAATTATCTGTTGGTCGCTTTATCGCGGACCCTGAGACATATGAGACATACGGATCAAAAGAAGTATTTGAAACAAGTTCTACTCGAGTAGATTAGGATTATAAATACCAACATTAGTAAGCGACCTTTCTAAGTGCCTTGTCGTCCAAACTCTGTTGCTCAACAAACCTCAACAACAATGAATGTCAAGCAATTTGCTGTTGCCATAAAAATTCGAAATGCGTATTAGGTCTCATTAATCTTACAGTTCAACAGGCTTTGAAAGTTTTCCTATATTCTTGACAATTTCTCGAGCCATAATTCATATTTTTACCCTTGTGCAACAGGTACGCCAGCTCTCTATGGAAACAAGTTGTTGAGAGCTTCTTACACGAACATTCAACATCATAAAACACGAACTTGCAGAAGAGCTGACGATCAATAGCACTATACGGCCCCATTCCTACCGTTCCACGCGCGAGCGAGTCAGGGATCTTAAGACCTTTTGATCTGCCCGGTGGTGAGGTCTTCACGATTCAAACCCAATATACCGGAAATACTCAAACGCGAGTGCGCTTGGGCGAGCCTCATATTAGCATTCTTCGCGTCATGAAATCTTTCCCTGGTAGTGCTGGGGATACTTTCATTCTGTGGTCTAGACAAAGTTCCAGAGTTAGTCGTTGGAGGCAGTGCAAAGTCGTTAATCGAGGCACAAGGTGTCCTCGTACAAATGACAGATGTGTGATATATATAGAGTTTTATGCATCATAACTATCTTAAGAATTGTCATGTGTGTTTTGAAACATCGACTATTCCTCAAACGCTGCCGCACTTTAGCTCCTCAGTTCATGATACTTGTACTGTTATTTTCGCTCGTCATCTTCTCATCCCCCTCTCAAAGTTCTCAAACCCAAGTTTGTCTTATAGTGTGGCGCCGGGCATAGACGAGTGGATGACGGGGTTCAAACCGAAGCATATCTCGTGAGATTCTTAGCATAAATAGCCTTAAGCGTCTGCTTTAGGAATTGAATCCTAGGGATACTACCCAAACCCGATTGATCGGAAAGGTAGAATCCACCACCAAAGAACTTGAGCACGAGATTCTATAGAGAGCACGCACTTTTTGATTGAGTAGCCTGGAAACAAGTGGCGGGTATTCATTGGCCATGAAACATTAACGACAGTTATGATTGAGAGATTGAACCACCTTCCTTTATTATTGGATAATTGTACGATGCAAGAAATACTCGCGCGACCGCAGCCTCAACGCAGAGGTGTCCAGGGAGGTCTACAGTGACTATGAATTGAAAATTCGCATTTGACGGCCATGGTCTCTCAGCACACTGTTGGAGATAGTCCGGTATGAAGATGGATTTTCTATATATGAAGCGGGTGTTCGAGTACATCATCTCCATTATCAATCGAATCTTTACCACTGAATCAACTGTCTCTCAATGTCTAGGCCTACGTTCGTCTGTGTTCCTGGTTTTTGCCACACTTCGGCTATATTTGGTCCCCTCAGAACTCTTCTCGGCCACTACGGATATCCTGTCCTCCCAGTTCAGCTTCCATCAGTGCTTATGAATGGAAGTCATGCGTCAAATGATCCTGCTCAGGATACTAGAGCAATCCGAAGTTCAGTATCACGTCTTGTAGAAGCCGGTGACGATGTCATTGTAATCCTGCATTCCTATGCCGGTGTTCCAGGTGGCGATGCTTTGCAAGGCCTAGGCAAAACAGAGCGAGCACAAAGAGGCCTTAGAGGTGGAGTTCTACGAATCGTATTCGTCATGGCTTGGATAGTCCAGGAGGGATTTAATATGTGTGACGAGGGAGATTACAGTTCTTTTCCACCGTATATGCATTGCAATGCAACTTCACGTGTAAGTCATACATTCTACGTCTTATCTTTCAGCCAAATACTTCTTTCAAAATCTTATGTTACAGACCCGTCCAGGCGGTGTCCTCTTCAATCAAGCATATGATTCCGCTATTTTTCTATGGAATTCTAGCTTACGTTCACTAAATGTTAGAAAAAGGCCGGCACGGTGAATATTGCATCCGCATCAGCGATTCAATACTTTTACAATGACTTACCACATGACCATGCCGAATACGTGAGTTATTGTAGCCCTGGCACAAGTACTGTTTACTAAAATCTCTAGTATGCACACATTATGCGCCCCCAAGCTACATCGGCTTTGTACCACAGAACCACAGCAGCGGCATGGCGTACAATTCCCACCACATATATTATATGTCCCCTCGACAACGTGCTAACAGATGCATACGCTCGACTCATGCTGACTGCAGCCCAAGAATCGGGTAGTAACATCGATAGTATAGAAGTATGCGAGGGGGCCGGAAGTTGCTGTTGGTTGGGGTCCGGAGCCGATTGGTTCGCCGGGGTTCTACGACGGGCCGCAGGAGAGTTGGTATGAGCGCAAAAGGCGTTAACAATAAGACAGGGATCGGTACTTTACAATGCATGTAAGACTGGAAATGGTTTAGAATGGACAGAAAGTTATAATATGGAATGGCGGGGTTTAAACATGTTAAACATGTATGCGGGAACCTGGCGTGGAGGCGGAAATCTTTTGGGGTCGGAATTTTGGTTTACGACTTGAGCATTATCATTGGATGATTAGCATTGTATGGGAGTTTGTTATGAAAACTTTCACGGTCATGACCGCCAACATCCTCGCCTCTTGTGATATCTGATAAAACTGGACCCAATACTACGGTGAGAAAAGATTCGCCATATCAAGGTCTTCACCAATGACCTGAGAATTTTCAGTCCATCTCAAGACTCAATCTGTCCCATCTCTGACCCCACGTGGAAACTTGCCCCCCTTCCATTCTGAAGCAAAGTTACTGTTCAACATCCACTTCCATATATTCACTTCCCATTACCTCCCTTCCCTTTCTTGTACACCCATCATCTCGTAACCACCATCGACGAACCCCCCGCGGGATGTCAGTCTCAAAATATGCGAGTTCTACCTTGGGTATTGACTATTTTTCTATGAAATACAAACCCAACAGCTCTCCTCTATGTCGCCATCCTTAGAATTAGCTGAGAACATTCCTCACGGAGTTATGTGTCCAGTTTCTTGATTTACTAGCCATTTCAGCTTTTACTCGTAGTTATGTCGATTGCATTCTACATGGTCTTTCTAGAAATTATTTGTATAGTATATTGTAAGATCTTATACCCTCTCGAAATTGTATTCGAGCCACTATTTCGTCCACGTAGGACGGTAGGACCGTAGGGTGTTTCCCACCCATCTCAACAAAGCAAGCTCAGAACATGAACATGAACATGAACCGAGACACTTGAAGGTTTTAGCCAATACCACAGCGGCTCAATCATGGTCGTGACGAACGAGAACGAGTCTCGTAACTTCCCTTTCTCTTGACCTAATAAATACTCTTGGCCAGAGATGAAATTGCCCGCAAGTTGCAACGATCATGTTGCTGACTAGTACAAAGAGTAGACCTAGGACATTGACTAGACTTGGAATACATATTGTATAGTTTTGGAACGCTGAATGAGAGTAAAATGTTGATTGGACTTGAAATACTGAATGAATCTAGGATATTTACAGTATATGCACTCAAAAACTAAACAGATTTTTCAAACATTGAAAGCTTTCAGATTGTGGGATTTGAACTGCTAGTTCAGACCAGACCAAACTATTGATTAACATATATGTAATTATTACTGATGCAGGTGATTTGGGAAGTTGGAATTTCCTGGTTTGGAAGGTGCGATTTCGGTGATAACTTACAAGTATCTTAGGAATGGGCTATGAAAAAGAATGCAGCGCAGGATCACTTTACTTTTGAGACCTAGATTTCCTTTCTATCTAAGTGTTCCGTTGGAAGTGGTACCACGTGTCAGTACGAGGATACTTACTCTATATCGAAATCAACTAAATGCTGTTCATTCTTCTCACTGCTTCAAGCATGTAAAGCCCTTACATACATCTCATTCTCCACAGCCAAACAACACTGTATCAATATTAACAAAACTCACAGAAACATCAATCAGCTCTACATAAAAGCCCCCAAAAGACTTTTCAGCTCTATCTATCTCCAAACATACCCAAAATTACAGAAATTCGATTCTCAAAAGTCGCGTGCAAGATCCCTCCCTATCCACATAGCACACCTTACCAAAACTCTACTATATATACCATCCTAAGGAGCATTTCTCCAACCAAACCGCAAAGGCGGCAAACAGGCATGTTTGTTCTGGACAAATGCGGTTTGGCGGAGGAGTCAGCACGCCTGGTTCGCGAAAAAAATCCCACCGGGGGTTTCTGTTAGACAACAACAGATTTGCCATTTTGTTCAATGGTTGCATTTATTTTTTTATTTTTTGAAGGGCTTGTGAGAGAGTGGTGGTTTCGTTTTGGGTGAGTGGTAGGTATTCTTTGAGGATGAGAGCGAAAGTGAAGTAAATGGTGGTGGGGAGGCTAGATCAGACGAGAGAGAATGGATGGGGTAAGCGAGAATTTTTGGCATGAGGATTGGTTCGGATGGTTAGTGAATGGAGGTTCTAACTTGGACTTTACTAGAGTAATGGAGATATATCGGTACACGAGGGACTTAAAGTAAAGATCAAATGGTGACGGATGTGGTGTGGAGCTCTCGAGGCCTGCTCAGGTCTCAATGGCTCATACGCTGACTATGTAAATCCACCAAAGGAAATTACTACGGAGAGTTCGCTTTTGTAGAATAGATCAGCTAGAAGATACGAGTCTATCAACGCTCAACAACTATACCTCGCTCGCCCTTTCTTTTCTTTTATGGAACCATCCAACCACTATAGATGAATCCAATCCCAAGCAAGTTCCCCTCGTGCCTCGTGCCATCAACGAGATACCCTTTCTCATTTATATCGAATTCATCAGGAGGTTTTAGACGTTTTGCTTTTCTTTTGGAATTCTGGAATAACCAAAATATTCATTCACTGTTTCTGCGTCTTAAGTGTATTTTGAATTTTTGTTTTTGTTTTTGTTTTTGTTTTTGGAGCGAGGGCGAGGGTAATTGCTCTACAATGTGGAATGCAAAAGAGGTAGTGGCAAGTTGCAAAGATTTAATGGCATGAAAGACGATGAATGGCGCCAGCCAAAAAGCTTCGAGGTAAGTTGGGAAGATGACTAGCTAGTGAACTTTATGATATTGGCCCTAATAGTAAGAATACCGAGAGATGAATGGGATATTCCTTATTACATGAAGCTGACACGCGACTTGAGAGCCCCCATCGAGATTCCAGCTGAGAAGTTTGTTTAAAAATTCGAGAATACCCAAGAATCGTATCTGTAAGTTCTGTGCAGAGGAAAGACATGTAGAGCATGATTCGGTTACATTACTCAAATTTTCAGAATGCTCTAAATAATTATATAGCTGTGCAGTAAGTACTCAGTAACATTCCTCCCTAAGTTCCTACTGCTACATAGCTAAAAGTCTCCATAATAACAGCATTCACTACCCCAATCAGATACCCTCCAGTAACAACCGCAATCTCGAGACTCTAGCTCGAGTCTAGAAATTTAATCAAACTCAACTCAGACTAATTCCTCACTAGCCCAAGGTTTTGAATCCACTCGCACCAATAGTTCGAACTTTGAAGCATTCCTTGAGCTCCCGAGAAAATTCATCGTTGAGGAGTAGATATCAGAGATAGAACCGCGTATAAAAATTCCCGTGAAACTTGGAATCGTACAAGCATGTTCTGATCGTGGCCTTCGATGCGAATAATACAGTATCATACGAATGTGGACAACTGTACCTTTAGTTGAGTATTTAGCTGCAAGCTGTTAAATGACTTACATTCGGCTTTTCGGAAAATAGATACAGAGCCAAAACAGTATATTCAAGGTACCCATATTGTAGGAGAAAAACTACCAGTGTGCCGGATGTGCTGGGCTATGCTAATGAGCTTGTTCTCTGGAACACCCTCTGATTCTTATGACTTCCAATTTTTAGTTGTGCGACAAGTATCCCAAGATATCTAATTATGTTTTTACAAGGGAAATCATATGCAATTCAACATCGCATTCATTATCGCAGTGATAAAAGTGATATGAGAAACTCCCATTCTTTTGTAGCCTGTCTACTGGTTAGGAAGGAATATTGATGATAAATAACCAAGAAGGAAGCGGATGCATTTTCAATTATCGAGAACGGGAAGGAGCAAGAAGGGAGAGGACGAAGAACATTTTGAGCGAGAGTTGAAAGCCTTGTACTTTGTCAACACCACTCAAGAATCACATTTTGATATTTGCAAATATACATTATAAAGTCCATGAAAGAAGATATAGACACCTTTCCTTCAAACAGAATTCTTGGAGATTTTACATGTGCAACGACTTCTAACATACACTACCTTATTTCGATATCGACACTTCCTGGCAACAGGTACACCAGTATTTGTATCTCAATCTTGAAACCTCTGATCAACACGCACAGCACTTCAGTTTCCGACAAAGAAGATGTGCAAACGACTATGGGTTATGTTCGCTGGCTGTAGGGATATACGTACTTCTGAACGCCGCTGTGTGCGAAACCCGGTAGAGAAACCGCTAGAACATTGCGATACTCGCCGTTACGATCACGACCCAACGATGATGTTCTTGCCAGGAAGATGTTTTGAATGGGAAGTAAAGGATGATAGCGGTGTGATGATGTCAGAACATACATGGATTGTGTGCAGTGACAATTGGTATCGTGAAGGTATACCATCTGTCGTAGATGGTACCGCACCAGTAGCGATTCGTTCCAGCAGCCTTTCACATCCCACTGCCCGGCAGATGGATAATTCGCTCCAAGAAGAAATTGTTCAGAGAGATCGTGGACAGGACGCACAGGTAGACTGACTAACTACCTTGCTTTGAAATTTAGGAGATAGCTAACATTTGACAAGAAGATCGAAGCTCCAAAAGCAAGATATATAGGATCTTTCGAGCGGGAAATAATCGTTGCAGGAATCAACAGCTTACCTACACACATCTTTCAAGAAGTATGCAATATGATGCTACAAGATCAACCAGATGTGGAAGTGAGTAATTCTTCGTCATTTGACGACTTTCGATTAACTAATTTGTTTATTTCCCAGATCGATCGAGACGGTATCATGAGATTAGACATGGCATTGGTTCCACAACACATCCTTCGGATAATGTACGAAGCCATCCAGCAACATCTTCCAGAGGTTGAGGCTAGTGTTGGAGAGGCACATCAAAACAAGAATGATAATTACAGCATCGAGAAAGCTATCAATGTAATGCAGGTGATGGAGCCAGTAAGAAAGATCCTTGGAAATTAGCGATCAGGAAGTAGAAGATGGCATATCTGGTGGTATTGAGCGTGGAAGAGGCTCCGTGTCCGCACACAACTCTCGTTCCAAGTACCTTGTATGGGTACATCCACAGATTAGCGTTTTGTTCAGAGTACTTGGGGCGGAAGAAACCTGTATCGATGATGCTCTCATAGATAACTGAGACATCGAAATGAATACAAACATTTGTACTGCCTGCTAGGGAGAAAGCCGACCACTATCTTCTTGCTTGACAAAGAAAATACCGCGACGTAAAGTATATCTTCCCACTTTCAAGACCTTGAATCGACAGATCTCAGTGATTTACCATAGAACTTTGCTCTATTCCTTCAATTTCTTTGTCGCCTTCTTTCCTCTCAATCGTCACTTGGTATTATGGAAATACTTTGCTAGTATACCCCACATGCGGAAGATACCGTGGTAGAAGCCATGAACAATCTCCCGACTCTCGATATTGGTAGAGCAATAACATATTTATACAGAAAAATCTCCTCTTACTTCAGGGCATTGCAAAGATGCGAATAAACATCAAAGCTCTGGATCCTGTCTGGAATACAAACTTAAAACTTTCATCCTGAACACTTGCATGAGGATCAATCTTCTCGGGACATTTGAGACGTCAAACGTCTAGATATATTCTCTCAGGCGTTCACTGACGCTGTACGAAAACTTACCATTCCACATGTGCAGCGACAAGTTGTGGATACAGTATGAGTGCGGTGATGTCGACCCGCAAACGCTAAGGTGTTCACTCAATCCCGAAGGACCGTTAGAGACCTGCAAGAACTGGCAAAAAGCACCGAAGCTCTCAATTACGAATAAGACAGGAAAGTGCCCAGCATGCATCCAAGGAGATGAATGGGTGGGAGGATCTAGTATGAGACTATCGGTAAACACTCCACGTGGCAATAGAGAGACGAAAGATAATAATTTGTCATAGACTTAATTGTACTCACTCACTTAATCATGCGATTCGGGTACTCAAGACACACGCTGAAACTGAACTGCTGGCAGCTATGTTGTGGGAATGGTAATGCATAATGGAGACGCGAAAAGCTATGTGTTTTATCGTGGGGTAATAATGGACAAAGAGGTTGCAAAAGCTTGGGTACATTCTTTGAGCGACGGAGATCAATATCAAACTCTTGTATTTGTATGCCACTTGGTACTTGAACACAACAAGACCTGTCATTATGAAAACCATTTAAACTTTTCTCTTGCAAAATCATGGCTCAAACTCTCCCCCTCTCTCCCTTGCTACACATGTCATTCAACTTGTTACAAGCCAGTGTCCTAACAACTTGACTTGTTCCACAATACATACTCGGGACTTCCCGCAGAGTTAGTGATTGGGAGCTGTAGCTAGGACAAAGAAGTAGACCCCAGGTACGAACAGCTTAAGCTCACTCTTCGAGCTCTCTTGCTTTGCTACTGCCCTCTCTAAAATGACCTCATAACATATGCAACACAGAATGGAGAGAAACTCGCAAGATTCCGTAGAGGCATATAGGCTTGAACCAGGATAAAGGAGGCCTGAACTCAATGAAGACAGTTGTAGCTACTCGAGTGTAACTTTGGTGTCATAATTCGTTGTTCCTAAAAATGCGGCAAGATCCTACACATTCCAAGTCCGTATAGATCTAATAAGTTATGTATGATCTTGCAAATGGAGCTAGACAGTCGGTTGGTGTCTCCAATAAAGAAAGATATGATAGTATTGTACTCGAGTAAGACGAAAAGAGCCGTTCGTCTCTGTAACACAAACAAGAAAGAAAGGCATGCTAGTACTGTAAAAGAATAACATAGGAGTCTTTTTTCTGTATTCGTATAAGGTTTCAAGGTACATTCAAGTATAATTCAGCATTTGGGAAAGATATAAACAAGAAATAATGATAAGATCGCGGTGGGTTAAGAAGGGAAGTGTAGATTACTAGTAGGTAGGTAGACTCGAGTAGTATCTGCAGAAAACAAGTTATATACTCTTAGGTATTTATTATCACAAATGCCAAAACCCTTAATAATTGAGTAATCTTACATACGAGTGCAGATAGGTGTTTAATTATCAATTATTATAATATAGAGAAATCTGGTAATTTTATATTCATTATATATGGTAAATATATGGTAAAGTGACGTTGCCATTTTTTTCTCCCGAAAGAAAAAGGTTCCCGGCCCCTCGCCTAAGCTTTTACTAGCAAGCACACTTAATTTCTTCCTAACCACCATCCACAACTTTGACTTTGACCCTAAGCCCACGTCACAAATACGATAAATACAACAAAAGACCGACAATCTTGACAATTGTGAACTGTGAACCCGCAGAGTCAACGGAGGAGATTGTGTAACCATTTACAGGTTAAATCATTTATCAAGGCCAAATTGTCTGAAGGGGTTTTGTCTCATTATCCGTCAATATGAGTGACGCTCAGGCAAATGAGGCCGAGAAGAATATCGAGATTTGGAAGGTGAAAAAATTGATTAAACGTCTCGAAGCTGCGCGTGGAAATGGAACCTCGATGATTTCTCTTATTATTCGTAAGGAATCACATCTGCATATTCTTTATGTACTCTAACATGTTCTGTAGCGCCAAAGGATCAAGTCTCCCGTGCGGCGAAGATGTTGGCAGAAGAATACGTGTGTTGTCTCTTTCCTTGATGTTTGTCTTTTGCATGCTAACTTGAGATTGGATATAGGGTACCGCATCGAACATTAAGTCTCGTGTGAATCGTCAATCCGTTCTTTCTGCTATCACTTCGACCCAACAAAGACTGAAGTTGTATAACAAAGTCCCGCCAAATGGCTTGGTCGTATACTGTGGTGAAATCCTAACGTCGGAAGGGAAAGAAAGGAGGGTCAACATCGATTTCGAGCCCTTCAGACCCATTAACACATCTCTCTACCTTTGCGACAACAAATTTCATACAGAAGCTCTCGCCGAATTGTTGGAAGACGACCAAAAGTTCGGCTTCATCATTATGGATGGAAATGGCGCACTCTTCGGTACATTGAGTGGAAACACTAGAGATGTTATTCACAAATTTTCTGTTGATTTGCCAAAGAAGCACGGTCGTGGTGGACAATCTGCTCTTCGATTTGCGCGTCTTCGCGAGGAGAAGCGTCACAACTACGTCCGAAAGGTTGCCGAATTAGCGGTACAAAACTTCATCACAACAGATAAGGTTAACGTAGCTGGTATTATCTTGGCCGGTTCTGCGGATTTCAAGAACGATCTCAACCAGTCAGACTTGTTTGACAACCGTTTGGCAACAAAGGTTATCAAGGTTGTTGATGTTTCTTATGGTGGGGAGAATGGATTCAACCAGGCTATCGAGCTTTCAGCCGAGACACTTAGCAATGTCAAGTTCATTCAAGAAAAGAAGCTCATCGGAAAGTACTTTGAGGAGATCAGTCAAGACACAGGACGGATCTGTTACGGTGTTGAGGATACTTTAAAGGCTTTAGAACTTGGCGCTGTCGAAATTTTGATTGTTTTCGAGAACCTCGAGATCAATCGCTGGGTTCTGAAGGACAGCAATGGTGTTCAAACAACTCTCCATACTACCAAGAAGACTGAGGCCTCAAACCGAGAACAGTTCATGGATAAGGAGACTGGTCAAGAAATGGAAGTAGTTTCTTCGGAATCGTTCTTAGAATGGATCGCTGAGAAGTACAGAGATTTCGGTACAACACTAGAGTTCGTCTCAGACAGATCCAGTGAGGGTAACCAATTCGTCAAGGGCTTCGGTGGTATTGGTGGCCTCTTGCGCTACAAGGTCAACTTTGAGCAATTGGCCGAAGTTGATGATGATGATGATTACTATGACGGTATGTTACAAGTACTTGGCAGACAGACAAACTTTCAGAAGCTAATAATATGTAGATTGACAGTTTGATGCCCTCGCATCGGGCGAGGAGCCAACTCCAGTCGAACCGTCAAGCCAAATTCTGTCACACCGCCCTGGTGCCGTGCAACAGACGACTCCAGCGCAGCCGGCTTCAGCTGGCGTGGGGCTCAGAGGGAACACAGGTAACACCCGTCCCAGCCCTCTCCGGTCCGTCATGACGGCTTCTTGAGTTGGAGGATATCATATCTCAGGTATATGATCCCCGGTTATTCCTTTTGGGCACTTTTTAATAACTTTGTGCAGACCACATGAATCCTTGAAAACAAGGCGATACTCTGATATTTCTCATGTGTGTTAAGATCGAGGAAAGATTGCGTTTTGGCAGAATTACTTGCTATCAAAATGTATAGAGTATCTGAAGTTCAGTATCAATGGGCCAACGATGGATAGACCGGATTATTTGAACTCAAAATACCAGACAGCTTTTATACTTAGGCTCGATGCTTCATGTTGTTTTTTTCATGTCTGAAGCTATACTCCTGTGAAATGATCAGATTGCTTCCGAATATCTGCCTCGGATTCTCACGATCAGAGAGCCAGCAAGCACACAAACCACGTACAAAGCAAAGCAACCATGTTCCCCTTAAACCACCTTTTACTTTCATGATCACCGGATCCGAAGAACCCGACAATTACACCCACCTAAATTGTGATAAGGTGGGGTTTCTTACTCCGTATGTTTACAGTACGGTAGCGGGAGCAAAATAAATATCAAAGATTTTCATCCTTCTTCTCTACAGTCATCAACCAAAATCCATCTCTTCTACATTATTATGACCGTATGAGTGGTACGCGAGTCTTTCCGAAATGCAGTGAACCCAATCATTTTTAAATACCGGAGTTACAGTAGAGTCCTTTCCGACCAACCGAACAACATCAACACCGAGAAGGATTGAAGACAAATTGAATGATGATGCAGTCCAAAACCAAATCCTCTAGCACACCTGCTATATCTTTCCTAGGGCCCATTTCTTCTTATACTCATCAGGTATTTGATCTTCGTTTAATCAAGTGCCCAGCGCCCTTCAATTGTCAACATTATGAGCCACATGCAATTTCCATAGGACTAACAGATGACTGTCACCCCCAGGCCGCTCTTGGATGCTTCGATAAAGAAAAATACGAGTACCAACCAGCCATTGGAATTCCAGGTATTTCGATCTTCAAACTTTTATTTACATATCACTGACGGTACATAGATGTTTTTGAAGCCGTCCAATCGGGCAAGGCAGAGCTCGGTGTCGTACCTTTCGAGAATTCTACCAATGGAGCTGTGATCTTTACCCTCGAACTCCTCGCAGATCGTCATGACTTATATAAAGATGTTACAATATGCGGTGAAGCCTATCTTGATGTTAGCCACTGCTTGTTAGGTTATGTTTCGAAAGCAGATTCCCCAGTAATGTCTGGCACTTGTACTCCAACTACCTCGACCCCTTCTCCAGTCAAGCCAAAGACAACACCGCGATCTAGTCTCAATCACATCCAACGGATTTACACCCATCCACAAGCATACGGCCAATGCGAAGCATTTCTCGGAACGTACTTGAAGGGAGTGGAGAGACTGGACGCCAGTTCTACAAGCAAGGCGGCTGAAATTGTCAAAGCGGATAAGACCGGTACAAGTGCTGCAATAGCAAGTTCGCTCGCAGCGGATGTTCATGGATTGGACATTCTTGCAAAGGGAATCGAAGATCGTGAGGACAATACCACAAGATTCCTCGTTTTGCGCAAAGGCGTGGATACATCTGCGACGAAGGTTAACGTTGCGGCTAAGTCCATGATAACTTTCACTATTGACCACCGGACACCAGGTGCACTCGCAGATGTGCTGGATTGCTTTAGGAGATACCAAGTCAATTTGACAAGTATTAATAGCCGTCCAACGAAAGTAGTTCCTTTCCAATACATATTCTTCGTCGAGTTCGAGGGAAGTAAGCTGAGTGATCCAGGGGGGAAAGTTGCTGGGGCATTGGATAGTCTCGAAAAATACACAAAGAACTGGCGCTGGCTCGGGAGTTGGGAAGACAAACTTGTGGATAGAAAGAAGTAAATAGAAAGGGATAACAATGGCATAGTATGGGGCATGTCGAGGGGAATTTAGACATTTACCTATCCACCGTATCGGATTCTTATCGATAAGAATGTCGCTTTTCTTGGCATTTAGGGTGCGGGCTTTTCGCTTTCTTTTGATAGATCTCTATCTCTAGATTTCCATCTACCTTTCATCTATCCATACGCGTCATGATGATGAATTAATGAAAATTCTAGCAGATCCTTTCTGCCATAATCTTGTCATGAGACTATTGAATTCCTTTTATTCTCGAATACTTAGCCTTTTCGCCATTAATCGCCCCTTAATATCATCAACGCATACTCGAAAGTCTTCGTTGCAGTCAATTCTCCACAAGGAGCTTACTGCACGCCAACCCAACATTATTTACGATTATTTAACGCCAACTCCTTCTCATCTTTTGAACATATCTCTTGAAGATTTCATTCCACCTTCATGCTATCCTGCCAACTTCACAGGCTCGGGTTCCGCACTTCCATACGCTTCCATACGCGGACGAGATGAGTGCAGCGATACATCACTCCTCCCCCAGTCGCATCATTTAGTATATTTCTCTCCGCGAATTTCTAATAACGCGCTACTTCCGGATGGCACAGATCCTTTTCAGTCCCCAGGACCGCCATTTGTGCGCTGCATGTGGTCTGGTGGGTCTGTTAGTTTCAACACTACGAGTGAGAAGCAGCTTCGTCTTGACAACATGCGAGCCGCGTGTATAGAACGAATCGTGGATGTTTCGGTGAAAGGGAATGAGGGTGATGAGAAAGTGTTTGTAAACGTAGAGAGACGGGTTTGTATTGCTGATTTTGGAGATGATCCGCACACGAATCCAGATGAGGAGAGCGGCGCAATCGCTTCTGGAAAGTACTCTGGTAATGATCAACATTCTATGGCTGACCAACGATTATTACGACATTACCATGTCGATAACAACGACAACATCGGACGAGCATCTTTGGTGGAGTCGAGGAATCTCGTCTTCATGCGACAGGCCGTACTTCCTGCCAAAGGGTATCTCGACAGGCCTCGAAAGATCTTGAAGCGTAAGATATCTCCATTATGTTATTCGAACATTTCTTCCTCCCATTGACCACATTCATAGCTACGCGCGAACCAGATTTTGATGTACGAAGAACACCCTCGCGATCGCTTTTATTCAGATTTTCAGCCCTTACCTTTAACGCTCACCTGATTCATCTCGATCCCCAACATTGCCGGGATATTGAAGGGCACAGGAACCTACTCCTTCATGGGCCCCTTTCATTGGTCCTCATGCTCTCCGTTTTGCGATCACAACTTCGACCTGGAGAAATGATAAAAAAGTTCAATTACAGGAACTTGGCTCCACTTTACGTAGATGAAGAGCTAAGAGTTTGTGTGTGGAAGAATACCAACGGAAACAGCAAATACGAAGTGTGGATTGAGGGAAAGGAAGGCGGATATGCCGTCAAGGGGTCTGCGGTTGTTGGACCCCTTGACATTTGAGAGATAATGACTCGGTAATAATGGCCAACAAGGCTGAAGACTTGTGAACAGTGAACACATCCTGGAGTCTTTTAATCTCTCTCCAAAATTCTCCGATGTTTGAGGAACAGTACGGAGGTAAAGCAAAAAGCCACTTTCGTAATGTTTATGCAGATCTGATAAAATTTGATGATGAATAAAATTTGGTTAGATGTTTTGGAAAGATGGGACGAAATCAAGATCATCGCTTTTCGTCCCTGACACTACAGCAAGGTACCGAAAACAGATGCACAGCAGTGTACACTACTACTGTACAGTAGCTGCTTACGCTGTACAAGACGATTCTTTTTTATGAAGCTGCAGTAGACGACGAAGCTGCAGGAGATTCCACAAGAAATGCAATGAATGATAGGTTTATACGAATGGATGAATGTAGGATGTGATGCAGAGTAACAAAGTTGGCTCGTATATCGGGAAGGCCTTGATATAAGTCGTACATCGATCGTATGACATGATTATGGTTATTTATATATATAAATCAAAGCACCATTCAGGGGAATTAATTCCTGTTGATCTGAAGTTTGCATATAATACCGAAATCCAGACTTTTGTCTTACCAAGAACGAAGGGAAGAGAAGAAGTCTTAATTATGCATTATATACCTAGGTATTTATTACTTGTTTATATCATCTTTGAAATAAATAAATCGAAAACAATAAAAATTGATTGGTTACTCTGAGATATAATGGCCATTAATATATATTATTATGGAAATAGTACTTATACCTGTTTGCCGTTATCATAATTCTATCATATACCTAGGTAATCCATCATTTTATTTAAGCTCAATTCTGGCCCTTTAAAACTTTAATTAATTCATTAATTCATTAATTAATTAATTCATTCATTCATTCATTCATTCATTCACCAATTCACTAATTCCACTGCAAACAGTACAGTTAGTTATCTTCTTCCTATTCCATACTTTCTCTTCAATTGTGTTTTTATTTATTTCACCTTTAAACTTCCTTATTACCAATTCCGGATTTCATATCTCTACACTTTTGCAGCTGTGATAGCTCGATCCGGCGAAATTTCCTTTCGCAGCTCATATACGTTTAAGTCCTCATTTTTTGCCGCATGAATGTCCCTGAAGGTTCTAAGTATTTATATTTGGCTTTGCCGACTGGTTTAGCAGGAGATTTGCCAGTCAAGAGCAAAGTTATGAGATGGCGCCCAAAGAATCTCGGCGGAAGAGCTTGAGTCTCCTTTCCAGAGCATCACTTTCAAACCTCGCACATATAAATACAGATATCAATAATGGCAACACAAGCGAGAAGGAGCAGAAGGACAAGAAGAAGCTGGGGAAGAGAGCTTCGATATTCAGTAGTCTAACACCTGCCATGTATACCGATTCTGAAAATGGAAGCAATAGTCCTCTTAAATCCGACGCCCATTCACCAAAACTGCGACCTCGTACACTACAGAAAGGCAGACCAACTTCACTATTCGGTTCCTTGGGGAGAAAGTCTATGACAGACGTGGACGAGGAAAAGGAGGTTCCGGGCGCGACTCCTGAATCCCCTGAAGAGGAATATCACTATCTTGCAGCTGGTATCATCAATGCGAGTAGTGCGGTTTCGATACTTCACCATGGTGAAGTCCAGACGACTAGTTCGATGTTCAGAAAGAAAAAGGAATATCTTGTATTGACGGACACACACTTAACACGATTCAAAAGCATGGCGCGAGCGATAGAGACATTTCCCCATATACAGCCTGCGCACTTGCGACAATCTCATCGTCAATCATCCACCGCATCGATAGGATCGTTACAAGAAGTACAGTCCCAAGCCTCGCATACATCGACGGAGGGCGAAAACAAGATCCCTTTGGGCCAGATTGTCACAGTATATAAAATGGAGGATGGGCGACCATTTTTCACAACCGAGGTCGTGTTTCTAGACGAGGACTACCATGGAGTAGGATCTATTCAGCTTATGCTGCATGATCCAAAGGACGCAGATCTTTGGTCTACTTCAATTAGAGCAGCTGCACAGAAAGCCAGACTTATGATGCCGGAACCATATCCCGAACGAGTTGTCCGTTACCTTGTTCAGACCTTGGAGGGAGTGGATGACTATGACTCGAATCATTTCCAGGTATTCCGTGTTGTCAAACGAGCTCCATTGGCAAAGAGTGCACGCTCATCTTCGGACGACCTTCAAAAGCTTGGGTCGTCGGTATTTTACATGGTTATTGGTATAAATCGATTACATCTAATACCACTGCCCGATTTTAGCCTGCCTACTGGAACCCTGTTTCATCCAAAATCAAGTCGGAATGCATACGGCCTCATATCCCTGGTAGCAATGAACGTGCAGTATTCTGATGACAGATTCGAGCTTGCTTTCAGGTGAGTTTAGGTCTCCTAATGTACTTCATATTCGTCTTCCTTGCATAGTTACTCGTGTGGTGTATGAAAACCCCTATCTATTATTAGACGGTCGCGAGTGCCATTGTCTGTGATCAGCCTGGTGTTCTGGCTCATATAATAATCAAAGACTGCTTTAATATCGCCGAATGACGTCGTACAAAACATATCTATGTGCTTGCATTTATTCCAACAGCCTTTACATATAGATGCTGTGCATGGTAGCAACAATTACAAGCACAGAGATTAATACTAGTATAGAACACCACTTCAACAAGTCAAGATGCTCGAGTTAGCAGCCTCGGCTACGCACGATATTGCTGTAGTCATCTTTCAAGCCATACAGTATCTCAAGCCCGCATGGTTAGATTACAACTTCACATTCAACGGGCCGAAACGTCTACTGGAATCTGGTGATATACCTCTAATCCACGAAGAAGAGGAATATGGATGCTTCGATAGAACTCTTGTTGCTTATTGCATGGCCTACAATGTAAGGCCTTGTGTGCTAGTGGTTTTAACCTGGCTGACATGATTAGTGCAACCCTGTGAATATAAAATATGCAGTAGATTGGGACGTTGACGATGCGCCAGAATTTCGGTTATATCCTCCTGCCATGACCTCTAAATACACGATTTACGAACTGCTCGCTATCTTTAGGTCTTTACGATATAACGAATCCTTTCGCTCGATTTCTTTCGCAGATATTGATCTTCATTGCATGCATGGTGTTGTGGATACATACGGCATAGATCATGTCGCGTGGACTACTCGAGTAGGTATTGCGGTAGATACTTACTTCACTATGAAGCCACAGGACGGATCGCTTTTATACCAAGAGGTTCAAGCACTTGCTTTGAAGTCACTACAGCTTCGAAAGATAGATTTTAGTAACGCCCTTCCCAGAAGAAGACCGAAAGATACCTTTGACGATGAAGGTGGTGTTCTCCAAAAAGATCCGGGTTGCGAAATCACTGCTGCATTAATGCCCTTGTGCCGCGCTCAGCTAACCAATGTCAATTGGATTACTCTGAACGGGATCGAATTGGGAGAAACGGATCTTGATGCTATGATTCCTGCACTGAACAATCCGAAGGCTGAGATCAGGGCAATTGAGTGCTCGCGATGTGGGCTGAGCGACCGGGGAATAATGCAACTTCTAACGCACTTGGAGCGACAAAACCAGACACTAGAGTGCATCAATATATCTAACAACCCAGGGAGGATTCTTCTTGAACGATTTCAAGTATCTATGAGTCGATTTTCGCACGTTCGTAAGCTCGACCTATCAATGATCACTCGTACTTCTGGCGACCAGCCACTTTTTGTCCCTGAAGTTATGCTCTCCTGGAGGCTAGAGGAGTTGATTCTGAACGGTATTCCTGTGAGTTCGTTCTCCCGATTCTCGAATTTCCTACTAACTTAACAGGTAAACGACCAAACTCTAGATACGATATCTGCCTACCTAACGAGTGACATGTCTGATGGACTTCGCACCTTACAGATGGATCAGTGTAATTTGAGCGGATCGCATGTTGCCCTTCTCATGAGAGCTATGACCCGAGTACCCGGTGAACCTCGTGACTTGGAACTTCACGTAAGTGCCAATCGGCTCGAGAAAGGAATAAGTGATTTCGTGAAAGCTATTCAAGAAAACTACACCCCATCCAAACTTGTGGTTCGGATGATCGAATTTACGAAAGAGGAGCACTTCAAGCGATTGTTAGAAGCGTTGCGCACCAACACTACTATTCAGGTCCTGGATATTTCGAAAGCGTCACTTCCATATGATGCAAGCCCGGAGACGTGTGAAACCATGCAAAGGGTCTTTGCCGAGAACACCACACTTGAGGATCTAGACATATCTGGAGAACAAGCACATCTCGAGGTTACACGATTTGGAATCGGCTTGAATCAAGCATTGACTGGTCTCAAAAAGAACAACACCTTGAAGTCTCTTCGCATAGAGTACCAAAACTTAGGTCTGGAAGGGGCGAACACACTCTCTTCTGTCTTGGAAGAGAACAGAGGTCTTACGCATATTTTCTGTGAGCACAACGATATCAATCTTCAAGGATTTACGATACTTGTCAATTCGATTGCGAAAAATCATACCGTCCTTGAAGTGCCATATATGCAAGACGATCAAGATATCGCCATGAAGCGAATGAGCGCCAATATGAGGGATTCACGCCGCGCTATTGGTGCATCAAGCCGTGAAAACTACCATGTGAAGAATTCAGTCAAGCGGACATTGAAAACTTTTGGTGTTGGGGTTGAGAAGCCTGTGAAACAAGAGTTAACACCTCAAGATGTCGACCAAGTGGTAAAGGTATTAGCAAAGAAGTGGAATACGGAGATTGGGAGATTGTCCATGTTCCTAGAAAGGAATAGAAACATCGCAATGGGCGTGGAGGGATATGATCCCGTTGAGATTCTAAGCGAACATGCCATGCGTCCTACGACTGCGATGAGTGATCGAGGAATCTTAGAGCAGGTTTTGAGCAACACGACGCCCAGAATCGAACTGGGAAATCCTGTTGAAATCACCAATGATCGATTTTCCGGCATGACACCCGTAGCGGAAGTGGTCAACCCTATGGAAATGGAAATGGAGAACGAGAAGCCGGTGGATGAGCGGGACGCTAATCAATTTAAACGTATATCATACAAACGCAGTAAGGATGGAGGCCTGTTACCCGACTTGGGATCTCTAGGCAATGAAAAGATATTTAAGTTTGACGAGCCGGATAACGTCCAACTAAAACCAAAACGCATATCATACAAACGAAGTCAAGATGGAGGCTTATTGCCCGACTTGGGGTCTTTAGGCAACGAATCGATGTTTCAGATGGACAGTGGATTGTTCGAAATGGAGTCTTGAATGTATCATTAAAATCGAGATTCTCTGCGCAAGGTGGATGGATTGTGCTTTGTGCTTTGCATTTGGGAATGGAGTTCAGGGATGGGTTTTCCTCGTATTAAAAGTGAAAAGCGAAAGCATACTTGCAAGCGTACATGCATGTTACACTGCAGGATACATGGACTACAGCGAGTAACAAGGAAAGCATAGGGTATTTTGTTTGTCTGTTTGATTTCGGTCTCAGGGTTGGATTAATGGAATGGTTGGATGGATGTGCATAATTGTTTGTATATTGAGGAATGCATGGATGGATGGGTGGGCGGGTGGAATGGGTGGCTGGATGCATACAATCAATGAATTGGGTGACTTGACTTGACTACATTACATTACACTACAGGAAGGGAAGGGAAGGAAAGGAAGGAAGACCGTCTGGTTGGTTTGGTTGGCTGGCTGGCTGGCTGGTTGATTAATTGTCAGGAGTAATTACACATGCATTTTTGATAAGGCGTTGGAAGATAGAATAAGATAGACTAGGATAAGATAGGCTAGGCTAGGTAAGGTTAGGATAGGTTAATGGCGTTTGTTTGTTGTCTTTGGGATGACACACATCACATCACATTATATTAAATAGAGCGAGATTCTTTTTCTTCCACGTTACTGTACTTGCGTATAAATGAACAAATGGGGCAGGCAAGCGGGTTTTGGGCATCGCGTGTATTGCATGGGTAGGGTAGGGGGTAATGATGAGATTGAGATTGGAATTTGGTCTTGTGTGAGTGAGTGAGTGTGTGAGTGAGTGGTAGTGATTAGTTGTTTGGGTTGGGTTAGGTTGGGTTAAGTTAATTGAGATGGTTAGTTAGTGTGTGTTGTGAGTATATTTATTCTTATGGAGCGGGGAGAGGGGAGAGGGGAGACGTAAAAGGGGGAGGGAGAGGGATGCGAGTGTGGATCGATATGGATATACTATTTGAGTGTATCACTCGAGTAGTCGAGTAGAGTAATGAATAAGTAAGGCATGGGGCATGGAAACCAAAAATCCAAATGAATCTGAAATTTACTTTATGCTTCCTTCACTTCCTAAAACTGTTCATGATAAAAATAGCATGCAATTTCATTTCTCTCAAAAAAAAAAAACTCCCAAATGCGCTACGATATACGATATTCTTATTAGATACATGTTATGTCATGCCATGCCCGCCTATAAAGCCCACTCATTCCGATTGTCCGACGACGTAACAAACGGTTCATCTATTCGTTTTATGGCAAAGTCGCTACAGAGGATACTGATATGGCAGTTAGCAACGAAGAGATCCCAAACACGAAATGATAACTCACCAAGCACTTGCCACCAACCCATCCAACTCCGCAATCAGGGCTTCCCTCTTGGCACCCATTACTATGCCCTTACTAATCAACATCTGCACCTCTCTGATTCTTTTTGCCCTGCCCACGCCCACTTGATCCATAACTCTCTTCCCCAAACAATCGCTATGAAACGCATGTTGACAAGGGAAGACAAAGAATTGTCGACTCAGTAGTGGTAAAGTGCACACGTAGCATTTTTCTCCCGGTTCCACAATAGCGTAGCGTTGCTCGAGCGCTGCGATGTCAATTTTGATATTCGTGGCTGTTTGGGCGGATTCATCCATTTCCTTCTTGAGGGCATCGATGTTGCGACTGTAATCTTCGAGCGCGGCGCATATTTCTTCCTTGAAGTCGTCGATGACAACGAAGTCGGGGAAGAAAGGAATCAGATCTTCGATTTTGAGAAGATCACAACGTTTGAGAAATTCTATGGCCGTCTTGATTCCATTTGATTGAGAGATTACTTTTTTCGCCACCGCAAGCCAGAGCTTCTTCCGTAACTGAGGATTTGAAAGGGGGCGATCGGCAACGAGGGAGGCGAGATCTATTTCTGAATGTGCGAGAGCGAGTTCTACTGCCTGTAGATATTGCCCCATCGTGCTATAGATGTGTACACATGACTGGACTCGCGAGTGTTGAATACAGAGTCGAAGAGCAAAGTCTGAATCAAAACTTGGTTCGTCACCTTGTGATTCGAGGTATGAGAGGAGAGCCGATTCATCTTTCGATGGATGAGAGGCATAAATTGATATTAGTGTATTATGTACGGCAGCATCGGTTGAGTTTAGGTGATTGATGACATGTAGGAGATAACGAATGGCTTGATTTTGTGAAAGAGATCCTTGAAAATGTCTGTCGTAATTCAGTAGGGCAGGAATGAGATTTCGAGGCTTCAAATCCGAATGTCTCATCAAAATGTCGACAAGATCGGTGGCCACATGCGTCATGAGTCCACTGCTATACCGGTAGAATATTTCGGGTGCTGTCTGCTTCTTCAACACATTCAATGCCTCCTTCCAACGTTCTCTCTGAATCCAATAGGAGAGAACATAATTGTAATCATTTACAGCACTAGCAAAGAAAAGAAGCTCATCTTCTCTGCCATGGCTGCTGATTATATCGTAGGTGGTCTTCTTGTCAAGGTCATTCTTGTACTTTGTGACAAACTCCTGGTATTCTGTTCGAATTGTATCGAGTTGATTCCTAGTCTCTGTAGGATTCAAATTTTCGGATAATTCTGCTTTGGTGATGATTGTATCATCGAGGGAATTAAGCTTCGACATGAAAATCTCTACCAGCCAACTTGCAATCATAATACGCTGCATGATTGAGGCCTTTCTGTACGTTGTAAGTTTTGTAAGAAGGTACTTTCGAAGAGCGTCTTGCTGGTCATTATCGACGAATGTAAGTGCAACTTGTTCGAATGGTTTACTGCTCTTTCCATATACTCCTGCAGCTTCAAGATATGAACCTTTGCTTATGAGGTAGTCACCAGATGCTGTGGCTACAGCATCCTTCTGGGCTGGGCCTCTAGCATAACGCAGGGCTGCATCGAAATGTTCTGTTTGCAGCATGACTTTCCATACATCTCTATCCTCGTCTGTGACAACAATCTCATAGATTTCTTGGGTAGTGAAAAGCCAAAACGTATTCTTCTCTTGATCAGCGAACAGTCCAAGTGCTTGCTGGCCAGGTTCCAAGACCACTTGATCAAAGATTACTCTGTCATCTAGTCGATTGACGGCAACAACGCGACCCCCAATCAAATGAAGAATATGCCACTGAGTCAAGGCGATCGAGTCAATTGAGTCTGATACTGGCTTCTTGCGACCCATCGAGTTCTCAGAAGCTGGCAATTGAGATCTAGGCAACAATTTTGCCTCTGTAAACAATCTTGTGCCCAAATCCGAGGTTGCTGGCGTAGTCATTAATGTCCCGTAGTATATACCTTGTGATGATAGCCATGCAAAAGTACGATCTGGGGTCAAGCTTTCCATGGACGCGGAGTCGGGATGATTAGGAGACACCACAAGGGAAGAAGCTGCAGTTGTAGATATCCTGGACAGTTCATGGACTGTGGGTTGTTCCGTCTCGAAAAGCCGTGTAAATATTGATGCACCTCCCTCATGTGCGACCCGGCCAATCTTGCCTATTAAATGAAGTACCCGACTTTGTGTAGCTATCATTACTCGTCGAACCTCTTTAGCGTCAGGTCTACCGGTAACAAGATCCACCCATAGTCCAGTAACAGGCCCATCTGGAAGCCTCATGAGCGCTTTTAGGTATTTGTCCTCCTTTCGGTAGAATTCTGTAGCAGTTTCGATGTACCCTTCATAAATCATTCCATCGGAAGTTCCAATAAGTATCTCCCTGGTCGAAGACGTTGGCAACGAGGGATTCCAAGCAATACATTCTATCGATACGCCTCGCAGCCGTGAAAGGGGCCTGGGTTGCCTGGACTGTGTATGAAGGTAATAGTTTTCCCCCTGCGAAGTACATATAATCAAATGTGAAGCTGTTGGGTCGAGGAACATGCGTCGTATCACTCCAACCTCCGAGGTCTTTTTTGGTAGGTCAATATCTAAATCGACGGTCAGTTAACTGATTCAAGAAAAAGAAAGTCTGCAAAGTCTCACCATCAATATCTGCAGGATTATCCAGGTCGATTCGGAGAATCCTGCCATTTGAAAGTGCCAAAACCAGAACATTGTTCGCGACTTGCGCCGCTACAAAGTCGGAGGCTATGGAGAATTGAAGCTGTACTTTCTCGACATTAAATATTGGAAGTGCAATCTCATTAAGATCTTGTAGATTTCGTGCGGCTACGTAGCCGCTTGACGGATCGAGAGCCATCCGTCGTTATTATATGAGCCACCTCATCATGGTCGTCGAGCTCGAGGCTGTAAACCCGTTGTCCAAGGCTGGCAAGCCATAGCTTCGACTTGCACTTGACGACTTAATGGGAAACCGTATTTTATACACGTGATTCAATCTCACATGATCATATGCTTCTCGGTCCTTTGGAAAATCACAACATATCTAGTGGCATATCTCGTCGTCGTTATACAAGGGATACGAGGCTTTCTATTTTGCAGGTAGAGACATTTCATCATTCTGGATGCAGTGTATCCAAATACAACATCGAACTTTAGGGACCCACAACATCCAGCTTTGAGGTACCCCCTGGGTGGGTTGAAAAGTTCTACGTTGAGTTCAATTAGGAATCAGACCTCAAGACAGACAATGTAGGTGTATGTCTTGTTGAACTGCCGTATCCGTTTAATGACGGAGCGTTTATTGGAAACACTACCAGCCTACTGACAGCCGATCTTGCTTCTTCGAGGCCGAATATCTAGCACCGGAGCAAGAACTCTGATATCTCCTCGTAGATCTGTGACTCGTGAAATAGCTACGGATTGCACAGCATGATTCATCTCGTATGTCAAATATGGAAACATTTTCCTGAAGCTTACGACCACTCTTGGTATCACCGGTACGTGTTTGTAGCTCCAACCCTCGTGGTCCGAGGTCATTAGCATCTGTCGTACTTCCTCGAGGTTTCCGGGAGAGGGTAAATACCCTCTCCCGGTCCTCCCAATAATCTCGCTGGGGTATTCCCAGATACCAATTCGAGAAGCATAATCGTAGTCTAAATTGGCGGGACGACTTGGTAGTCCACTCCTTGAACCGCCAAATTCTGTTCATCTGTGCGGAATGATGAATACGAAGACAAACGTCGGTAGGAAACCCCTCAAGAAGCCTTGACCATGTAAATAAGTTACGAACACAGTAACCTTTGAGGCGTGAAGGTTTGCCAACAATGACAGAATATATCCATAGCCGGGAGCAGAAAAAGATGGCAATGATTTCTCCGGCTCTTGGAAGGTGTCACTTGGGGGTCGGAGGTTTCATCCCCCTGAGTCAGATATCAAAACAATGTTTATAGCGTACGTACCGTAAAACGATTTGCGGGAGCTTCACATGCTTCAAATTCTATGCTTAGATCACTACTGTACTGAGTATAGGTTGAGAAATATTGAAAGACAGGACATATCCAGACGACAGTGACATAGCATTGAGGAAAGGAAATTAAGTATGTATGAAACGAGCTTGAGTTTCGAGAAGGAGAATCTTGATTATCCTTCAGATGAACTCAGACAAAGTGACCTCATGTCCTCATGTCCTCATGTCTTCAGATATAGTGAAGATCATGCTGCTGAAAAGGAAATGAACTTTTGTGTATTCAGTGATCCTTGACCTGGGGAAAAGAAACCAAACTTTGCTGGTATCCTGGTATGAACAAAAGAGGAAGATAGGAGTTAAAACAAATATACCTAAAACCATCTTTGAACCTGAGTCTTGAAGAATCTTTACGTTTACGACTTTTGACTTCAACGTAAACCTTAGGTAGTGATATAGCACAACATGTATTCTAGTAGTGCTGTATGATGTGAAAATTACGACATGATTCTTTTTCCCGGATTCAAAAACTTAATCCTGATAAAGCTCTAGCGAGAAAAAAAATAATATCATTGGTTAAAAGATTCCAGGGCTTGTCAAATGCTCCTCGCACAACCCTTGGAGTTTCATAATTAAATCCGCGGTTCATTAGGTTTGGATCATTGGTGCAATTCTCAAACATCAAACAAATGATCGAAAGGATGAACTGAATGGTATCCAATCAAAGGCTCTTATTAGCGGTAAATCGAATACCGATAATAGCACATCCATCCCACTCCAAATGGTTGCGAATCGTGAAGTTTGGGGACAGTACTTTGTTGAAGTTTGTACTGTACTCGGCGATTACTTTTGGGCCTTTTCATATTGGGCTCGCTCGCTGCTACTACTTAGATATATAGGTAGTTGTGGATTACACAAGTCTAGACTTGTAGAATAGTTCTGGTTGGAGGCGAAAGGAATGGAAAAGTAAACTTGTGATAAGCTGCAGGATGTCGCCGCCGCCCAAGTGGTGCATGGTATGGTCCATCTTAGCCTAACCATACGGTAGTTTAGCGAGGCGAGAGCTATTCAGGTTCACGAATACAGTAAGTTCTCGACTATTTTACTCGAGAAAAGAAGCACTGTACTGTACAGTATTCGTAGATTGTTATGATACTCATGGATGTGTATTAACTCTATATTATAGTACATTCATGAGACAACGTTAATGATCCAGTTTTGCTTGACCTTAAGGCTAAAATAAAAACCCCTAAGCTAAGGCGATGATGCTATTTCTGCCGAGCCACCCCCCTAACCCCTGTCCACTCTCACGCACAAGCTGTCTTGACCGACCGACTTTGGGACGTTTCACATCTCTTTAGGTAAATGATAATCAGCGACTATCAACCCCTCAGCCCATAAAAGAACCAATGGAAATCTGAAGATCAGGGCCATCTTGAAAATGACCAAAAGTTGAGACTATGGGATAATGGGATATTTCTATATTTCTAGGGAAGAAGTTCATATATTAATCTGACTGCCTGCCTGTTGCATGAGAATCGTTGCCAGCGCATAAGGTAGGAATCTGGTAGGAGATACTGTACATGTACAAGTCTTTTGGGACCGATGCCATATCTTTCCTGTCTTATCTCAAAATGTACTGTACCAAAGAAACCTCAAACATTTGGATCCGATCTTGCCTCAGTTGTGTTCATCACTCCTTGTCCGTTTGCTCCAAACCCCAGAGAAGACGTATCATCACTACTCGTGTCTAGAAACATCAAAAGTGATGATTCAATCAATATGATGATGCCCTACGTCAAAACCTCGAGCTTTGATCTCTTCTATCCCTCCCCTCTCACCTCACCTCACTCCCCTTGTAAGAAACAGAATCATTAGAATCAGAATTAGAATCAGAATACTCACCTCACCTCACCTGATCTAGATGATTCGGTTTTGCCTTTCCCGAGAACATCTTGAAATCATCTTGCTGCATATTTTTGACGCATTTAAGCAATTTTGGAACATTTTTCTCTGAATTCTATGTATGATCTAGGATTATTTTAGTTCGGTCGATTAGATGATTTAGCTAAGAAGAAGTTTTTCTGGGAATAAGGCTTGAAACCGCATAATCATTTGACCCTTTACCATATCTAGTTAATCTCTTTGATTGCGCCTTCCCCTTTCGTTGCTTAGTATGATTAATCCTTGTTTCTCTTCATCCCTCTGATAAATATCTCTTCGCCTCTTTTCTCCACCTATTTAAAACATACTGTTACTGTATTATTATAGTGTGATAGCTTACTTTGGCAGCCGTATCCCATATCATAAACTAGTAAATAGTGAGCAGTTGTCGCTCCTTCTTTCAGCGGAAAACCTTGTATCAAAACTATTAAGACGATCAAGACTTACCTACATTACAATATCAAGACCCAAAGATTCGTACCATTACTATTTATTATTAGCGTTTTTATTATATTTTATACCTCTTTATTATTAATTCATTATTTTTCTCGCTAGTAATATATGGGCACATACATGTACTACTTGTATTACTCAAACCCTCTCTCATCTGTCTGATCTCTGAATCCCACCCAACTCCGCAATCCACGAATCTTCGAAAAAAGAAGAACCTATACCAGGTACCAGGTGGTAGGAATATATCTACCAACTTATTAAAAATAGATCCTGGAAGATCTATATCAACATACAATAAGAACGACATATCTTGCAAACACGATCATTGAGCAATTGAGCATTCATTCCCAAATAACTTCATTCACACCAACCTCGCGACAACTCGCTTTCATTCATTTGGATTTCAACCTTCGACCACTCAAGACAGACAACTATCATCTGATCTGTACAGTCCAGACTAATCACCTATCGAATCAAAAGTCTTCGGTCTCATTTTTCGAAAGTAATCATCTGCCCAGGTCTTATTCACCTCATTACACATTCGCTCCTGCCACTACGAAATTCAATCTGTATATTTAATCAACAACCTTCATACCTTAATGCATATTTGATGAAATCGACGCAATGGCAATGCTAGCTTCAAAGAACCCTTTTCCGGCATCGCTGGGTCCATCCTCATCTTCCTTCTCTTCCAATTCACAAACAGCCACTGCCCAATCAAGTAGAAGAGCGCCAGCCATGCTGGCCACGAACCAAACATTTGCGAGTCCTACAGAATCTGAGTTTTCGGATGTCGATGGTCCGGAGTCTGCGAAGAGGTGGGATGAGGATCAGGTTGGCGATTGGTTAAGGAGCATCAACTGTGGTGACTACGAAAAGTTGTTCAAAAGGAACAACATAAATGGCGAAAATCTCTTAGAGATGGACAAAGCAGTACTTCAAGAAATGGGTATTGAAAAGATAGGAGATCGTGTTCGTTTATTCTTGGGCATCAAGAAGCTCAGGACGAAGGCTTATGCCAATCAAAGGAAGAGAAATAGGGCAAGTGATACTTTCCATTTCATTGCAGGAGATTGAAGTTAACAGTTTTGATTATAGGATTCTTTTGCTACGTTGGATACTTTTGCACATACCCCATCTTCCTCTGGATCGCCGCGTCCTCAAAATTCTGGAAGCCGAAATATGTCTGCATCTACGAACAAAAGATTCTCAAGGCAGTTTGATAATTTTGAAACCGCGACAGCAATTCCCGAGAGCGTTAGTAAACCAGCTTCACGACCAGTCTCACCCTTGGCAAACTCTGAAGTTCGGCCTGTACGACAACAACAGAGATATGGTATCATGAGCCCCGCAGAAACATTGAAACGAGAACAAGCTCAAGGATACTTTAATGGTTCGAGTAACGTTAGCATACCAGGAAGTGCTGCAACTATTTCGGGAAGACGCCCTACCACTCCATCTGATCCCACACAACCGCAGATAGCTCGGATAGCTGGTGGACATACTCGAGCCAATCCCAGCATCGATGGTTCGCTCATGGCTTCATTGCCAACGAACCAAGATGTTATCAGGGTGATATCTTCCAAAGGTGTCACAAAGGTGGTCAAGGTTGCAGATTGTAGCTCTTGTGACGAGGTGATGCGATTGACTTTGAGGAAATTTGGTTACCGTGAGGATCATGATCGGAACTATTGTTTCTGGGTTCTTGCTGGTGTTGATCCGGATCCAAGCCAATGCCGTCGATTGCCGGAAGCTGAACTTTGGCGTATTATCAAAGATCAAAAGAGGGCAGAAAGAAATCGACTTATCTTGCGAAAGATACATGCAGGTGAACCTGGCGATGAGGAGCTGCAGCGAGCCGCCAGCATCGCATTGGAGGAAGCTACAACAACTCATAATCGTGCCATCGAAACCTCCGATAACAAGCGCAGCCAACTTAAAGTTCAGAAAATGCTCGGAGAGACCTGGAATGACAATCTTCAACATCCACTGTCACCCGCCTCGTTTCAGTCGGCAGGATCTAATCTGTCCATTACTGAGAGAGAACGCAATGTTTATAATGCGGCAAAGGATCTTGAAAGACCATTGCCAGCCGACTCTAGAGAGAGCTCGAGGCAGAAAGCGGGCAAGAAAGGTGGTCTACGTCACTTCTTCGGACAGAGGCCTCCAAGTGAATTGATCACATCAGATTTGACGACATACTTTCCCGATCATCCTCGTGAAGAGATTGACCGCACTGCCAGGCTCTCTTCGCGGAGGTCTGCTCGTCTCAGTAAGGTCAACAGCCGTTTGAGCGTTACCAGTTACCTGAGCTTTGCTTCAAGCGTAGCCGATGCCCCTCCAATGCCAACAATTGCCGATACTTGGCTTATGGGCAATAGCCATCTAGCAAAAGTCAGACCTTTAGACCTTTCAAGAGCAAATGGTAGTCGATATAGAGACTCAGTGTCTTCTTCATTACTCGACATTGTCCAAGAAGAATCGCCAACCGAACCAAACCGCAAATCTTATGTCTCCTTTGCCACCGACAGTGGATCTGACACTACCAATGTCAACGTAACTACCGATGATGGAAGTAGCGTGCGAGATAGCTACTTTGAGGATGGCAGCACAGAAGCTGGAGATTCTCTAAGAGAAATCACTCAAGCCCTTAACAATGATGGAGAGGAACTGGACGAGGAATTGGAAAGTTTTCTACAGGGCGACTCTTGGGACGACAGCAAATGGATGAAGGGTGCACTCATTGGCCAGGGTTCCTTCGGTAGTGTCTTCCTGGCACTGCATGCTGTCACGGGTGAACTACTTGCGGTCAAGCAAGTCGAGACACTTTCACCTAGTACAGACAGTAAAAACGATGCTCGCAAGAAGAGTATGGTTGACGCTCTGAAACGTGAGATTAGCTTCCTTCGTGATCTGCAGCATCCCAATATCGTCCAATACCTCGGAGCAAGCTCATCCGATAATCACCTTAACATTTTCCTCGAATATGTACCCGGCGGTTCCGTCCAAACTATGCTTAACTCTTATGGAGCATTGGGAGAGCCTTTGATTCGAAGTTTTGTACGACAAATTGTTACTGGTCTGGCTTATCTTCATGGTAAAGATATTATTCACAGAGATATTAAAGGTGCAAATATCCTCGTCGACAACAAGGGTGGAATCAAGATTTCTGATTTTGGAATCTCAAAGAAAATCGAAGCCTCAAATCTTCTCAATGGACCTGGCAACAACAAGAATCGACCTTCTCTACAAGGATCTGTATTCTGGATGGCGCCTGAGGTCGTTAAACAAACCGCCTATACACGCAAAGCAGATATTTGGTCACTCGGTTGCCTTGTCATTGAAATGATGACAGGTGCTCACCCATTTCCCGATTGCTCTCAACTACAAGCCATTTTCAAGATTGGCGGTGCAAGAATAAGTCCTACAGTACCAGATGAGGCCAGCCCCGATGCAAAGATCTTCTTGGCGTCAACTTTTGAAGTCGAACATACTAAACGACCAAGCGCTGATGAGTTGTTACTCAGCCCATTTTTGAACCCAATCACTTGATAAGGTCATTGGTGGATTTTTTTTGCTCCTTTTGTAGCACCTATATTCAGTTAGTATATGATTCAGTCGCATTGCAAGCGCTGGACATTGCATGGCATTGGAGTTTTTACTTTCAGCATATTCATTTTCTTGTACACTTTTTTTTCTTTTTGACGTCGTAACGAAATACGATACCCAATGCTTGCTACATGTTTAGGCATAATAAGGTCACTGTACATAGACGCATGGATGACGGAAGGGGTGGAATTATGATATCACTGGTTGGTCTCTTCTCTTGGGGCAAGCAGGTAAATTTTAAGGGGGGGTGGAAAATGAAGGCTAACATTATGAAACAATGTATCGAAGGAAAATGGGAAAGATGGAAGATATGAAGAAGTGTGGAAATCAAAGTGCAAATAGAGGTCGTGACACATGAATATCATGACTCTCAAGACCATACATATACACATGTTTAAAGTATACTTATTTTTTTGTGCGAAATGTGATATTTGAAGATTGTTTTCAAGAATCCGGATGGAAACGTATCAATTACAACCTATCCATCGCAGCCACCTTCCTCTTTTCTTCACACAGCCACCATCCCGCAACTGATCTTCACATTCCCCAGACTCCCTAGATTCCTCGGGTATATAAATCCTCAGAACATCTCTCACATACGACATCTGCAATCCTTTCGACACCGCCTCGCGAATCCCTCGGTTCATACGATGGATATATTCAGGATTGGGAATGGAGGGTGTAGTGCGCAGCGTATCGATGTAGGTTAGTGCTTGTACTTGGAATTTCTTACTGTTAGGAGAGGGGAAGGGTAAGGAAAAGGAGGGGAAGGGGAAGGGCAAGCAGAAGGAGGGGAAACAGGAAGAAAAAGGAGATGGAAAAGGAGATGGGGACGAGAGAACGGTGATGTAAAGATGCGTTTTCGTGTATGCGAATGGGACGCCTTCGTTGCTGTCGAGGGCGCTTTCGTCGGAACGGGTTAGTGTGTAGAGGATTCCGTGGACGGATGGGGGTGGGGTTTGGGTGGTGCTGCTGCTGATGTCTTTTCTGGGTTTCTTGATTTTGATTTTGGTTCTTGTTTCGCGTTCTGGTTCTTGCGATGAATGAGAGGCACCTGCTGTGCGTCCTGTAGCAGGTGCGTGTGAAAGTGCATGTGGATGTGAATGCGGAGATGCGCCAGCGAGTACCGAAACAGAGCCAGGAACAACAGGAACGAGGTTGGAGTCGGGGTTAGAGGTGGTGATCGGAACAATGTTGGCATATCCTCTCTCATTGATGATCCATCGGTATCCATAGAGAACACCGAGACCATAGTAGGTGGAGTGGGGACAGCGGGTGTGCATCTGGGTGAGGGAGAGATTGGAGCCGTAGGCGAAGTAGAGGGTTGGGGTTGGGGTTTCGGATGTGGTGGTGGAGGGCATGGTTGGTGATGGGGGGGTGGGAGGTGGTGGGTTTGTAACTTGGCTGGTGGGCTGATGCTGATGAAGATGTTGATCTTGATCTTTTGGTGATGGTATTGCGATATAAAGGTGATGTATGGCATGAATTGAGGGTAGGTAGTTCACGTATGATCAGCTGTGATTTGTATTCACATATACTAGCCCTGCTAGTTGCGGTGAATGTAAATAGAGTAGTAATCTGTAAATATTCAAATAAAGGAGAGGAATAAGATTGTATTGCAATCTTTGTCTCTTCACTCGTAATTCTTTGTGATTTGGATAGGTAAAGACGGTGATTTTGTGGAATAGGCAGCCGCCAAAAGATCAAAAGTGGTTGATTATCTGGAAGATTCTTTTTTGATCATTGACGTAAGGTAGGAATTCTACAAGCAATTAATAATATTTTTAGTCATATTTATCGCACGCATTTTGAGATGATATCCTAAACTTAGGAAAAATCATGTGAAAATAACAGTAGATCATAGATCAGAATACCTCTTCACGAATTGAGGTACCCAGTATCACGCATCGATTCTTCACTCAAGCGCAAACAATGCCACGAAACCTCTCTACCAACCGTTCAATACCTCTAAGATCCGGGACACAAGTCTCTAGATCAAATCTCCGGAGACCCCTCACAGAACTGAGCCTGATAGCATCCATCATTCTCTCCATATATATCTGGAAATGCTCAGCACCCTTTTAAGACCAGGCATGTATTTCACCAAATCAAGGTCGGTTCTCGCCCTCAAGTTCGCCAGCCCCTTCATCCCTCCCATTATCTCTAACCGATTTTTCCATACTGGATACATTCCCAAGGCCATGCTCAGATCTTCAATGGATATCGATTTGTCCAAAGCAACCATCGATTCATTGACATATACTTGTAGATGCTTTATCTATCGTGCTGAATGTTATCTCATGAGAATGATGGTCTGTGAAAAGTAGAGAAGTCTCTCGGGGTTATTGAGTACATGATAGGAATTCCTTGATTGTATAATCGGCGACATGTGCGTAGAACGGCGAGGCAAGAATCGGAGGGTGTATAGAATGGGGAGGGGCATGAGTTGAAGTATGAAGTAGCGCATCCATTCATGGACCATGTATTTTCGACGTTGGGGGGGGATACAGGTTCTTGTAATATCGCATTGGAAATTTGTTTCATGATCGATGCTATGAGGCTCCTTACAACGAAAATACCCAAGACGTCGTTGACATTGAATTAGACGGAATCTGTCCCCATCTAGAACCTCTAGTAGGATCATCCGGAGATGTCCAGATTGTAATTGGGGGAGGTTTGCTCGAACCCCTTTCCCTTTTATCTTACAAGAAAACACGCCCGTCATAAAGGATTACTTCCTATTCCGGTAGGTTCGGAGATCATTATCGTTTTCTCTTCTCTTCCAAAGGCTTAGGTTGATCTTTTATCTTCCTCTTGTGAGCTTTGGCCATTTGTTTCCGTTGTACCTTCTGAATCCGATAAGTGCCATATGTCTAGAGGTCGCCCATTTATACGATACAACAGCTGATTGGAAAACAGATGATTCCGGCTAGGATAATCAGGACAAGAGTGATAGCCTCCAGGATGTTATTCTGCCTTCGGGGTGTCAGTAGGATGGGTTATTTGTAGTGGTGGAAAGTGTATATGGTTGTAGAAAGCATTAAAGAATCATTAAGTGAGGTGATGTTGTAATGTGAGGCCGAGGCACTGCGTTCGTTGTTACGTACACAGTGAACCATTTAACACTCTACGCAAGGCAGACTGATGTCAGATGTAGATAAGTAGTTGGTGCAGACTCAGACGAATGCCTAGCTAGTTGAGATAATGCACAAATCGTTAACAAAAAGGAAACGCGTTCAACTTCATTAATTTATTTGATGACCCGAAGACTGCAAGTGACTATGCGAGTAGGTAATCAGGTCGCGCGATGAATGAGTGGATGGTAGAGGCTCACCGGGGACGCCATCCCGGATCTTTGCAGTGAGTACCTCCCCAAACTAATGAGGATCCATGATACAACACGCATATATGTATGACCCCGAGAATATGATATACAGCTAGTAAGGAACAGAAATATGGTTAGTAAATGGGATTCCGGCATAAGTTTTTGAACAGGAAATAACCTTTGAAAGGTTTGATACTGTATTAGGCAATATGAAGCGTTTAATATATGAGGTACTTAGTCTCGAGTATTGATGCCAAGTAAAGAGTTTCAGGCCATCTCCTCAAGAACTATTGGATATATCAAAGATAATTGTACGAGTACAAGTACTCGAAGTTTTGTAATACCTGTAAAGTTTTATATGAAGGAAAGGTTTCGAGAGATCCACTGGTTCACTTCCACTTCCTGACCCCGTTGCTAGTAATGTGTGGCGTAAAGCACTCCACTAGTGTGGCGGTACATTGAACCTCAGCCTTAAACTTTTTGAACCTCTCAGTCCCATTTCATAAACACAACAACCACATCCATCATAAAAATGGCCGAAGTTGAGATTGCAAGCCCTCCCACCATGGCGCTAGCCATTGATGTCTCGGAAGAAGACTCTACAGCTCTTACTACTACCAACAATGAAGCAGGCGCACCCGCCGAGCGCAAAGTCAAGAAAATTATACGTCGAAAAAAGCGTCCAGCGCGTCCGCAAGTCGATCCCTCAACGATGACGAGCGAACCTCCTCCACAAACTGGTACGATTTTCAACATCTGGTATAACAAATGGTCTGGTGGTGATAGGGAAGATAAATATCTATCAAAGACAGCTGCTGCGGGGCGTTGCAACATCGCAAAGGATACTGGATATACTAAAGCCGACAAAGTCACAGGCAGTTACTTCTGTTTATTCTTCGCACGGGGGATATGTCCAAAAGGGCAGGAATGCGAATACCTACATCGATTGCCGGGAATTCACGATATGTTTAATCCGAATGTGGATGTATTTGGTCGTGATAAACATTCAGATTATAGAGATGATATGGGGGGCACAGGAAGTTTTATGAGGCAAAACAGAACGATATATGTGGGAAGGATACATGTCAGTGATGATATTGAAGAGATTGTTGCGCGGCATTTTGCGGAGTGGGGCCAGGTTGAGAGAAGTAAGTCTTCTCTATATCCTTTCAATGAGGTAAGAAATATGTGCTAATATGAACTAGCCCGCGTTCTAAACACGAGAGGTGTCGCTTTTCTCACATATTCGAATGAAGCAAATGCGCAATTTGCAAAAGAAGCAATGGCACATCAATCGCTAGATCATAGCGAAATCCTGAATGTACGATGGGCGACGGCGGATCCAAATCCAATGGCACAAGCACGTGAGGTTCGGAGAATAGAAGAGCAGGCTGCAGAAGCTGTAAGAAGGGCTTTGCCAGCAGAATTTGTGGCTGAAATAGAGGGACGAGATCCAGAAGCACGAAAACGCAAGAAGATAGAAGGAGGTTTTGGATTGGCAGGTTATGAAGCGCCTGATGAGGTTTATTTTGCTAGGGGTGCCAATGCGGTAAATCAAGTCGGGAGGCGGGGTCTGGAATTAGAGGACGAGCAAAGATTGATGCTCGAAGCGGAAGCCTATGAGCAGACTGAACACAAAGAGGAGAGTGGAGGTATATTTTCCAGTAGTACTCTGGCGGCATTAGAAAGTGCCAAGGGCTTGATTGCAACAAAGCCAAAACCCACAGCACCTGCAGGGCCATTGGTGGCTTACGATAGCGATAGTGGCGATAGTGATTAGTTGGGTGATAAGCGGAGTTCTGGAGTCGGTCAAATAGTATGGCCATGATTTACTGTATATTAATCGGCATTTTAAGACGAGCACTGAGCAAATTCAAAATAAATAATCACACTGAATGTTTCTTGTTTGCATAATTTCATTATCCATCAACTATTGAAAATCCTCGAATACAACATCTCATGTCTTCCAATCCACAAATCCATAACCGGTACACTTTGACCTGCATCCTCAACCTTGGTATCCCATTCCCTCTCAATAGCATCTTTGATCCCCATCTGCACCTCTCCACTCGCCAGAACCTTCTGTGCATGATACGGTCCAAACATACTGGCTCTCACCGCGGCCGAAAGCAATGCCTTCACATGACCTAACATGAATACATATGCCGTCTGCTCTAGACTGATTCCTACAGTCGATGCAATGGCGCCGAATAGAGGAGCGAAATGGGCGGATATGGGAGGTAATTCTCCGGAGGAGGTGGTTTTAGGTGCTGAGGATGCAGATTTTAGGAGTAGGAAGAACTCCCTCAAAATATCAACTCCAGCGGCGGAGGTAGAAGGAGAGAGTTCCGAAGACAGAGCAGCGGAAAATGATCGATCCCAGATAGATAGCAAAGCTCTTCCCTGAGCAATCGAAGCACGTCTTCCTACGGTACACATGATGGATGCATCTTGAGCATCATCGAGGTCAATCAGATCTCTTGGATTCCGATGCGCAGCGAGTACGAAAGGGAGAGTGGTGGATGAATAAGAAGAGAGTGAAAAGGCTAGGAAATCCGGGAATGATGATTTGGGTTTGGTGTGTGCGAGGTAGGATTCTAGACCGCTACTGAAGGCGAATGACCCGAGTGGAAGGGCGGAATCGGCGAGAAGAAGGAGAAAATGATTGGGTTGGGGGGAGAGGGGTGCTGGGATTGGTCAGAAGGAGATTTCTCAAGGAGATGGGGATTTCTTTTCACCATTATTGGTAGCAAGCCCTTTAGTGGGATGTCTAGATGATGGAGCGGATGATGTTCGATTGGCTGCTAACCGGGATTTCGCTTCTTCTAATCGTTTCTCCAATTCTTGAATTTCCTCCTCGATACCCTGAATCTCATTCTCTCTATCCTGAGACCTCACTTGAAGACTCATTGGGATATCATTCCACTGGGTGTATGGATGGAGTGCAGGCCGATGATCATATCGATTGGACAAAGTGGATGTGGCTTTAAGCTTATTTTAAAGTGTGGCTGTGGGGGATCCAACCCATTTGTCTTAGACGTTTCATCTCTTCCTTTCCTTGCTCAACTTTTAATTATTGGTTGAACCTGGATTAATACCATTTCATTTACAGCAGGAACCAGTGAGGCTGACTTTTATTACATCATCCTGTCCGTAGGGCTTTACTTCCCATCAACTCGCTTCGAAGTATCCAAGGATCCAATCTTATTTTAGATTTGGGATTTTGGATGGTGGCCGAGCAAAAATCTATTTTTCAACTTTTGATGATGGCAATATCCTTCGCCGAGTACCATCCCGGACATTATGGATTGTTTGGCTGGTGGCTGTTCGAGCGATCAGTGTTGTTGGGCGTTGGTGTTGCCACTATTGGGTTTGAATCCTCGAGATAATGTACCGGTATTACGACATGAAACACATGCATATTCGACAAACTAGTGTTGTCGACGGTGACGGTGTACATAGTTACTTTGTCTCTCGGATATGTATTTGCCAAGGCAGCACTCGTTGAATTTTTGGCCACGTATCTATGTACTTGGAGAAGGACAGTCAACCTTCTTCTATACTTGATATAGAGTCACACATGTACATCTTCATTCTTATAGCGCGTCCAAACCAATTACACCGCAGCAAGATTTATATATGAATCGATACTCAACAACTCAACATCAATCTCTTCGGTATTTTACCGATCTCGGGATGGTGTATGAAACGCTGTGCCGCAATCCTCTAGTGAAGCTTCTTGCTCCCCGCATGGGCTGTGCTCATGAAGACAAAATGCTCCCTGCCCACTAACAAACCTTGCTTGATGAATTATCTCCAATAAAGCCTGTCGATTTTGACGTATCTGTTTGTCAAGTTTTGTGGAGCTTGAACTATATAGTATCCAGTGTACTCGACCAAGTGATCTATCCCCCCCATTCAATTTAAATCAAAACTCTTTAATACTTCACAATCATTGGCATATACACACAGGCCAAAATGATTGTCACGCTAGCACTCCGTGTCCTCCAGGTACACCTCCCTTCAGTTTTGTGTCATAGAACCATCTCATTAATGTCATCTAGATGCTGTTCGCCGCCGTCGTTCTAGCATTATCTGCGGTATTGATCAAAGGTTATGGCCCGGGCACCTCGTGGTCTCTTATCTCCTATGGTTCCTTCTGTGGTGGGGCAGCATTAATTTTTGCTGCCATTGGGGTTGCCGCATGTTTCGTGGAAGCTCTACAAGGCATAATAATGCTTGCCCTTGATGGCATCGCATCTTTCTTCCTCCTCGCTGGTGGAGTCGTACGTTACCATATTCTTTCTCGACTCCAGACTCTTGCTAATAGTCTTTTTAATCAGGCATATGCCGCGACTATCAAGGTCGGCAGCTGCTCTGATTTGATCTACATCAATGACCACAGGAACCCATTCTTCCCTGGTGATCACAAACTTTATCACGGCAATATTGAGAAAGCTGTGTTGGAGGACCTCAAGACTAGATGTCAAGAAACCCAAGCTAGTACCGCATTCATCTGGTTCACAGCGGCTTGCTTTTTTGGGACAACTGCCATCCACTTCTTGGGTCACAAACGTGGTGGTGGTGCTGCGAGCTACCCATAGGCTTTCCAATGTCGAGTAGTCAAAGGACACATAGGATCGGTGGACTGTAATGATGGATATGAAATGATGGAAATAGTGGTATCAATAGCGCTCATTTGTGTTTCGAGTTTGGAAAATAATGCTTGTGTCGAGTTATGCGCCAGTGTCTTCTGGCTATTCTTCTCCTTCACTGGAGAAATAAGCTATTTTCTTCAACCAAAAACAAGCGACGCATATACATGCTGCGAAAAATCGGCTTTAAAAATTCAAGCCATTTTGAACAATATTCCTGCATTTGATCTACTTGTCTAATGATCTTCATTCAGTCTATCAAGCACTCCTTTCCAGTCAATGCTTACATACTAGTCGATGATGAACCCCCTGAACATCCTCAATACACTTACTCACTTACTGGCATGTACATTATTATCATCTCATCATAAACCTAGTAAAGATTCAAACCTTATTCACCAAATACCAATATCTATAAAACCAGCGATCCAATACGGTATTATCTATCTTTCACAAGTTCATCCCTAATACCCTATGAAACGCTTCATTCATAAACATCTAACCAAACTCTCTCCCGAGTCAGCTCTCCTTTTCCAGGAGGAATAATCTCGCTTCACAGTAATTCAACATGCATTAATTCGATCCACACTTTAACCTAGATATATGATGCTCATCTTATACACCACATCAAATATCACCTTTCAATCAGAGAGCCTGGATGAGAGCAGTGGCTAGACCCATACCCATACCCAGACACTGATTTTTTTAGTTATTCAAAATGATCTTGCTTCCCCCACGCACATGCACTGCCATTCATGGATGTTGGGCCGTCATTGTCAAAGTAAAATTTGAATGTTCGACTAATTAGCATCCCTTAGGATCTCCTGCTGTGCGTAGAGAGCTAATTGTGGGCTCGCGAGGTCTGAGATGTCTAAAATAAATTGTTGCTGTTGTGCGTACATATATTAGACTCATTGCTCATACTAGTTCCATCTCTTCCAGATGCTCCATGATGAACATCAACTGTATGCACCGTAAGATAGAGATAATGATCTTTGAAAGAAAATCCCTAATTCCGTAGCTCACTTACCAAACTTTTCTTCGGCTCTCAGCTACTACTCCCGGGGAAATTCTCAATATTTGATATCCAACTCTAGTGGGCTCTCTAAAAACAATTTTACAGGCTGGCATCCTCTACATTGAATGTTAAACACCCGCCGATTCAAACATTCCACCTCTAATAAAATATCAAGACTTCAAAGACGGATGTTCTACCCAAGACTTTGTATATGTACCCATTTTGCAATTTTTTGGCTAGGACCCCGATCAAGAAGTACCGTCTACCAAATTTCGGTACCTCCATGTTGGTAATCGAAGGATTTCGAGGAGACCCATATTTTTATGTTTCCTTGACGTCCGATCATCAACAAGGCAGGTTATGTACTTGTCTCAAATACCGCACCATAACCATATCGGTCATGCAACTCAGACGGAGATGTGATAAAGATAAAATGTTGGAGATCTTGAGGAATGATATAACGAAAGCATTTAGAGAACCTATCTCACATCGAGATACCTCTGACATATGGGAGAATGACTGAATGTCTTGTGGGCCTTTGCGGTGCCGAAAAGTCGCTCATTACTTGGGGTCAAGGGTGGAAGTAGGTACTCGAGTAGTGGACGTTCATGAAATAGAAATCCCAACAAAAGCAGTTAACGCAGCCACAAAAGTCTGTGTGAAAGAAGAGTATGCGCCGAGCCGGGATACTGCGCCCGACAATTTGGTACCATAGCGATAATTTCACGCGGATTGACTACAGTGCAAAATATGTATCCTGATAGTGTTTTTTGTTTTGCCGTATTTCCAGAAGATGAAGCGAAGAAGGGAGAGAGAAATACACTACTATTAGGTTGTAGATAGTGATAAACAGCAAGGGAGATTTAGAAACATAACCGACTGAATAAAATGCGCAACGTTGTAATATAATATTCATATTTTATCAAGGGAAGGTAAGATGATATGTCCTAATTCTATGCAGACGGTGGAGTAGCATTGGGATACTCGAAGTAGTATCAATGCAGTCCTGTTTAGATGTCAGCATTATACTTTAAAGCAAATAATCATACTTGAATACTCGACCGGGGCGGCTCTACTCAATCTTCAAACTGTCCAAGCATGATATCCAAGCATGATACCGAATTTGAACGCATATGGACTGCTGGAGAATCTGCCACAAAGATCAACACAAGGTCGGGGGAGATTATTCGGCTCCTGAAGGTTTTCGTTTCCATGATTCAAATAAAAATTAGCATCGTTTGTCCAACTTCGTCTGATAGTATGTCGATTTCTGATTGATATCACCAGTAAAGCTACAAGCCTTGATATTATGTGAGAACGGGATTGATAATCTGAAAGGATAATGGGCGCTTGAGCGGCCGTTTGTTCAATCAAGAAGACGAAGGCAAATTCTGGAGGAAGCCCGGTACACTGTTGTTCGTTCTCTTCAAGCGACTAACCCAGCTTGCTTGCTCTGCATACTTCTAGCAGATCGAGTTGAACCCTGTATCTTCAACATAGTACCGATGATTTTTGATATATCGTATTCAGTTGGTGGTGTGACCGTTTTTGTCGCTGGTGTAGAAATCCCTAGTTTCGCCAAAGAAAGCCAAGTCAGAAACTGTTTTAGACGATCTAATCCAGAGGTTTCAATAGTCTGGACTGCAGATTGACAATGAGAGATATCGATTCATCTGACCATATCATATACTGAACCTGTTTGAATCACCGAAATAATTTGTAACACTAAATTCCACTCGGAATCTTAAGCTAGACCCTAAGATCCATAGCTTTTCTTTACAAACTTTCGGATCCGAAGTGCAATCCGAACCATTGTAAACCCTGATCTAAGATCAAGCGCCCTCAATAGACGTCTTCCGGTTCCTGACACATTGGAGCGGAGTTCCATTATCATCCAAGGAAAATGTCCAGTGTAAGTTCTCCGTTGAATAGCGGCCAGATGCAATATGTGGAGCAAACTGAATGATCCCGCGCAGTTCATCGGTAGTCTTCTCTCCTAGAGCTTCAAAAGCTTGTGTGCTAATCTAAAATCTTTCAGATCTACGCTCATCAGAGTGCGTGGAATGGAAGACAAAAGTGATAGCTACAAACGTAATTATATGTGGCCGAGGTCCATAAAGACTTAGCCGCTTCTCCCCATCATAAACGCCATGGAGCCGTGTAAGACTGGCAGATATGAAAGCCTCCTCGTGATGATACTCTTGCTCAATCAGGGACTTCCGGAAAACTTGGTAGTGGTGGTCAGAGAGATTAGGATTGGATTTTTGTTGGACTTTGATGGTTGTGGGATAGGGAAGTAAAGATTGGGAGGGTTGAAGTATGATTGCTATTCGAGGCAGGCATTTTAAAAAAGCTGTTGCAAAACTTTGAGGCATTGAATTGTAGATGAGCAGGAACGGGAAAAAGTAGAGATCCAAGTCTGGATGGGACAATCTGGGGAAATATCTGACTTTGAGACTTGTAGTTTTTCAAAGTACTATATAAAAGTTCAAGTACCTAGGGGGTATGTGATCAAAAGACAAATTACACAGCCTTTGTGAAGAAAATTGTTCACAGTAGCATACAGCATCTGTAAGGTTCAATAGACTTGTAGAAACATGGGAAACTCTGTGTATATTCGAGAAATATAATGTGTGATCCACTAGGTACCGCGCCATGTGTAGAAAGAAAGCACTGCTGAATGTTTGAGGCTTTAGTCCGAGAGCAAGTGACTTCATGATGAGTATTCGGGTCTGGTAATAAGTAATAGAACTCCGCAGGATTTCAGATTGACTTCTGGAAAGATAATTGGAAGGTTAGACAATAAATTTGTGATTTCAGAAAGCTCCTATGAGAAAGAGGGATAGAATATGAATAATTCAGAAGACTCTATGGTGAAATATGATTGATATAGACGTAAAGTATTGTACTAGATGAATCTTGAGAGCTATTGGCAATGATAAGAGTTTTTGTTTGACTTCGACTTCACCAAAATCAACACCACCTCGGAACCCGGCAAGTTCCATTCAACTTCAAAGCTATCAACACCAAGAAACGAAACTCAGATATCTGCACCCATACACCTTACTATCTCGCGATGTCTTCCTCTGTTCCCCTCGAGATAGCATCTACCATTCAAAGTGCATCAATAAAGCGCGACCCCTCTCCCAATCACGACATAAATCCCTCTACCGCCGCCTCCAGCAAAGTGCCCGTTTCTGTCCATCCAGATTACGCATACGATGATAAAGATAGTATCGATGGCGGGGAGGAGGAAATTGAGGACATTCCCTACGATGTTATAAGACCATTACCACGCCGAGCGAGCTTCCCACCTATACCCGATCTGCGCTTTGAGCAAAGTTACTTGGCTAGTATTGCGCATGCAGATTCATATTGGAAGGTTGCTTTCATAACCATCAGAGACCAGGTGATTTCCCCTTTCCTAGCCATCGCTTCATCTCCGGTCCGGCTACATATACAAGACGCAGACTGACTCTCACACCCAGTTATGCATGCCACTCATTCAAGGCATCGCCGTAACCCTCCTCTGGGCCGGCTGGAAACACTGGAATAAGAACACCAAACTCAGTGGTAACAACGCCGGGGCCCGAGTCCATCGATGGTGGTACACCGTAAATAACTGGCCGATCAAAGAAAGGATAGCAGAGATTGGAAAGAATGCGAAGTTGGCGGCGGAAATGGGGGATGTGAGTCCGCTTGCCATGCTCTATTAATACCACCTTTCGTTGCTGATGGAATTGGGCAGTTTTATGAGAATCAAGCTTCGGCTGGAGATTGAAATTGATGAATCATGAGGATTTTAGAGAAAAGGAATGGGGATTTACCTGGATGGCGTTGGGAAGGTATATGTAAAAGGAATACCGGTGACATTTTGAGTTCCTTGGGCAGGTGGGAATACATACATTTTGTGAGGACTCATCTGATATACTGGGCTGGCATTAAGCTCAAAACGGAGTTGATGTTGTGTCTCATCACAACATACAATTTACAGTGTGGTCTCTGAAAAGTGATCATGTTCAGGAGGGAGGTATATGCAATCATGTAACATTATATTACAACACCCATGAAACTTTCTCTATCCATGAGCTAGCACTATCATAAGCAATCATGTTAATACGCTCTGGAAGGTATTTTAGTTTTATCGAGAGAACATAAATATACCCAATAAACCAGCTTTAGCAGCTCCCACCCAAGCAAATTGCCATGCCTTTATCTTTACGCCTTTGATATAACACCTTTTCCCATACCCGCTATCATGAATTATTATTACATCAAGAACCACTGTAACCAACATTGATAGATGGCGGCAGAGTGGAGGTTTTCTCAGGACTACCACGGTATGTCAGAGAAGGCGACAGTGGAGTCGGGATAGATTTTGTCGAGATGGAGATGGTATTAGTTTTGTTATCGGATTTTAATAAGACAGGTTGCTGAGGCTTCTCCTCACTATTGGCTTCCATGAATGCATTTGGGCTTGGGTCTTTTCGAGGGACCATGTTATCCGAGTTTGACTTGGACTGTGGGCTCAAGTGGAGTTTGATTGTAGTCTTTTTCTCCGGGGTTGGAGTTTTGATGGGGAGCTTGACGATTAAACTCTTCTTCTCGTGATCGTGTTCCTTCAAGTCTTCATTTCCATCAGTATCCTCTTCCGCTTTGTCGATGTCGCTTGCTATAGAGACTTGATCGTCGTCTTCTTCGTCATCGCCATAGTCTTGTTCACTAGTATCGTCTTCCTCATCATCGTCCATTTCGTCCACTGAATTATATCCTTCGATATGCTTTCCAATAGATGCCATATTACGACTGCGGCTGGAAGCACCAGCACGGCGTGGTCTAGAGGTCATTTCTTCCGACTCTTCACCTAATTCGATATCTCCATGAATTTCGGCAGGAGCATGCGTTCCACTAAGAGCACTTTCACCATAGGCTCCAATGACGCGAGATCTGACCTGACGACCACTTAATGTGACAGTAGGCCCCGCTGGCTCAGCTGGTGTATGGTTAACAGTATTCCGAGTAGAACGGCGGGATCCGGTAGTATCAGAAAGTTCCTCTTCGTCATCATCTGAATAAGTGTACTTCATGCGCTTTCCTCGAGTACGACCTTCATACATTGAGAAGTTTGGTTCCGGACGTTTGAATTGCTCCTTGCGAGCTTGCCGATATTCTCTTCTCTTTCGTTTCTGTGACTTTATTAGCGATACTGAAAACAAAAGCAAATCGTGGGACCATGAGTAACATAGTACTCACTTCCTCAGTTGCTTCAAACCGTGGAATAGCTGCAAGCATTTTTCCACTCAACGTTCTGGCTTTCTGACCACCATCGTCCTTGACTAGCTTCTCTGCTAATGATTTCAACTCATCTATATCACTTGCGACGCTCCACCAAGTTCTCTTCACACCAGTATGATTGCTCTCTCTGTAAACTCGGAAGTGTGTATCATCCAGACCTTCAATAAGATAGTAACGGCGTCGATCGGCATCTGATCCCCAGGGCTGTACAGAAAGTGGTTGGTTGAGATCATCTTCGTGGCGGATTTGCTTGTAGGATACTGTGATTATGCCCTTAACCACATCGGAGGAGGCTAAGGACCAGATAATGAGCGTGCGTAAAAGAGTAAGCTACATGATAAAGTCAGCGAGATACTTTCCGTCCTGTAAACTTTGTATAAAGGACTTACCCGCTCTGTAGGAGACATGGAAGTGAACGTAGCTCCCCCAGAAAGAGGATTCTTGCTTTCCCAATCCTTCGCCCATTGTAGTTTATGCGTTTGAACAGCCTCCTCGAGAGCGCGGCTATAATGTCCGGCTCTGTGGACGAGCAGTGATTAGCCAGTAGTTCTGTAGAAGCTTGGGAGTAATGCGAGCCGCAGCAAATATGACGCAAATTGTGACCTACTTTACATCCTGTTTTCTGTTTAAAAGAAGTCCCAACAATGCGCAAAGGAATTGTTCCGCATGATCTCCAGGTGCAGTATCGACAATTGCTTGCTCTAATTCTTGGGGTCCAAAGTTGGGTAGGGATTTTGGAAACGCTTCAGTGAACCGGGCACGGAACATGACGATAAACTGCGCAGAAATCGTGTTAGCAACCATTGAACATCACAGCCACGCGTTTTGAACGTGTAAAATCTGTCACTACGCGACGATAAGAATTACACATACAGCGATATCTGTGTTATCTGCTAAAACATATTCATGAAGTGGTGATGGTTCTCTCTTTGGTCGCGGTGGAGATGCCTCGACTTTCCGTGCTGCAGTGGGTTTCGGGGCTTTGGAGAAGAATTTGAGAATGCCATCTTTTTTCGTTAATTGTAAGCTTTCATCCTCAGACGGTACCGAGGAGAGATCTGAAGAGTCATCAGAGGCCATAATGTTGTTGAGTCGTGGTGTTCTGATGTGCTGAAGTTGTTTGATTAAGAAGCTTTTTAGATGATGAAGTCAGAGGAAGCTCAAAGGTATTGCCGACAAGCGCGATTTGATTTATTGGTCTAAGCATTCTGTCACGCACGTACAACACAAAGGGACATCAGGCAAGCGGGGAATGTGGAATCCGGTAGGTAGTCTTTCTTATTAGGCCTATGCCACAATTCGCATTCTTGATACCACCCAGTCCCATGTCATATACCACACCACATGTATGTCTCCACACTGTTCATTCTTTTTTTCGAATTCCACCAACGTCGACTGCTGAAGCCAAAGCCCGAGTATAGGTATCCTTATAACCCGCCCAACCATCGCATTCGTCTGACGTATTATAGGCATGATCGATATAGTTTCCTCTTTCATGGAGGACAAGAAACGTTGCTTTGGAAAGAACCCGCCAACAACAGCTATCCAGTTGCTCTCATGTATTACTCAATGTTCCACGTTCAAAGGGATAATCGTTCGACGCCTGAAGGGCCGACATTTCGGCAACGTCATGCAAGGGAAAAACCACCCATGTTCGCTTATCAAGCAAACCATGGAATGAAGCTTGATTTTGACTCACCTTTGTTCGACTTTTTAAAGATATAAAATGTTAGAGAGAATGGCCTAAACGTGCTAGGTACTTTGCGACGTTAGGATTATCAACGCACCCTTTCCTTTCAAATATTAGAATTTGACCGTTCGTATATAAGAAAATATATAAAGAAGTAATAATATGTATGTGAGGAAGTACTGGTTGATTTATTGGATTGAATAGTAGCTATTGAGATATGGAAAGACAAAGAGTTACAGTTAGCCTTGCGCCCGGGTATAATGGCGAGGGAGTACCTATGGAGAACCGGAGGTGTACAACAACTGTCCATAAAGGATATCTTCCAACGTTGTGCCTCTTCGGTCTAGAGTCAAATGGTCAATAAATGATGTTCTTTTGATTGTCGAGGTAGCTCCAAACATTTTAAATGTGTCTGTGGTCGTGACTTGAGGTTGTAGGGGAAAAAATCAGATATCCAAACCATTCATGGAACATAAATTCACATATCTTACAGACATGTGGCTCAGCCTCAGATGTAGGGAGAAAAGTGACCCTTCAATTGTTGATAGCTTGGGATATTGAAAACGTGTCTGCGGTCGTAACTCGGAACCGTAGGTAAAAGCGCAAAACTCCTTTGCGCCACTTCCGAAACAGTATATTTGACGTTCTGTTAAAATTGAGCAGGGCGCCAGAGATTACGAGAAAAGAGTTGCTTTAATTGTTGGAATAATCTCGTACATTGAAAACCATGATAGCTGATCGCGATTGCGCACCCCGCAATTTCTTTGCTGAGTAGGGCACAGGGCTTAGCTGTAGGCCATCCATGCAGCCCTCCAACGTTCAAAAATCCACCATGTTATGAGGTACTACACAATCACAACAAAAGCGGAAATAATGAAGCTATATTTGTGTGATTATGGAGAATTTGCAGGTTGCCTCAGAACACTATCCAAAGGCCAGAAAGATCTCCAATGTGTCCACAAGCTTCTAGACAACACCAAGCAAGAAGTGTGCAATGCCTAGATCGATTGATAGGACTGGAGACTAGATGATAGATGTTGCAGGACCCAGATGAGGTGATGAAGGAAGAAAATCAACGTTAACACCAAGATAGTCATAAATCAAGCCAACAACAGCTCAAGTCACCAACCCCTGCCTCTGATGTTACCACATCGTGTTATTTTTCATTGTCGAGCCGTGATTCGTGACATTTTCATTTATATGTTAAGATAGATTCTGGGTTGGTATCAACAGTCGTCAGTAAAAATATCCACTAGCGTATCCTTGTTATTGCAGCCTAACATTACTCATCTTTAGGATAAGGCCATAGCAATCCTCTTTTTCGGGACTAGGGCAGTCGCTTAAATTTCTAAGATCGATTTTGGAAGGCACACTGGGGAATATTCGTTGATTTTGCTCTCTCGAACTTCTTCGTCGACAATTTATCAAACCATCGCAACGACGTCAAGATGGGTAAGATTTCCCTTTACTACTATACCTATTCAATCTGCCATTTCCAATTGTCAATTCCTCTACTTTTTGGAACCGACATAATGGGAGGGGAAGGAATTGGAACCGCAAATCTTTCCCCCGGGCGCATTTGACCCAAAAAAAATTGATAGAACCTCAGAATCAGATGTACTGTATAACAGACTCGAGCTAATGTCTTCATTCAGGAAGGGTTATTCGCAACCAAAGAAAGGGCCGCGGCTCGATCTTCACAGCCAACACCAGATTGAACAAAGCACCAGCTCAGTTCAGAACTCTCGATTATGCGGAGAGACACGGTTACGTCCGTGGTGTCGTAAAGGACATCATCCACGACCCTGGACGTGGTGCTCCCCTCGCCAAGGTCGTTTTCCGTGATCCATACAGATTCAAGCTCCACACCGAGACTTTTATCGCCAACGAAGGAATGTACACTGGACAATTCATTTACGCTGGCAAGAACGCAAACCTCACAGTCGGAAACATTCTCCCTCTCGGATCTGTTCCAGAAGGTACCGTTATCTCCAACGTCGAGGAGAAGGTAGGCGACCGTGGTGCGTTAGGACGTACCTCTGGTAACTATGTCACCGTTATCGGACACAACCCTGATGAGGGCAAGACCCGTGTCAAGCTTCCATCTGGTGCCAAGAAGGTCATTAAGAGCAGTGCCCGTGGAATGATTGGTATTGTTGCTGGTGGTGGAAGAACCGACAAACCTCTCTTAAGTATGTTTTCAAAGCCCAATCAATAACAGAGGATATCGAAAATTTCATATACTAATCATTTTTACAGAGGCATCCCGTGCTAAGCACAAGTTCGCCGTCAAGCGTAACTCATGGCCAAAGACTCGTGGTGTTGCCATGAACCCTGTTGACCATCCTCACGGAGTATGTAAAATGCGCCATTTGTATCAGAAACATCCGCTAACAAGAAACAGGGTGGTAACCATCAACATATTGGTAAAGCATCCACAATCGCGAGAAACGCCGTACAAGGTCAAAAGGCTGGTCTCATTGCCGCCAGAAGAACTGGTCTGTTACGTGGTACTCAAAAGGTCAAGGATTGAGCGAGTTGAGTGGGTTTTCATTGCTTCGGATATGTTGGGCCTGCATCTTTGTAATTTGGGATGGATCTCAGCGAGGATGTCAGAAAAGACTTTTACCAAACAATCTTGTGTGCTCTGGCATGATTTACTAGTGATCAGGAGATCGTGATATCATGTTAACAGACACCATGCAAAATGAATTGATGGCTTTTCTACCAACTTAATTATAAGAGTTCAAACAGCTTAATCCCCAGTGACCGAACCTCTTACTCCACGAGTACAATTGCCTTTCGTGCAGTTTATCAATTGATGTAACAATACTACTCGGCCTCAAAATATGTCCTACACAAGGAGATTCGTTTCTAGTTGTGGATCTTGCTCCTTCAGAACCCCAGTCAAAACCCAACCCCACCAAATCTTTCTTCGTCGCAAAGTAACCCCGCCATCAAACCATAACATCCTCAACCTCACCAGTAAATCTACAGTAATTATGTCTGGAACCAAAGAATACGCCCTCCTTTGCTTGGAGAACCCATTGCTTGGTAAGTAGAAACATAATCCCCACAGCTTCTCAATGTCTCTCTCACCTGTCTCTCTCGCCTTGGACGCACAAACTACAGCTCAGAACAGCTTTGGATGTAGAAGATATTTTAGACTCGTGTCCATCTTTGAGTCCATTCTCTCGAGGAGAGCGAATATCTTCACCCAGGCTTTCAAATTGAATTTTCTCATTAATATATCTTGAAGCTGAAGCTGATCCCTGTCCCCAGATATCCAAGCCCAAGGAGACCAAGCCCTCCTCGACAAGTACGGCCTCAAACCAAACGATGCCATCCTCGCCGAAGAAAAGCATATCGCCATCTACGAAGATCTCCTCAACAACTACTCCGCCAAATTGATTGCTGGAGGTGGAGCTCAAAACACTGCTCGTGGAGCCCAATACATTCTCCCACCCAACAGCGTTGTATTCCTTGGCGGAGTCGGCGACGACAAATACGCCGCCATCCTCCACGATGCTGTCAAGACCGCCGGTCTCCGCGTCGAGTACCGAGTTGACAAGAAGCAGCCCACTGGACGATGTGGTGTTGTTATCACCGATCACAACCGTTCTATGTGCACCGATTTGGGCGCTGCCAACCATTATGATTTGGAGCATTTGAAGTCGCCTGAGGTGTGGAAGTTGGTTGAGGGTGCTACACATTACTTTGTCGGTGGATATCATTTGACTGTGTGCCCACCGGCTATCCAGGCTCTTGCTGAGGAAGCTGCCAAGAACAACAAGGCTTTCGTCTTTTCCCTCTCTGCACCATTCATCTCTCAATTCTTCAAGGAGCCTCTTGATGCTACCGCACCATACTGGGATTATGTCATTGGTAACGAGACCGAAGCTTTGGCCTGGGCAGAAAGCCACGGTGTTGAGTCAAAGGACATCAAGGAAATTGCTAAGGCGTTGGCAGCTCTGCCAAAGGAGAACAAGAAGAGAGAGAGAGTTGCTATTATTACACAAGGGACACTCCCCACTGTTGTAGCAGTCAATGGACAGGAGGTTAAGGAATACCCAGTTCATGCAATCGACAAGAGCTTGATCAACGATACTACAGGTGCAGGAGATGCTTTCGCTGCTGGCTTTACTGCTGGCTTGGTTGCAGGAGAATCCCTCGACCAGTGCGTTGACCAAGGACAATGGTTGGCTAAGTTGAGCATTCAGGAGTTGGGTCCTTCGTAAGTCTTTGATACATTCACTTCACAATCAAAATTTCGAATATCGGTGTACAGCCTTTTCAAATTGCATAGATTACAGACTAATGATAATTGCAGATTTCCCTTCCCTAAGCAGACGTACAAGTCTACCAGCCAATAGATACCTATGAGCTGTTTCCACATTCTGATTCTAGACGGCGTTCGGGTGATGGTTTCAACAACAGGAGCGTCTACAATCGAAATGATGTAGTGCCTTACGATCCTCCACGATCAATTTATAGAGCTAGCGCGTCTTTAGAAATCCAATAAATCTTATTTACCAATATCTGCTTCGATAATTCTCAGTTGTTACAGCTTCTGACTGTGATTTTTCTACAAGGTGCTGATGAATTCTGCCGATCAAATCTGCTGACGATTTCTGATGATGACCTCGACTGTGTAAGAGCAAAACTTCTTACTGACCAGTGCCGACAGATGTAAGAGTGCTGTCGGATGAAGATGTGAGCGATGACAATATCAAATTGGTGGATTTTAATGAATCTGCAATGATTTCACGGTAGTAAATTGTAACTCAGCCGCGGCGACCTTGTCCAGCGGGAGGTGTGCGGTTGTAATGCTCGTTATCGGTCTGACTGCCGTTCCAGAATGAGCTCTGCAGCATCGTAGTTCTGTCAAAATCAGTAGCACCTGAATAGATAGTACTATCATGGCCATTGAATGAAGGGTGACCCAAGGTCCTACCATAGTAGGCCTTTGGTGGAGAGTTGTTCGCATAAATACTGCTGTTCGTCGAGAACACTGACGACGAGAGTGACATAGGTTCAAATTGCCTTGCTAAAGACTCCTGCAACATCTGATTGACTGGCTTGGACATATCAGATGATGATCTCTGGCTCATCACATTCGTCGCACTACCATTTGAGCTTCGTCCTTGCATCCCAGTCATGTTGTCGAGAGCCGCAGCGGCAGCAAGCTGATCTCTGTTGGTTGAGTAATTCATCAATGGAAATTCACCAGAACTTGAAGGTTTTTCGGGACTAATGGGTCGAAGTTCGTTAGGTTTGGGTGTGAAGGGCGAGCTCCAGATACTAGGTAAACTTGGAAAGGCTTTTGTGGGCGTGATCTGATTACTCGTCGATAGACGTGTTCTTTCAGAACCTATGGGCGCGAGTACCGCATTTGCAGTAGAGCTATTCATGTCATAAGACGTGTCGTCACTAGGAACAAGACTTCCAGGCTCAAGTAAATCGTCCACCATGCGACTCATCTCAGTATCCATAATACCGAGGGAGTCTGTTGCCATGCTATTCTCGTCACTGATTGTCTTGAAGTTTTGCACTGCGTGTGTGGGCTTCGTTAGCTGGCTGGGCATTACAGAATTATCTGAGATGGGGCTCGTAGCGCCTTCGGTACCATAGATAAATCTACTATCGTCCGTCATCACAATTGGACATGGTCGTTCGAAATGAAGAGCCATGCCAGCTCGTAAGATATCCCGAATGCGAGCATAGTTCTCGCTATCAGGTTGCCGAATGATACCATCAGAGATACGAGCCTTCAAAGAGCCATCATCTTTGTTGTAAAGACTGTACTCTTCCAAACCATGTGGCGGGTCCCGGAGAGGTTTGAATCCGACTGTCTGTTCGTCTTCGGACAACAAATATGGAAGATAAGGGAGCGATGCGACAGGAAAGAAGCCGACCAGGGCGGTGAGTGTATCTGCGGCCGTCTTCCACATTCTCCGGATATGACCGACTAATGGGCCTGTAGACTCTAGGTCGATTCCATCTGCAAGACCAATAAGGAGGAGACGTTGTGAGATAATCCAAGCGAAGTATTGACGAATAGCAGGGAGAACCCTAATTGCGACCGGGCTGAGCTTTTCGAAAGAATCACCAGAAGCATCTGTGGCGGTCAAAGACTCCAGATTTTCCGCTTCAGCTGCATCGGTAAGCTCTGTGATGAGTGCCTGTAGCAAGACGCAGAATACCTGGAGGTTGAAGCCAAGAAGAAAGTAGAATGATTTTTTGAGGTCATCGGTTACACCACTTTCCGCTTCTACACATTTTGTCAGATTATTTACAAAATTCAGACAATAAAGATTAACCAACCAGTAAGCCTTTGAGTTGCCAGATAATTTGCAGCCATATTGATCAACACCAACTTATTCAAGGTTTCTTCGAAGGACTGGTCTTTCAAGGCCGAGGCCAATTGACCCAAAACTTCTTTCTCTAGCTCTCCTTGGGTAGAGAACTCTACTCCCTTATAGAATCTTGCTTGGAGTCGTACAAACCAAATGACAAGAGCGGACTCAACGGGCGCTGGGCGACGTTTGCTCTGTCTTTCCTTCTCCCAAGTGGTAGATATCTTTTTGTACTCAATAGCCAAGTTTCCACGAGCCAATGTATGGGGTTCTTCGACAGCAACTGCGCGTAGTAGATGGTACAATGCGTCAAGATGACTGCCGTCGGCGAGAGCAATGACAGCCATCTGGTTGTGGGCATTGCCAGAATTAGGATAAAGAGCTTCGGCTAGATAATAATATCCTAGGGCGGGGTCCCAGCTGCGTTCCTTGGTTCTCAAGTCATTTCGATATCTGCTCAAGTCTCCAAGACGAAGTAAAGTGAAGTGGCAAGACAGCTTGAGAAGATGTTCGTGGGATCTGCTGACTTTGATTGGCTCGTCCACGGATAGTGGACTCAGAGAAAGGCGATTTGCGATACGCTGCAATGCAGGAAGAGGACCAAAGTGAGAAGCAACACGCTGAATGTATCCCTTGTAGAAGTATTGACTGGTCTTGAGGAAATCGACATAGTGTTTCTCCAACTTTCGGCGCTCCACGGCACGGCGTTTCTGTTCGGGGGAACGGTAATGAGCTACGAGCTTTCGATATCGAGTGTTGATTAGGCTGTGCGAGTCCCAGAGACGATGCTGTACACGCTCCTTGGTAGCATACTCAAAATCGCTGAAGATAACTGCTTCACAAGCAATGCGCAACCTAAGATGATCAGAAGGATACGATAAAGATAAGAATACAAGAAACAAACTGTGAGAGAAGATGTTCAATATCTTCAAATGTAGGGGAATCCTTATTCAAATGCGATTGTAATTCCGTCTCAATCTTTTGTGCAACGCTGAGTTGTAAATTAGTATTAATCGACATCATCAAATGTGCGACTGCGACGACAGGAACAAACTTACAGCCATTTTTGTTGAATAGAAGATTTATCCATAGCTAAACTTCCTTGGGAGATTGTATAAGACCCCAAGGTCGACTTATTGTTAGGTTGATTTTTGTCTTCCTACACCAGAATAAAAGTTGTAGGAGTTGGCCATGGAGTCTGGGGGAGGGGGAGGGGGAAATAAATGTGAGGAAAGATCACAAATCAAATTGAAAAAGGGAAATTTGCAAAAAATGAAGGGTGAATCCAGATTTAATCAAATAACTAGTAGATAATTCACTAGGAGATTATCGCTTCAAGGTATTAGGCAAGACTGGTATGACAAAAAGACTTTATGGTCTTTCTGAGCCTTATGCTTATGAGGATACATGAAGGAGAATGGGGACTTCGGGGCGAGAGGAAATCGAAAATGGATGATGGATTGAAATGATGTTCTTATTAGTCCCGGTAGACCGGTAAGTCTACAAGTCAATACAAGTGCCAAGGTAGGTAGTAGGTAACACCTTACTACGCTCAATTTTCTGCCATATTACACCGCCCTGTCCCCTCATTTACTAAATCAATATAGCAAAACCTCGATATAATAATAAGAAATGTTCGATATAAGAATCATCTTGGGTTTAAGGATCATTTAAGAAGATTGCTTTTAATTAAGATATATATAACGATATTTAAGAAGTCTGATTTTTTTTTAAATAAGGGTTATAAAAATTATCTTTCTATAAGAATATTTTGAAATTTTTATATTTCTAAGATTATATAATCTTAATTTCTTAAATAATAATAAATCTTATTCGAGTAGAATAATAAATTTTATATACATAGAACTGAGAAGCAGCAAGCAATTCCCGACTTTCAATTCTCTACTCTTACTCTTATCGACTTGCTTCTAGATTTGGACTATAGGTGAGGACAGTATTCATCATTATCATCACAAAGGTAAAGAAGGAAGTCACAAGCAGAGGGAACTACTCATATTCTGCATCACTCTTTTCATTCAATTTCATCTTGTTGCACAATGACAAAACGTTTACGAGATGAAGAGTTTGATGAAACTTCTTCTCCAGATTCGGAGATACCCAGTACATTCGAGACACAAGATACACAAAGTACCTCAATTCCCACGCCTCCAACCTCATCCAAAATTGTCCACCTTGATCAGGGTAGCGGTGAAGGTCCATCAGTAATGCGGTGCTCTTTGCCAGGTCATCACCGGACACTATCCTTCCTTTCATACGACGACTATGAAGTACACTACAAGAAGTCTCACATGAATCGATGTTTGGAATGCCGCAAGAACTTTCCTTCGGAACACTTTCTTAACCTTCACATTGAGGAAAACCACGATGCATTAGTTAGTGTTAGAAAGGACAGAGGAGAAAAGACCGTAAGATAATCCTTGGCCGTGTCTAGCCTATAGCTACTAATTATCGAGTAGTATTCTTGTTTTGTTGAAGACTGTGACAGGAAATGCTCGACTTTTCAGAAGAGACGGATGCATCTCATTGACAAACACATGTTTCCTCAGCAATATGACTTTTTTGTTGTGAATGATGGTATTGATCATAAGAGCTCCATGCTTAGATCAGGACGCCATGGACATCGAAGACACAGCTCAGCAGCACAGTGGAAGGCTGATGAAGTAAGGCAACGCATTGTCACAACTGAGCTAACTACGAGCAAGCAAGATACTGAAGGAGAAGAATCTACCAGTAGACTTGATGAACCATCAGTGCTGACAGAGGATGATTGTATGAAAGGATTAGAGTCACCAGCACCAGCTCTGGAATCGGAAGTTGATGATATGAAAGGACTAGAAACAGCTATGTCAGCACTGAGATTTGTTCCGAGCAGTGTTAGGTTTGGAAGGGGACGTGGAAGGGGAAGGGGATTCAGCAGGGTATGATATGACAAGGATTTACGACTTTATGATGTTACGAGAATGAAGAGAGTCTATACTCGAGTATTGGCACAGCACTTGTTCTATTTGATGAAACTCGTGATTTCTGCAGCAGCTCGTAGCATGTTGACTTCTTCAGTGAACGAGTCTGTCACCCTTCTGATGGAGTTGAATATCTAAATATTCTGACTGAGGATCCCATCTGACTAGGGTTACATGTATAGAAAGAGTAGGATGTATAATTGTATGTTTCACGTCACCACCATATGGAAAGAATATGAATAGGGTTCATAATTTCTGAATAAAAAACAATTCATATTGGGTATCTGTGTCCAAAGCATCCTCTATCCAGCTACCAAAACGCCAACACCGTTATTTACAATGCCCATGCTCATCTTGTTGTTTCAAAATATACTCATACGAGCTCCCCAGCTATCTCCTCTTGGGTTTATTATAATCTGGTAAGGAAACGGGTTGGCCTCACTCGTGGTGATAGGAGGAATATGATCTTTTTCCATGTTAACCGTTGTCACGATCTTCATTGCGGCTTTCAGTAACATGGCCTCCATCGCACTTCTGACTTTCGCTCGTTCTGTAAGGCACACAATGTGAGCCAGCCATAGCCATACCATAGAGTAATCGGATTTCCTTACCACTTTCTGTTCGCGGAGTCGCTAATGTAACATCCAAAGTCCACTGTTCCCAACATACCTCTTCCTCCTTTGTTGTCCGAGTTAGCAATGAGGCATTTCAAATAGAGAGAACACGATCCGGATGATCGGAGTTATAATCCAGACTCAACATACTCCTTTGGTAAACCAAGCTTTTCTTCGCTTTTTCTCGAAGAATTGAACAGCCATTTGTCCTCGCACGCCAGTATTCCTAGCGCCGAGATCTGAGCTGGTGTCTAGTTGCCGCACCAGAGCAGCGGTCCTTTGGTCGATAAGTGTTTCGATTTCGACATTCTCAATATATGGGAGAGTCATCTCGAGAACATCGCGAGTTTGGGGTCTAATAGAAGGGAAGAATCGGTGGAAGAAGATGGTATGTAGAATGCCTATAAACAAGAAAGGAGTTAGCAGGCGCATATCGTGAGATGTTATGCTAATGATGATGGCAAGAAAACACAGTTACTACTTGCCTTTAATGACCTCTTTCACCGAGGTTGGGTCAGCAAACACCTCAATGATATATTCGGGTGGTCTGCGCTGATCCATTGCCAGTATTCAATCTTTTCATTTGTGTTTGTTGTTTTCAGACTTTGATGGTGCAGTTTGGAAGCTTTGGTCTTTGTGCATTTACGCATTTACATGGAGGGGTAAGATGTTATGCAATAGCGTGAACTCGATTTTCTTATCGGTGGGTCTCTATTAAAGTCCCAGCCGAGTTGTGGCTGGAAATCAATATCCTCGGTCCTCAAAACAACAAAGGGAGGGAGCCTCTCGATTCATATTTCCTTAGGAAACTTCAAATCTTGCCATTCAACATTATTCAATTTTGTTCACACTTTCAACCTTTTGAACTGTCATTTGTCAACGTTATGTGATTGTGCTTCCATTATTTTCCTTTAGAAGAAACAAAATTATGATTTCCATTCGCAAATGGGCAAGGAGAAATAGGACTCCCCTTGCGATTGGATTTGGGGTGATTGGTGTAGGCTATGTTGCAACTCAATATGTACTGGGAAAGATTTCTGATGCTCGACAACGTATGAGTAGTGATCGTATAGCTCGAGAGAAGTAGGTTCGGTATCCACTGAGATAATGGACTTATGCTTATCCACTTATTCTTAGTCTCCGGCGTCGATTCGAGCAGAATCAAGAAGATTGCACCTACACCGTCTTAGCCCTCTTGCCTACAGCCACCGAGAATATTCTAGCAGAACTGAAAACTGAGAGGATTACCGATGAATTACAACAACAGAAAGCTGCGAAGCAGGCGCGAAATGGGGATGGTCGTCCATCAGAATTCGGTTCCAGTCCTCCGAGCATTACCGACGACGATGGAAGAAGCATGGCGAGTTTCAGTGATAGTGGAATGCATATAAGTCAACTCGGAATACCCTCAGGATTAGAGTTGGGTATTGATGGAGCACAAGATGGAGGGCAACAAAGAGCACCGCAAGCACAAAAAGTCAAAAGGTCGAAGATGCAATTGTGGAACGACCTCAAGATCAGCTGTAAGCAAATTGGATCGAACTTTCTAATCCATTGCTAATGTGTGCTAGCCATCACGCGATCGTTCACTTTGATATATACACTCTCTCTGCTCACACTTCTCACGCGAATACAGCTCAATCTTCTAGGACGTCGCAGTTATCTTTCGAGTGTAGTCTCCCTGGCTACTGGTGGCGTGGAACAATCGACAATAAACTTGGAAAATAATGATGATGATAATTCAGATCAAGCATATGGAAACGACTTCGAGACGAATAGACGGTACCTGACATTCAGCTGGTGGTTACTTCATAGAGGCTGGAGGGACGTTATGTTTAAGGTTGAGGCTGCCGTGAAAGAAGTATTTAGGGATACCTCTATTAGAGAAGAGCTTACAATGGCCAAGTTCTCCGAGCTAACGCTCGAGGTTCGTAAAAAGGTAGAGGGGGCCACTCCTGAGGACAGACAGGCGACTCGCTGGTTACAGTACCTCTTGCCACCACGAGATCAAGAGGATTTCGTCATTAAAGAATCTGGCATGAAAACTATGGAGCCTGAGATCCCTCTATCCTCCCCTGTATCACCCTTGAGACGACTTCTTGATGAAACCTCAGATCTGATCGACTCTCCGCCATTCTCCCACGTTCTGACCATGCTTCTCGATGCTGGTTTCTCAACTCTTGTTGAACAAAAGATCGCTCAGCAGAGCTTCAAGATTCCGTCTCAACTTGAGGATGCTCGAGTTACGGACGTTACTGAGCCCAAACCGGTAAAACTTCCATTAATATTGGCTGTTCTTACTAGACAGGCTCATTCTATTGGAAATGGTGTGCCAAATGAATACCTTCAAGCCATGGAGCAGATTAGGGAATTGGAAGCTTTTGCCGCTGTGGTTTATTCTAGTCACGAGAACGAGATAAATCCGATTGACGACTTTGGAAGTGCTATATTAGTGCCCAAAAATGGCTTGGGTGAATCTGAAATGACCGCCGTTGCTTCTAATGGCCAGGATAGTCTCATGGATGTGGGGACCACAAGCAGGTTTGAAAGCGCATGGGGCAAAGCTGTTGACCCTGCAGACAAGGCGACATCTTAATAAATTGTTTCTCGGTGACGTTTGTACAATTTCAAGAGAATATTTGGAATACGGGAATTATTACTGGGCAGGGTTGCGGGAAATTTATCGAGCGGAAAGAAGAAATGAGACATGTACAAGATACCAAATTAATGGCATAATTATATCATACTTTAGGCAATGAATCTATAGCATTCATACTATCCAGCTTGGCTCCCTTTGATGGACATCAACGTAAGTATTTGAGTTGAACGTCGATTGCCAGACTTGGCCCAAGTAAGACTGGAGATATTATATGGTTCCTTCAAGCTCTTGTATGAGCCCCTTTTTATCAACTCCCGATTTATTCCCCTTAATCTCGACTCCAAAATCACCCAAACGCCTCGGCCTTCTACAATATGTTGTATTGCCACTCAAATTAACTTCTATACGACACCGAATGTCCACTGCGTGTAAATCATCAAGCTCGTAACGGGTATTGGGCATCAAAGAACGCCTTTGACAAATTGATCGAGTGCCAGCTCGAAGAGCTCATTCGCAACCCCTTCACCTCCAGGATGTTCTATGGGGGATAGCGGGTTCTTGACAACTACGAAGTATCAGTACTACGCAGAGATAACGATGGGGAGCAGCCATACCAAATTCTACATAAAGATTGACATATATTTGATGTAGCACCTGCCTCATAGCCAAAGTTTGTGTGTCCGTAAGCATCACAAACTTGATATTCGTTGGCGTCTCGTAATAATGTAGCTTGTACTGTCCCGTTCGAAACGATATGAAGCTATCATCTGGTCCTCCCAGCTTTCTCACCATATTCCGCAGCGAGAATATGGTACCAAATATCAATTTCGCATCATCCTGCGCACTCAACTTTCCGGGGCGACTCTTGGGGATAGGAAGTTCTGGCGCATTGATGGGAGGTACGGCACTGGAGTTGCTGGAGCCGGAGATAGGTCGCGCGGTTGCGCCGGTAGTGGTGGAGAGGGGTCGCTCATTATTACGGTGCCAGTGTTTAGAGTAGATGCATTCGGCTGGGGAATGCGGTTAGTGTTGATTGGGAAGGGTAATTCCAAAGAGTAGGTCGACTTACTATGTCTATCGAATATGTAAAAGGAATAGACAACCATATTGGATAGGGAATGTTGTCTGAAGTCCTACGAGTACTTAAATATTGTTGATAGTCTTTCTGAGGGAACTGAACACCTTCAGCCTCTTGGCTTAACAGGCTTTAGCCTTGAATTTAGTGGTACAGGCTAAACGCACGCTATTTAGTTAAGCTTTTCTTAAGCTAAGCAAAGCCTAATCCCACGCGATCGTCCAAACCCTAGGCTAAAGCTCATTCGTTGAGTTGTTTTTGATAGCCTCACCTGTCCCTCCCCCAATATTCACTTTCTTTGTCTTTCATTTACTCAACTCGGCCTTTAAAATAGCTACTACCTAGTCTCTAGATATGAAGTGAGATATCCAACTCTTACGCAAATGTCTTCATTCGCTGGCGATTGTGAACAACCGGGTCATTCTGGTGAAATTACCCAGAAAGAGGCTGATGCGGGCATTCTTCCTTCTCATGGTAGGTGACGGTTATCAAAAATTTGTCGTCCTTGACCACCAAGCCCCCCCCCCCCACCCCCCATAGTCTGAGTTAACTTGCCAACTATGTAGGCATTTCTATCGATATACCAGATAAACTTGTCGATGGTCGTCCGCCTATGGTACAGTACCTGTAAATCGCCCCCAAAATACCCCTCATTATCTTTATCTCCCACTAATGGATCTTCGAGTTCCGCCCCCGCATATCAAAGTCCTCTCCGACATCACCGTCGCAGTGCTTCTACGCACCGGGAAGTGAAGGTTTGCTACAAGTCCCGCAAAGCGGCTATTCGTACATAGATATGCGCTGATTGTAAAAAGGAAACACTTGATGCAAGATCCGAGTACACGAATAACGAAAAAGACGGGAGAGCTGAACACCATATTAATCAATATATCATCAAGGATGAAATTGGCAGGGGCTCGTTCGGGGCTGTTCATATAGCAGTGGATCAGTACGGAAGGGAATTTGTAAGGGCTTCTGTCCTAAAACATGACTCTTGGTTTTTGGTTTAATATTGGGTACACAGGCAGTCAAAGAGTTCTCCAAATCAAGGTTACGGAAAAGAGCACAATCGAATATCCTTCGAAGACCGCATTATGTTAGACGACCAGGACATCTCGCAGCAGGCAGTGGCCTCAATTCTCCCTTACATCGCCATTCGGCCTCCGATATCCACATTAACGAGCAACAAGGAAATCCTCTATATTTGATAAAAGAGGAAATCGCTATCATGAAGAAATTGAACCATCCGAATCTTGTCAGTTTGATAGAAGTACTGGATGATCCCGAGGAAGACTCTCTTTATATGGTTCTAGAGATGTGTAAGAAAGGAGTAGTTATGAAGGTTGGGCTTGGAGACAGGGCAGTTCCATATGACGTTGAAAGTTGCAGATGCTGGTTCAGGGATCTAATACTTGGCATTGAATATCGTGAGTACTTCTGGAGAGTTTATGTATTGATCAATAAACTCACATTACGAAGTTCATGCTCAAGGCGTCGTGCACCGGGACATCAAGCCGGATAATTTGCTGTTAACTGAAGACGATGTGCTGAAAGTTGTGGATTTTGGAGTTTCGGAAATGTTCGAGAAGGCCTCAGATATGATGACAGCCAAATCCACCGGATCTCCAGCTTTTCTGCCACCCGAATTGTGTATCATGAAGCATGGCGATGTCTCTGGGAGAGCGGCTGACATCTGGTCCATGGGAATCTCACTATATTGTCTGCGTTTCGGCCATATACCTTTTGAGCAAACCGGAGTCCTTGAATTATACGAGGCGATCAAGAACGATGAGATTGAATACGAGCCAGATCTCGACCCCGAGTTTGTCGATTTAATGAAAAGACTTCTAGAGAAAAACCCTAAGAACAGAATCACTATGGATGAAATTCGCGTATGCATCCCCTTTATTATTTACCCGAGATTGACTGACATCTAGTAGGAGCACCCTTGGGTAACTAATAACGGTACTGATATTTTGCTATCAAAAGATGAGAACATAGCAAACTTAGTTGAGCCGCCGAGCGAAAGCGAAGTCAATCATGCAATAACTATCAAGATGAGAGGTCTTCTCGCAGTCATGAAAGCCGTGAAGAAATTCAAGACGAAATTAGAACGAAAGACACCTAATGCTATTTCTGAGACATTAGGGAAAGGTATTCGTGTTCTACACCCATCGATGGGAATGGATGAGCAAAGAGAATCCGCGCTTCATAGGTCTAAAAGTGTAGATCTCGAAGATAGACGATTAATTGAGGGGGCGCTGGCTGCTGGAGGCGTCCATCACGATGGTACATATCCATCAGCTGATGGTATTAGGACAATTACGAGCAAGATGGATTCTTCCACGATTGCAATGGGTGAGGAGCCCAAAGACAAAGTTAATTCACATCAAGAAATCACGAAACTTGATTCATCTGATTCGACAATAAAACATCCCGAGCTTCAGGAGCAGCATTCTGGTGACAAGGGACAGGCTCACGATCCTTTGGACGAACAACCTTTGTACCTAGGTATTGGTGCTGGAGTTGATGACGACGATTCTCTGGATGCACCAGCACAAGAATTGATCGCTGAATCTCCCACAGCAGCCGATTTCAGCATATACGACACTGCGTACCAAAAGGAGGTCGAGCGAATCCGTGCTGCTCAAGGACACACTGCCACTGTTTATTTGACAAGACGAGTAGATCACAAGAAAGAATATAAAGCCGATCGTAACATGATTCGTTTGCCGCATCATGCAGATATGAAAGGTCGAATTCAAGAAGGGTGGAAGGGTCTCCTGGATCGCGCTCAGGAAAACAAAGATGAGCTTACTATCCATGGGAAACTCACCGAAGGTCATCAGGCCCTTTCAGAACTTGTTTCCAAGGCGGTGGAGAATACGAGAAACATAGGAAGAGACATCAGTGAGAGGGGCGGGATTACATTTGACAACGTAGTGCATGGGGCTATGGAAAACCGAAAGGAAAAGGTTGAGAAAGAGGAGCGAGGGGAAGAGAAGAAACCATGTTAGAAATGGTCAAGTGGCGGTATTAGTGTAGCAGGCGTTTCACTGCGGCCATGAGTTGGCAGATGGATTGATACGATTCTTGAATACCATAGTTATGCGCCATAAGACAATAATCTTATTATAGCTAGGTTTGGAGACTTTGAGCAATTGGATATTTCGAGTTGTCAGTAGAAGCCATCAAGCTTATTCAGTTAATTTGTTGTGTAAATTTTTAAATTACATAGGAGCCTCATATGCCATTTCCGCAATGCGCCCATTCTGTGACTCCGCGCTCCCCCTCAGCATTGCCCCGGGGGAATAGCGCCATTGTCCGCTAACCAATCTGGACATTGTCATTTTATGAATTGGTCTCGAGGAATGGTTTATTCTATGCCGTTTGGTCAATGTGAAGGTATACAGATCTTTGATCTAATCGGTGTCTTCGGAGCAAATAGGTATTGCCTCGTCTTACTGAGAGGAAACTTGACTTCGCCATCCGTCTTTGGAAAATATCTTGACATCTCAGCTGTATAAATCAGATGGTGATTCCTCCTTTCTCTTTATTATTTTGACTACATCTCCCTCGGATGCAAACTATGCAGATTTATCCCTAGAAAACGAATCTCTCCTTCATAACGCCAGCCATAAGCCCATCTCCAATGACCTGGCATTCAATATTCCCAGCCCTTCACTAATATCATCTTGGAATTTCCTTTCCATCCCATCCTACCCAAATGCCCTGAACGCCTAATGCCAAATGCTGGTATCATCAAAGTAAAGAGCGTAAATAACGCACTGTCAAACTAGTTCGCTCCTCCTTTGCCGTCCTGTATTCAACGAAGCTGTTCTGCGCAGAGGCCGTCTACCTAATCGCTCGAAGCACAACCTCTGCAACCGCAACTAACGCATTGAATCTCCTGATCCTCTTTCAAATCCGCCTTTGGAACCCGGCATATGCAGGTAGAGTTGAAGTTTGTTTCTTTCGTTTGAACGCATTTGAGACAGCATAACTAATTCCCATTCCCATTAGTAAATCAATCAAACAATCAAAACATCCATACTCCTCTCCCTTTTTAAAAAAACAAGCAAACATACCTTTTCATAGCCCTCTTTCTTCCACTTTGCGACCAACGTCGCATCGCACTGGCCATTCTTGACACACCAGTCATACAATGCCTTGCTAATCTTCTCCTCGCAATACATGTCCCATACGTATTTACTCCGCTGATGATTTACCTGTGTGATCTCCCATGTGGCTTGATGGCGGGGACCGGTGGATGGTGGGGCCGCAATGGCATCTTTCATTTTGTTGCTGTAGACCAGGAGGGAATCTTCGATGTCACTGTAGCCTTGGGGAGGAGCTTTGCGCTTCGAGGCGTGGCGGATGGCTGGCATGACTGCTGTTTGCTAAAGCGCGATCGCTATAAGTGTGGAGGGGAGGATGGTTGTGATGAGCTGCCGTTGGAGGAAAGATCTATGCGTGATAGTGATAGTGAGATTGTAATTGTGTTTTGTATAACTTGTATTGTAGGTAGCGGGGTGAAGCAAGCTTTCGTTCAAAAATTAATTTGTCAGCCTCGAGCTGATTTAAGGTTTGTCGACGTCCACGTGATGCATTTTGATCGGTCGCTTCTTATCAAGGAACCTCAACTTCTTGGGGTTTGATTCGAATGGAGACCAGACCACAACGAATCAGCGACAATGGTTATTAATCCTACCTTACTTGCGCAGCGGACGCGCCAGTGTAAGTTATTGCCCTGTCCTCTTTGAGTTGTAATGTATTGAATATGGAAGGGAAAAGAAGCTAATTGGTGCGGCAGCTGTTAACTGGACTGATGCGAAATCCAGGGTATTGAAGAGTTATAGAGAATGGATCCGCTCTGTATGTTCACTCTATATCTGTGGGAAGAGTTAGAGAAATTCGCGGATGTGTCGGGGCCAGAGAGACTGATGGTTGTTGATGTAGGCTCCGGAAATCCAAACGATGTACTCGCTCGGCATGCCGGTCTCACAATTGAGGACGAAGATGCGGTCGGAGTTTGAGCGGCATAGATACGTGAATCATCTTAATACGGTGGATAAGTTGCTGTATGAGAGTCATGCGGAATATCAGGTACGTTTTAGAGATTGGGTCTTGGGGATGTTGGGGGTCTAATGGAAGAGAGAATTATATTGGGGTTATGCTATTGCGGGGGTTACAGGCGCAAATAAGGACGATCGACTTCGTCTTCAATACTGGGTGCAGTTGGCAGATCTTGGATACATTGGGTCATATATGGAGTGTCTTTTCTAACTGGAAGTCTTACAGGAGACTTTGAACTACTGGAAACAACTTCCTCACATCTTGAAATATTTCCGACAAGAAGAAGACCCAACTGCAAGACTACCACAAAATTTCATGACTGGTTTCTTAGAGGTATGCCTACTGTTCCCTCCCACACTCGGCTCTTCCTAACCTCAATCACAGGGACGCAATTAGAAGTTGTTATCTTTATTTTGTCGCTTTGTACATATCCCAATGAACCTCGATTAAACTCCATGAGACCTTTCCCTTTTATACGCCTTGCCATCCCTTGATATCTAAGTTATCGTCCCCAATACATTCCGTGGTTTATTCCTCCAGTTCAGAGGCAGACGCAACATGCTGCTCTCGTGCTGTTGTAAATTTATCGGCGACCACATCACAAAGGTCTATTAAATCATCCAACCCCTTTCTCAAAGCATCCTCAGCCGACAATGCTATTGTATGATTAGTCAATTGGCACCATGCGATATAAACCGGGCAATACTGACTGTATGTTTGAATTCGAACGTTCATCAACTCTTCCGAAGGATGAGGTATCGAATATCCGCAGAACTCGACATCAGGACTACAAATGAAAGTGTCAGTATAAATGAATCTGAAAACTTAGCAGGCAGCTAGAGACCTAACATACTTCTTCATGATAATGTATCTCAAAGCGTTCCCCAATGTATGATCCTCCTTCTTAAATTCAAAAGAGGCAGCTGTATCCGTTGAACCAGGGAGCTACAATTCCACCAAGTTAGCACATCATCCCATTGATGAGAGAGTCCTGCGCTCTTACAATACGAAGTCGCTGTTCTTGGAACATCATCGCGGCGGGGTTGTGCGGATCGTCGCGCATAAGGACTTCACCTTCAGACTCCGCAGGTACCGCCTCCTCCATTGATACATCTTCGGTGGGGGCTGCTGCAGATGCCTCTGCTTCCTTCTTTCGTGGTGCCATTATTGATTTATTCTGGGGGGTAGTGCTGTGAGATAGATGGGCACAAAGAGATGTCTGATTGGGGAAGAACTGCAAGATTGATAATTTTGATAAATTTTATCGATGTCACATGCAGATAAGGAATCGATTACAGCCTCGAAACCTCGTTTTTGTTTTGGCCTGAGGCATCTATATTTTAACTTAGGTTGCAGGAGGTGAGATTTCATCACTTTGAAAGCCTCTAGATCTATTTGTTTCCATAGGAATTTCGAAGCTTTTCAGAACGCTTATGGTTAACCCACAGGATTCCTGTTTATTTGCTCCTTTTCTGTATTTCCGAACAGGGCCAAAGAATGTTTGAAAGTCCAATAGACTTGTTTGTACTTGATGAGTCCTGATAGGCTGAAAATACCAACCTTGACGCTCAGTGGCGTTAAAATGAGCTTCCACCGTTTAAAGGCCTCGGGCTTATGTATGGTATGACCCGAGTGAAAGGTTAAGCTATAGAATAGGGGTTATCGATAACCGGTATGCCAGGTAGAAACGTCATATATCTTATGACCCTAGCTTAAGGGGGATGTTACTCTGGGCTGTTACACTCGCGCGCGGCAAAGGAAAATCAAAAGATCTTTGGTCGCCCGTTAGCAGGTGATTAGGTCTCAGATTTGTTAGGGGAAGGAAAGCGAGCTGGAAAAAAAAAACAATAGTGCCAAATCTGGGGTATCTCTTTATTATGCCGGAATGATACGATACAAGATTCCAAATAATCTTTCGGAGGACTGTACGAATTCGACAATCGAGTTGTCCAAAATGCCGTTGGGACATGTTCCACCGCATGCAACACATAACGGAGTCACCTGTTGTGAGTACGAAACAGATTTGTGGCGCAGAACCAACAGTGGATTCTGATTCTCACAACTGCTTCATCTTCAGGTGAAAGTCACACACAGCCTTGCCACGAATAGGTGCAGCCGCCCCTTGTATGCTTGATCTGTCATCAAAGGAGCTGGAAAAGTCCTCTTTTTTGCCTTTGTTCTTGCGATTAGAAGATAAGACACGAATCACACGATGGCTAGATCAGCGACTACTTACTTTATTTATTCCTTCTTCCTTTGCTTTCTCCATGATATGACATGAGCCTTATTTGTAACGATTTCCCTTCTTAATCCTTTTCAACATGTCTCCTTCATGTGGAGAAGTTTGATTGGAGGGAGATGCTGAGCCGCGTTTCAAGGAAGATCATTCATAGAGCCATTTGGTTGGTTATATATTTACTAGGGTGTCGATTTGTCAAACGCAACCGTTGCAGTTCCAACAGGGAATCTTTGGACCAACCCGCGTAGACCATTTTCAAATTTAGGAGGGGTTCGCTGGCTTTTTTTTTCAAGCTGGCTTCGGTCCTTACTTGCCTTTTCAGGCATTTGAGATTTCGTTGTTCAACGAATGATCATAAACTCGGGAGCTGTCAGACCTAATACTGTCGATGTTGATGTGCATTCATAAGTTATTGGCCACCGATTGGAAGTTGAGGGAGCCAAGTCGACCTGAGACTCTGAGAGGCTGAGAGATGGATCTTTCTCATCACAGTTTCTCAATCTGGAATAATCTTCAATGGCTCAAGCTTTAGCTCACCGTGCTTTTCATCAGAGTCCTCACAATACTGTGCCCTATGAAAGAAGAGGGGTTTGTGTTCACAGACCATGCCATTCTCCAAGCACACGATTGATCGTCAGGGTCGTAGGCGAGAAGATTGAAAATTGGATATTGGAAATTGAAAAACATGCTACACATTGATATTGATGCCCTTATCCGAATTAAAGATCGAATGTGATATCGATAATGACAGGCATGCGTACAATATTCGCATATGTGATATATATTAAATAATCGCCAGATCAGGACGGATGCCTCATTTCACAAAATTATCAATTTTATCATTTCACGAAAGGGCCACCTCACCGATAAGCTAATGATTATATGAATAAAGATGTGCAATTTGGATAAATTGATGTAGGACTAGCAAGGGTTTCACTATGGGCCATCCCATGCAATTGTGAAATATGAAATATGAAATATTGAATGAATTTACCGATCCTGCAGATCAGGATTCCAAGGGTTTGAGAGTTTGAAAATCAAAAGCATGGAAACCGATCGATCTTTTGGAGTTTGGGACGATGAGATTTCTTCGAGGAAGTTTTATTGTTGGACGATTTACGAGTTATTGGAATTAGAATATAGGAGTGTAACATAGTGAAACTCTCCTTTTCATTTTCTTTTGCCTTTGCCTTTTGCCTTTGCTGTTCAAGATCAAGCTGAGACTGAGACTTTCTAACGGTGATTCATACATGTCTTATATGCATTCATTGGAACTTGGGAGAGAAAGAGAGAGCCAATGGCCAAAGACATTTTAGGATTTGATTCATGTTTCTGAACAACCCATTTTCTCCTATGAAGTACAGTAGAACTTCCCTACGTGTTTACCCGAGTCCCGCCCCGCCAGGTACAAGAGAATGCCGTATGTTTTTGCCTTGAGTTGAATCTGGAACAATGGTTTGATTGATTGTCATGGAAGTCTAACTAAACCTTCCCTTGAGCTTTTCTTAAGAGGAGCCTCTTATTACTTTTGTCTATTAATGCTTTGAGAACTATAGTACCGGTACCGGTACCGGTATCGCTATTGATATATGGTATCTAGCTATTGGTATTAGACACAGGCATTATATAGGCATCTAGATCTATATATACAATATCATCCTTCATCCCATCCTAAATTGTGATCTCAATGCTTAAGGGCATTGATCTTCAACTCAAATATAATCCTTAAACATCAGACCAAACATGACAAATATATTAAATATACTGTACCTGGGTTATCAAACCAACCATAAGAACCAAGACGTCAGAAGCTGTATCAAACGAACAGTTAATTTAGATCTTCATCAAATCCCCAATCCCTTCCTCCATAATAAAACTCTATCAAAACTTCAACCCCTCTCTTATCCTTTCCTAAAACTAGAAGAGATCCCAAACTTCAATTGTCGGACTATATCTAGAACCAACGCATTGATGATTAACATTATCAGGGATCATCTTGTAATACTTTTAGAGACTTGTTTGACATCAACCTTCATATGTATATACGTAGGTATCAATATCAACTCGAGTTATACAGTACCGGTACTCTTATTACTACTACTTATTACTGTATCTCATCTTGACTCTTGATTCCCAATCTTCGAATCTTTCAGTACCCATACAAATCTGTATGTAACTCGTATCACCCTCGCAATATCGAATACATACCCCATTGAAATCCATTATCAACAGCCATATCAAACAATCAATCCATCATAACCCATATTCCGTATAGCCGAAAAGAATCTTGAACTTATAGCTATAGCCTAGACAGTGTACAACCAATGAATAACAATCTCACCCTGTTGCTTGACCTTAACTAGTATTAGCACCAGTGTGCCACCATTCCTTAGTAGCTAGCACGAGTGTTTGAACCTTCTTTTCTAAATTCTTTGAGAGGTGGAGGTGTTAATATCGAACGAAACGAATTACTTGGTATCGGATCCCGCTAAGAGTCTTTTAGTCTTTTAGTCTTACCTAGGTATAGTATACGAAATAACCTGAAACACATCCGCCTAAATAACCTCGATTGCCTCGAAATTCGAATTCGTTGATTTCATAAAACCTCACCGCCACCCATCTTGACCTCTTTGGACTTTTTTAAAACTGCTGCGACCTCTTCTTATGAAGACGAACCCCTCTCTAATCGGACTTTGTTACTCTCTTCCCACTTCTTTTCCGAGTTTTTCATATCTACAACCGTACAACAACAACAACAACAACAACCAAGATCCTTTCCACCACCACCATCACCACCACCTCCATTAAAGCTACGAACAGCACAACACCACCTGAGAAGTTTCCTTCTTATTTCGACTACCGTTTACACTACAACATTACACTATATTAGTAGTGGTGCACCTACTATCACGAGTCGGATCATACAGAGAAAGGAAATCCAGACGTAACCATTTATCTACACAGTTCAGTGATTCATTCATCACCAACAATAACGATATATACAACATCTTCCATCTGTATATTATTTACTACATAACTGGTAAAAGTCAAAACTCCGAGTCGAACGAACCAAACTCAAATTCATCATCAAGCACGCATCCTCACTCACATTTTACTACTGCAATTTGGGTGGAAAGGAAGCTTCACTTTTTGCACGTCAACGGAAAGAAACTGCAACAATTTGTACACTTTACTCTTGGTCATCGGAAAAAAAAGTATAGTAATCACAATTCTACGCTGAGCTTGTTGGAAATACGCCGACCGACGGACGCACGAATCCGAATCTTTGAAAGATACGGAAAGAGGGAGCGTACAAGAATCGGAAGGGAAGAGGAAAAAGGGAAAGAGAAGCCATTCATCCACTCATACTGCACTGCACTACTACTCTTTGCATTACGAAGAAGTGATTCAAGACTTACTTATTATTTACTTGCCAGCAATTGATTGGAGACGAGGAAGCGAGAAAGGGTCCCTCATTTTCAAACATCAGCAAGTTTCACCATCTCCCACATCAACCTTTTACTTTTCTTCCTTTACTCAAATCTATACCTCAATTAAAATGAGTACCGCTGTTGCAATGGCTCCTTCCCCAGTACCTCACGATAGATCATCATATATTGATATCGCGCCTTCGAAACCTTCAAATTCTCCTCCGGCGCAAAGAATACCTACCTCGGCTATAGCGAATGTAACTACTGCGGCACAGCGTACAGGAAGCGGGAGTCCAAGATCAACTCTAGCAAAACCCTCACCCATTGCGTACGTATTCTCCTTGAAATTATTGATTGATAAGCGTGATTCAATACTAACGTCATAATTCCAACAGGTCTCGAAACGGTGCACCACCCAAGATAATCGTGAAGAAGGAACCGTCCTCGCCTGAAATAACAGCCTCTTCCCGTCATAGACCCCGAAAGCTTGATCTCACGAAAAATACCTCGAGTATTAATCCGGGTACTGGGAGACTAACAGCCAGCCAATTGACAGGCAGGGGTGCTGAGAGCGGTGGACTAGGTATTCAGGACGTCGGATTCGCATGTCTTTCCCCAGGCTTCCAAACACAGGATCCAACGATGCGAGAACAATTACAGCGAAGTTTATCTGTACGCGATCAACAGAGACATATCATCGAGTCGAGATTACAACAAACGGCTAAGCCAGGTGATGCGCCAATGGAAAGTGCTAAAGAAAGGGAATTGAGTGGGCTGCCAGCGAAGACTCCAGGTACATCGAGGAGAAAGGCGCCGCCAGGACTTAGCATTGTTGCACCGTCCCACGAGCAATTCGCAGACGAGAGAGTAATTCAATCCGCTCCAATGCACCACAGTTTTCCTGGCAGACATCAACCACAACCTCTTACCCGTCACGTTGCAAACCAACCCTCGAATCTTTCTAATACATCTCACATCCACCACGTCCCCGCCACTCAAACGACCAACAGACTACCACCAATCTCGGACGTCTTCGCCGGCGAGGGTTTAGGTGCACACCGTGAATCACCACGAGCCAACTTGTACCAAAATTCCATCCCGAATTCCAATTCCTCGCATTCTAATTCCTCGCATTCCAACTCGAGGCCAGGCTTCCCATCCCCAGGACACGCCCCACACCCACCAGCATCTGCGGGCCATCAGCGTCCTCGGGAATACCGTTCTGCTGAGGATGCACAGGCTGATCTAGCTGGTGGTCGTCCTGAACTCCTACCTAAGCTCGTACACTATGGAAATCACCAACCCCCTACTCCTCCATCGCCTACCAACTTTAACGCAAGACCATCAGAGGCTGGCCGAAACAGTGGTAGAAGAAGGCCCAGAGCAGAGTACGAAGAAGGAGCCAGTCCGCCACTCGGACAAGGTCCCCCAACTTCAAGACGAAGTGGCCCATTCGGTGAAGGACGAGATAGTCCAATGACAACACAAAAGAAGAAGGAAGAGTTCATGCGCATATGTGCTCGGGCTTGGGACCTTTTCCATTCTTGATAGTTGATGCCTGGTATTCTTTATTTTCTTATGTCTATCTAACAATAATGCTACAACCGGAGCTTCACTTTTACTTCTGGAACGGCAATACTCTTTTCGCGACTTACGACGGCAGGATACGATGTACGTTCCTGTCGGTATACTTTCTTGAGCCATTATGACCACATGAACATTCCCGTTTTCATATGCTTGATGCGTTCATTCATGGTTATAATGGACACTATATTTAATTCGCTAGGGTGGGTGGGTGGCGGTGCGGTGGATTAGGCATGGATGGTTGGCGAAAAGAAATGGTATACAATGACTTTCCATAAGGGTCCCGGAGAGGCCACGGTTGGGAGATGGGTGGTAGGGAAGGGAGGGAGAAGTTTTGAGAAAAGGATTGGAATTTATTCTATATCAATAAAATAACTCTAATATTTCTTGTTTTTTGGGTTGTGATGGTTTGATTATAGTGCAGTACATTATGATCATGTTCATGATGCTGGTCAAACAGAGAGCGGGGAAAGCGGAAGTGAAGAGCGGTCAAAAGGGAGTGAGGCTGTTGTGATCTGGATGGTTGGCTGGCGAATGAATGGTATGGTGTGGGTATTGGTCTTTTTGGGAATTTGACTTGATTTGATTTGATTTAACCTGATCTTATTTGATCAGATTGAATATCTGTATATCTTTAAATTTGAATGCCATTGTCTTTTGCTTCTATTCATTTTGTGTCTTAAATATGCATTGTATCTTATATATGCATTGTAGTGTAGTAATGTAGTAGTGTAGTAGTGTAGCAGGATAGGCTTTGCTGTCGATGGATGCTGTAGATGCTGGGGATGTGCTGTAGATGTGCTGGGTAAGTGGTGGTGGAAAGAAGAGTGGGAGTGGAAAGAGTTGATGGTAAAAGGTTGTAGATGTGCTGTAGATGTGCTGGGTGAGTGAGTGTAAGAGTTGATGGATGGTATGGTAAGAGTGGATAAAGAGTAAATAAATATATATTGTCATCTGTCTGTCTGTCTGTCTGTCTGTCTGTTTGTATGTATTTATATACTCTAATATCACTCTTTTCTCTCTCTCTTCTCTCTTCCCTCTTCTCTCTTTTCTCTTCTTTCTTCTTTCTTCTCTCTTCTCTCCCTCTCTCTCCCTTATATCCAAGTGGAGGCGGGGAGAGGAGGACGGGGTAGGGTAAATTAATCTTACAAAAAATAACCAGGGAATCTCGATGATATGTATGTATGTATGTATGTATATCTTGCTTGGGTGTACTCGTACAGTAGAGTAGGTAGAAGGATAAGGATGAAATATTGTTTTGATTCCTTCTTTCTTTGATCCTTTCTCGATACTCTTGCTTGCTTTTCCTAGGAGGAAAGGTAAGGGGTATAGATGTAGTGATCTTATCTTATTTTGCTTTCTTTGCTTTCTTCATCATCTTCGCCTAACTTGATTCTTGAATACGAATATCCATCTCGAGGAGGTGGATTCATATGTCGCAAGTGCCAAGTTCTAAGTTTTGAGTTAAAGAAAAGGAAGAAGATGAGGAGAGCAGAGGAAATGAGAGGAGAGATGAAAATGATGAGAAGGAGATGAGATGGTGATGAGGGAAGGTGATAAGAGTTGAGATGAGATGAGACGAGAGGTGATGAGATGAGAGAAGAAGAAGATTAGAATAGAATAGAAAAAGAGGAGTTCTCATTGCTTTTCTCTCTCTTTTCTATTTTTTTCTTCTTTATCAACTTCACCTCCTTTCCTCCTTTCCTCCTTGCCTCCTTCTTCCCTCCCTCTTTTCTCCCTTCCCTCCTTACCTCCTTTCTTTCTTTCTCATCAGTCGTCTAATCATCCAATCATCCCATTAAATACAAAAACAACAAACACAGAAAAAAAAGGCCTACAACTAAATACGCGAGTTCCGTGAAGGGGGGATTTGTCTGTCTAACTTAAGCTAAGCTAAAAGAGAAAGCAATGGATGAGAGCCAACTATTAATCTCCGAGAATTTTCAACCAATGCTTTGGTTGCGACGCCTTGAATTGTCGTGGATGGATAGAACTTGTAAATGCAAACACAAATGCCAACCCAAACACAAGAGTCTGTTCACGTTCACTTCATGTTCACTTTATTTCATCTCATCTCATCTCATTTGATCTTCATTCTAATTCTCCATCATCCACACTCACTCCTTCCTATTCTGATGAGCTCTACCCACCTACATCCCACTCACTCCACATCAAGAATCCCATCCATCATCTATCTACAAATCCCCCGGTCAACACCACAACCACACCCCGTCTCTCCACCCATCTACCCATCCACCAATCCTGATCTATCAGAAATTCTCCACGCCTATCCATCATAAACATCTCCTTCTTTCGCCCTTCGCTCAAAATACACAAAAGCCATTCCCACTTTCCCAACCAAGCCACTGATGCACAGCCATTCCATTCACCACCTTCTACCAAAAACCCCACCGTGTAAAAAAGAGCCACAGCCATAAACAGTATGCTAATTTATCCGCCCATCAAAGCCTGGCTATGAGAAAGAGCCAAAAGCAAATGTTTCAGGCAAAGTAGTCTCGAAAAGAAGAAAAGAAACTGTAATTGTCCAAAAGATAAGAAAAAGAACGACCGTATTGTGTCATAGTCTGATTGTGTCATGGGTACTCGTTAAAGAAGAAAGGACATTGAAGTATCCCCTTCTGTATAGTTGCTCCCCTGTTCGCCGTAAAAAAGAAAGAAAAAAGACCCATGGCTCAAGCAGATTGAGTAAGTTTTGGAAATCGTGGCTTAAAAAGTAAAGTAGCCAGGGTCGTGAAGAAAAGAAAGATTGCTGTGCTGTTTGTAAACCCCCCAAACCCCCCGAAACGCCATACTGTTGTTGCAATGTAATGCTCATGCGAAATATGCCACCCCTCGTTGCGCAATGCTCATGTTGAAGAGACACCAGTGTCGTCTTTCAATTCTTTATATGCTCCCATCCCAGTAGGGTCGTAATAACAAATGAAACCACATTCTTGACATTTGAAGTTGCTGGTTGTGCGGAATTTATGTTCAATCCTACATGGCTTCATGTCTCCTTGGACATTCGCCTGTTCGATCATGCTTTTGAACATACTCTTTCTGTTTGTAATTCCACTATCCAGCACATGATGTCAGAGTCCTTCCTCGCCGGCTTGACAAAGTTTTATCTCACGGCCCCATTCGGACTTGAGAACTTGCGAAGCAGTGATACGACGGTGAGGATTAGGATCGAGTATCGAGTAGATGACATTACGACAACGTGCCTTTACTCATGTTAGTTCATATAGACCCAAGAAATATAGGAGGGAGACAAACCCGATGTAATGACTCAATGGGAGCATACCCCTCCTCATCTCTTCGTCCTTCTAAATACCTCTCAAAAAATTCATCTTCATCTTTCTTCGCAACTCTCCAAAGGTGACGACCCGTACGCATTGCCATATAGATGACACCTGTTGCCCAAACATCGACAGCTCTTGCATCAAATTCCTTGTCAATATACTCTTCGGGGGCGATATAAGGAGCGGATCCACAGAGTCCAGTCACCATGTGGGCATCCTTTTCCCAAGCCATTCGGAAACATTCACCGTTCCCAAAATCTGTGATTTTCAGAGAACCATGCGTAGTCAGAAGAAGGTTCTCGGGCTTTAAATCTCGATGTGCAACTCCCATCTCGTGCATATATTCAACACCTCGCATCATCTGTTTGAAGTAGCAATCCGCTTCCACAACCTCGAGCTTTCCGGCTGCGAGAACCAGAGTATAGAGATCACCACCGGCACAAAACTCCATCACCTCACAATAGTCCCCTTTTGAGTCCTGGAGGAGGTCGAGTGTATGGATGACGTTAGGGTGTCGTAATGAAGAAGATATACAGAATTCGGATGTAAGTCTTTTGCTGTATTTTCTTTCATTCTCTTCGGGTCTCCTTCGGAACTCCTTTACGGCATAAAGTTGTTCTGTGCCCTGCTCTGATCTTTTGTGAGATATCCTGACAATTCCGAAAGCACCACGACCAATAACCTCATTACATTTTCCATATTTATCCACCAATGTTGCAGTCGCATTAGGCCCACCCTTCTTTTCTGTAGCCAATGATTCCTTCTCACGCTTCAGTTGATCCACCCAATTTGACATGAGCGAGAGTTGTTGTTCCCCTTCGTGTGTCTCGGGTTGTTTCGCCTTGCCGCTAATCAATCCTCGCAGCATTTCCCCAAGTTTCTCCTGTCTCTTGGCGCTCTTCAGATGATGTTCATGGCCCCCTTGTACATCAGGCATAGGAAGAAATCGTTGATGGGGCGCCGGTGCCTTTTTGTCCTTTGTCGAACCATTTTTATCTTTTGAAGTAGGCGCTGCACTAGTTTTATCTGTGAGGTTTTTCTTTTCTTGTGAGGATGTGTTTCGAGACAAAGACCCGGGCCTAGAAGGTGTTGGTTGCGGGGATGTGGTGCCATCTGCTGGTTTTGGAGTAGAGGAGCTGGAGGGTGCAGCAGATGTCAAGCTACTTTCTGACTTTATCGGATCCTTTGTAGAGAACATTCGAGTCAAGCGTTTCGTCATGGAAGGCTTCTCCATGTTCGTTGGTATAGGTGCGGGTTTTAGAAATGCAGGAGGAGGTGGCGTAAGGGTTCCATTCATACTTAGGTTTTCGGTGCTTGTGATGGCGCTCACATTCGAAGTTGTGGGACGAGATTGGGGAGATCCATGTGAGGAAGAAGGTAGTGAGGGCGTAGGTGACGGTTGTGCCTTCTCTGTGGCGATATCTCTTGGTACCGCGACCGACGCCATGATAGGTTTTTTTTGTTATTTTCTTGGTAGAAATTGAGATGCGCTTTCGTATCAGTTGTAATCAGTAAAAAGATATCCGCCAAAGGCGGAGGTAGTGGACAATGCCCGTGCTTTGTTGGAAATTTGTGTTTTTGTGTGGGAAGTATGGAAATGACTGCGGAATAAGATTGACAAGTGTAAAGTCCGTTATTATTATTCAATGATAAATCGAAATAATAAAGTTTTCTGTAAATGAATATGTAGATGAATTCCTCCCTGGTTACTGGTTACTGGTTGCCGGCTACCTTATTCGAATGTTTGATAATTCCCTTCGGAAAAGAGAAATGATGAAGTTGGAAAAGGAAGAGAAGGAAGTCGGGAATCAAATTATAAGAATCAAATTGGAAATTAAATTTTGATTTCTTGTGTGATTACCGGATCGATAGCGGGTGTTCTAACTTGGTAGTATAATATTACTACTAGTGCTAGGTGGGTGGTGATATGATATGGAGACTAATTGGCTGATAAAAATCCAGTAGTAGTGCAATTGCAGTGCAGATAACCGGTAAGTCCTTGGAGGGAGAGCTTCTTCGGCGTGCGGGGTGGGTGAGTGAGTGGGTGACTGGTAATTTCTATAGTAATAAATAATTGATTATTAATAGAGCATAGCCTTGCTTGCTTGGAAATACTATAGTATAATTATAATTAATAATAAAGTTACTATAATAAAGAATTAAGAAAGACCTTGATCAAAATAGGACTCAATTGCTTCTTTACTAGTAATATTTAAGATCTTTGTTATAAGTTATAAAAGTAGGAAAAGGTTGTATTATAGTTGAGTTATCTATAAGCAATACTGGTATATTTTGAAGTACTCGTATATCTATTGAATAGTAATAGGCGATTTACACGGTTATTTAAGCTTGAAAAATAGATAACATTGATCCGCTTTCAGTACTTGTATCTATCTCCTATCAGTCTACTAAAAAATCCTTTCACACAAAATTTCTATTCAGAAGGGATTTTTCTATGAGGGATTAATCTTAAAGCCACCCTGGTTAAATTTTCATTTTACTTACTTAATAAATACACCCACTATTGGAATTATATAATTATATAGAAGAATGAATGCTGAGAATAACCTAACGTAAAACATCATGCAGATGGAATAGTTGCATAATGCTGACGTTGAACATTGGAAAAAGACTAGGGAGAAAGAGGAAGGTTTAATCCAAGATTCCGGGTCTTGTCTTCCAGTCATCAAGTCTTCAAAGGGAATGTTTCAAAGTCTCTTTTACATGAGGGGGGTGAGGCGTGAGGTGTGAGGACAAAACAGAGTACTGCTCAATATATAGACCAGGAAATGAAATACCGGTACAGTACAAGTACTGGATTAGGCAGAGTCCTTGATGACTTTACTTATATGTTTGACCGATCTTTCATTTCTGTGGGTCTTGGTTGCAGATGTAAATGCACCTCTTTCTCTCTTTCTCTCTTTCTCTTAACATAGATTTTTTTATTAGTATTTGTAATTTGTGGGATTATTGTAACAACTTATGAGGCTGTACAAGCATTACAATAAATAATAAGATCAGCAGCATGGTGGAGTGGACAGCAAATGCTATCGATGTCGGTAAGATAAATGTTACCCCTTATCAGTACTTACAAGATGGTTTGATGATATGATAGACTTGTACACTCGAGTACTATAGACCGTTGTATATAGACTCAATCATCATCACTCTTTTCATTAATTCAAGCTTCATAGTTTAATCCATCAAATTCAAATTCAAGTTCAAGTTCAAGTTCAAGTTCAAGTTCAAGTTCAATTTCAATTTTCAAGTCAAAAGATCATATCTTTTCATACAAGTCATCTTGCCAAGGTTAACCCACTCAAAGTCTCAAACTTTCCACTCCAATGTTCAAAGAAAGATCGCAAGACTCAGAAAAGTCCCAGGACTAGGACGCATGACTCTGATGAATGGGGAAAATCTCCAAAAAAAAAAATGAATAGGATATATAAAATAGATAGTTTGTGTATCCTTCTTCTACTCGAGTAGATAGCATCGCTAATAAAAGTCACTCTTGGCATCAGTTGGCCTTTTCCCCTTCCCCTTGCTGTTCTCGTATACTCACTCGAGTTACATATGCTGTTTGTTACCTGTAGGTAATAACAGTGGTAGGTAGTCTTACAATTCTTGGTCATTATTACTTTTATCATTACTTCAAATCAATTAGGAAGAGGGAGTGGCTCGCTGATTGTTCTAGCCTTCTTTAGACCTAAATTAAATCAATGATTTCAATATAAAATGCCAAACGTTTAAAATCAATCCTTCTAATATAACATACTCGAGTTAGTTCAGGTTCAGCCCTATATAAGGTTCGTTCTTGTCCTTTTGCTCCTCTTTGTCTTTCAGTTACCCCGCTCTTCAACTTGTTCCATTTATGGACTTTGCAATGTGTTTTCAATTATCTACCTACCTAGTTTGTTGTTTCTTTCCTCTTTTCAAATCTGTTCCGGTTTCTTATCTCGTTACCCCAGATATATATATTCATAACCCCAGAATATGCCAGCACACGAAGCATTATCCACAAGTCAATTCTTCATACCCCATCTCTCTTCTCCTTCTCCTCTCAGTCTCAGGATTATCTCCCGCGAGTGTATTCCTCATACATATTATACCACCGCCATTTACTGCATTTAACCAATCATACCTACCACTTCCATCACACCGTCGACCTCTCCATTCTCAGGCTTACACAAAATAATGAAGTCTTTCCATTCTCCATCCATAATGGCCTGAAATAGTATACTTCTCCGTCTTATTGGTCTTGTTGGTTGTTCCGATGTTGTTTTACCATTCCACAATATTAATACACAGTACCTCAAAACAAGCTTTTTTAATTTATATTTTAAATCCCTCATAGATCAATTCCTGATAATCTCTCCCGTACCTTGGCAATTTTCAGTCACACCACCACCATTTCGCGACGTTACAGTACATAGATGAGAATTGACCAATACGAATGAAACCAAAATCCAAATCTTCTCGGTGTCGATTAGAAGATGTGTAGTTAAGATGATGATGAAGATGATGATGATGATGATGATGATGATGATGATGATTCTGATATAGGATCGACGGCCAACAATTGCCTTCCAGGCTTGAAGATATCACATTCCTGTTTTCACCGCACAATGCCCCTCATACATACGCTCATCAAATCATATCCATCTAACCTAACACAAGCTCATCCGTACACACGTGCGAGAGTAGCATTTTTCAACCCTTGATAAACATCATGTTTCCAATATCAAATGCACCCGGTTCCCCTGTGAGCGCGCCGCCCCTTTCAGCAACCACACCTAGCACAAGCAGCATTCTCAATTCTCCATTGACGAGAAAGTATATTGATTTCCATGTGCAATTGTCATATAGTGTGCAGCCACCGTTTAATCATGCTTTATGTACCTGTACCGTATTTCAAATACACATATCACTCATACACACATCCCACCATCTCAGTCAGTTCCTCAGCGCAAGATGTTCGCCACATTTTACATTTTACATTTTACATTTTACATTTTACACAACCCCCACGTCTAGATGGCTACATGCTACACAACAGCAAGGACAGCATTTACGGGTGCGACTTCAAAGTTGAGGCGCTTCAAGCATTGGTGTTAGATACCGCCAGCTTGGCCATCATTGGCGCATGACCGTAAATGCCAGCGTCTTGTACTTCAAAAATGATTTCATTTTGTTTTTGACCACGGTTTCCAATGGTCCGAACTGTATTTGATAATGAGAGAGTTTTGATTGTCGAATCAATTTCGTGTCTCGAATTCATCTGGTGCATTAAGTCACTTCAAGTGTTGAATACTTTCGAACGTTAGATCCGTTGGGAGTCTTAAACTACATCTAAAACATCCACAACTTTTCAAATATTGAAAGCTAGACTGAATCCGAACTTTTAAATCCCTTCTCTTATACCAAAAACATTGTTTCTTCCTCTCAAATTTCTCTTCCAAAGACACTTTGATAATCATACAATGCCCCTCGGATTAAACCGCGATAAATAACCCCTTCTTTTTCAGCCACCTTATAAAGATAACCATCATCATTAAGCTTATATTAGCAGCCACTGATTCACACGGGTACAGTAACTAGCTGCATCATAATATGTATTAGCTTAGCATATGCGTATGCGTATGCACCAGCTGCCAATGTAGATCATCCACCGGGCTTCTCTTCAGCAACGCTATATCATTGGTATGGAATGGTAGCTGAGGTGCGATTAGACAGAAATGTCTTACCGGGAAGGTGAGCCTCACATTATTTACATGCATATCTATATTTGTATAAGATTTCTTCGAATGTAAAGTCGAGATGCATCTAAAGCACTACACAGTCTTGGCTGGCTATCGATGAATTTTACACCGGTATATACTCGTGTACATACTGTATGAATATGAATATGCATTGTGCATTCGCTTATTACATACAGGTATTATACTCATACAGTCATACTATTTATAGTACAGTACCAAACAAATATCACAATCACCACCAGTCACAATCACCATCACCATCATTTTAAGCTCCAGCCAGATTCTACTAGTACAGTGCACTCAGCTATCCACAGAAACTTTAAAACTTATTTTTTCTATTCACCAGCTACCTTTCACCTTTCATGAACTCAGATTTAAACCAAAAGGTTTGTAGGTTAAACTTGTCGTTCTCTGCTTGCGGATGGGATATGCATGCATGGAATTCTTATATGCAGAATGCACATGTTAGTACATGTTATGGAATTGTAGAATTATAGAATTATAGAAATATAGATCATAGAAACCCATCATGTAATGTAGCCACTAGCTTGAATGTGGGTTTTGTGATGTGTTGGTTGGTTGGGAGAGCAGGAGGGAGGAGGGAGGGAAGGAGGGAGGGAGGAAAGGAGGGTGTATATATGTATTGAGGTTTGTGGTTTTCTTTAGATATACTCGTATAATTTCCTGA